GTCGATCTGGGGAGGTGGGGGGGCAGTTGGGGGGGCGGCGGATGAAGGAGTTAGGAGTTAGGGTGGGGGGTAAAAAACACAAGTTTGTCTGTACTTGCGAACAGCCAGATAAAACAGTGAGGTTAGGAATGGGGATTGGGTTGAGTTGGAAGGGCTGAGAGGAGCTCGGTACGGCTCCGAAGGGTGTCAAGCCGAGGGAGGACTATCGTATGCTAGGAGAGGGATTTAAGCCTCCCCCCTCGCCTTCCCCTCCCAAAACACACACACGCACCTCAATCCCCGCCTCCGCCAGCTCCCGCAGCGCCTGTTTGTCGTACTCGGTGAGGACGGGCAGGTCGTTCTGCAGACTCACCAGGTCGGTGGCGGACCTGGGGGGGGAGGGTGTGGAGGGGGTGGAGGGGGTGGAGGGTAGGAGGTAAGGTATTGAGGAGGTGGGTATCGAGGGGATAAGAAACGGGCATATCTCTACATACGCTAACCTACTCCTCGGCTCCTGTGGCGTTTCTGTGGGGCTTCATCTTCCGGCAATCACAGTATGTTCCTACTCGCGGCCAGTTTTCTTAACAAACACACGCATACATACACACGCATACACACCCATACATACATACACACACACACCTCTCCAGGTTGAACACGGTCAGCAGGCCGTACATCTCCGCATCGTTGAGTGCCGTACAGATGACGTCACCCGTGTCCAGAAGCACCTGGGGGGGCGGGGGGGGGGAGGGAGGGGAAACAGGGGTGGGGTGGGGGAGGGTGAACAAGGTCAAGGTTGCGGGGCGTGGATCAGTGCGGAGGAGGTTGCTGGCGTGAACGTGAAGGGCAGCAAGGAGGAAGCCAGTGACACAATGCCGGGAGCCCGAGACCAATCCCGCCCCCCCACATACACACACACACACACACACACGCACACCTGCTCCACCCTCAGGTACAGGGAGGCCTGTTCGGGAGCTCCACACGCCATATAGCGGCCGATGTAGCTGAGGGGAGTCAAAGACCAGGTACCAAACCATAAGATACCACAGGTTAGGGCAAAGCAATGGGGGTAGGAGGCGGCAGGGTGCCACAAGACAAAGTGAGGGGGGGCGCAGGGAGGGAGGGAGGGAGGGAGGGGAAGGGAGGGAAGGAAAGGGTTGTTGGATGGATGGCTTGGGTGGTGAGCAGGTGGGAGGCAGCCAGGGGCACAGGCAGCAAGCGCACTCGCGACACCACATCCCCTTCCCCCCCCCTCAGCCCCCCCACCCCATTACAGCCCCTGGCCTCCCTAGAGGCGGGCCCCGCCCCCCTGCCCCCGCCCCTCATCATGCCCACACCCATGCGCCCCTCCTGCCCCCTCCTGCCCCCGCCTCCTGCCCCCCCCCCCGCGCCCCCGCCCCCACTCACACCACATCCCCCGGCTGCAGCAGCGAGGGGAACTTGGGGTAGGTGATGGGCAGCAGGGTTGGGGTGGCGGGCTCCTCGCGGGTGGTGATGGTGAGGGAACTGCCCTGGGCCACCTTGAAGGGGGTGTCGTGGGCGGGCCAGCCCTGAGGGGTGGAGGGGTGCGGGTGGTGATGGAGGTAGGAGATGGTTGGGTGGATGGAAAGAAGGCAGGGAAAGGAGGGCGCAGCACTCATTGCCGCTGTTGGCGAGTGGAGGTCATGTATTGCGTCGCTGGTGCTGCATTACTACTGCTCACCCACACCCACACCCACACCCACACCCGCACCCACACCCGCACCCACACCCGCACCCACACCCACACCCGCACCCCCCACTGCTGCTATGTAAACCCACATCGGGTCCCAGCTTGAAGGGCCGCTTGATGAGCATCTCACGACCCAACGTGTCGACCTGGAGTTGGGGAGGGGGGGGGGAGGGAGGGGAGCAGCAGCAGCAGCCCTGCTGGGTACGGCAGCAGCACGGGAGCAGCAGTGCCGAGCAGTTGGCAATGGCGGCAGCACACAGCAGGCGCTGATGAACCTCCCCGCCGAGGTTTAGCTGCCCCATCCTCGCCATTCCTTATTAGCCCCTCTCTCCCTCCCCTTCTCCCCCTCCCTCCCAGCCCCTCCCCCCCCCCCCCTCACCATGACCGCGCACATGCGGCGCACCCGCTTCATGGCCAGGTTGAGGTTCTTGAGGGAGCGTTTGTGGTAGTCCAGCGGGCCTGGTTGGGGGGGGGAGAGCGGGTGGGGGGGGGCGGTGGCGGGGCGGGGGAGTCAAGAGATATGCACAAGTTGGGGCAAAGCAATGGGGATGGAGAGAAGCAGTTTGGGGGGAGGGCAGGAGGAGGGGAAGGCGGAGGGAAAGAAAGAGGTGATTGCTACCGTACGGTACAGGGAGCGAACAGGATAGACTCCCAAAGCGGCAAGGCGAGAACCAGGACATACAGGCTCCCTTCCCTTGCGGGGTCCAGACCCCCCTCCAGGACAGGCTCCCCCACGTCCTCTTTCCCCCTTGCAGGGTCCAGGACAGCCCCACCCCCCCTACCCCCTACCCCATGTCAGGTCCACCCGCGCCACCGTCATGCCCGACTCCAGCAGCTGAGACAGCGTGTCCACATCGCTGCAGGCGGGACCCAGCGTGGCGACAACCTGAGGGAGGGGGGGGAGCGGGGAGGAGGAGGAGGAGGAGGAGGAGGAGAAGGGATGGAGGAGGAGGGATAGTGGGTGACCCGTGGGTCAGCAAGAGGCGGCTCAGCGAGTTGTTGCAGATGGGTGATAATCTGCTTTCGCCGCCTGAACGGCGAGGGCGCGTATACTTTCGAAATTCGAGAAAAGCAATCTTTACATTGATTACGAATTTCTGCAAAGGAGGGATGCAAGCTCTTTCTGGCCCTTGTGTTGTCATGCCGCGAAGGAGCAGCTCTGCGCCCAGGAAAAGCACCAGATAACCAGCCCAGGCACTCCTCAACACATTGCGTAGGATACCGATTTGCGAACACCCTCGCACATCAATGCAGGTCAGCAGAGCTTCCGTCGGTTCCTCTCCTGCCGGTGATCACTGATCAGCAACCGCGCCGCCACAAGGCAGATATCATTGCGCGATCCCCCATAACACCATTCGTGCATACCACCCTTGCTTACTTCGGGTAAGAGCATTACTGCATAGCACCATTCACCCATGTATACGCTCGCGCACCTCGCCGCCCCCAGCTCCTCACCTTGCTAGCCACGAAGCAACCCTCTGTGGGGTCGGCGGGCAGGAGGATGGAGGAGAGGTTGAGGTCTTGGAAGAAATGTGGTCGGGCCTTGGCCCGGTAGTATCGACTGCCGCTGCCGGCGCCACGCATTTTGGCGGAATCACGCAGCAGCAGCAGCAGCAGCGGCAGCTGCTAACAGTGTTGTCTTGAAGCTCTAATAGTCTGCTTTTCCAGCGCTGCTGTTAACCAGGCCTCTTGCCTTGTTTTCGAAGGAACCCTTTGACCAAGAATGTGCAAGACCGGCCTGCTGGGGACAATACAAGAGGATGGACGCATAAAGCGTACAGATGTTCCGTGAAAGGCCCGAACTCGTCACATACGCCGCATTAGAGACGGCGAAGGAAACAGATCTGTGCACTGGATGTGATCCCGTCAACACCGCGCATCGCGCGTTTGCTAACTGCCATTTTGTCTGTCAGAACATGATAGCAGCAGCTGGGCGCTGTACGCTGTCCCAAGTGAATGTCGGAGAGGCTAAAGCCCGAGCTATGGCTACCGGTAAACGCTGCTGTCTTCACCAAAGCGAAAAGGCCAAAGCTCACTTGCCTTTCGGAATTGGAAGCTTCGTTAGCAGATACGCTCCTTCAGCGCAAGAGGCGCTTGGTGCTTTTGGCTTGTGGGCAGATTGGATAGTTGCAGAGGGCTAAGAGGTCTAAAAGCCGTGGACGTTGATGGCGGCGATGGTTGCCGTGCAGTGGCGAGCAGTGATTCGCTTTAGTCAAGGAATGTAAACCTGGTTTGCGCACAGATTGTCTTTTAGTTGGAAACAGGGGCCAGGAGTTCTTGAACCTTTGTGACAAATGGTACGTACGCATAAAGTGCCAAGTGGCAAGCCGACATGGATTGCACTTTCACGACTCGTAAGGCAGGAAACCTGTTCACCTTGCCTACGGACGATGTGAAGCTGCGACTGAAAGAAATAACAGCTGTCTCTTTACGGTGTTCACAGCAGTCAATGGCAAGGCCGTCAACCACGTCCGACTTATGTGCTTCCTTACCCGTGTGCGGAGTTGCGTCGTTCAACCCGACGCCAACCTGCCTCCCGCATGACCCATGGGTCGCTAGGCTGCTGGCCCACCGGAAGCCCCACACACTCGGCTCCAGCACTGCTACCCCTTCCTTGAGCACATCCCCATCCCTTGACCCGCTCCCAGGATTGTCGGTTTATCGTCCATTACCAGTATATCACCAGTACGGTATTGTACGGCATCCCCTAAGATGCTTTGTAGGCCCTACAGGGGGATCTTAGTACCGGTACTCGTACAATAGGTGTGCCAAAAGAGGCAACAGCCCCCAGTCCATGCATGGATAGGTATACTACAAGCCCCGGCATGGGTTAGCGGCCACATCAAACCCACGTACCGGTACCACAGGCCCATAAGAACGACACAAGGTTTGATGTCCCCACCCATCCATCACGACGAGAAACGTTCCCCTAGCCACCCGAGCTCGAGTGTGGAAACACTGACAACGACTGTGATGAGGGGTCGCCTACGTGCAAGGGCAGAGCGGCAGCGGAGGCCGGAGGGGGACCACAAGGCGCCACATGTTCCACAGGGCTGGCTGCTGCTGGTTCAGTGTGGGCCCTCCGGCTCCATGTGTTGTGTGTACTCACACCAAGACAGCCTGGCAGGTCTCTGCTGCTGCCCATCCCTCTGCTGACCATGGACAGGGTGACCACACAGGACTGCATTACCCTTTCTCCCTACCCCTTATGATGCTGCATGGTGGCATTGGTGGGGCATGTTTCTTAACTGGGCGCAAATTGCAGCCTTTGAATGTGCGGCCCGTCAGCAGCTGTACCGGCAAATCCTGACGGCATCTCCTGATTACACCCCATTAGCACCGATGCCACTGCAGCTGCAGCACCTGATGAGGTGGCTCAGCCCAGCTCAGCTGTGGTAGTCACACAGTGTGCAACTGGGACACTCGGCCACTTGTGCCCAACACAGCAACCCGCTGTCCAGAAGTGCGGGGCAACCAACCGCGTTTGGGCACCGTTGGGCACCATGGAGCATCCATCGACCAGTTCTCTTTCCAGCGGCAAGTTTTCTTAACACAAAAGTTCTCACAGACCTTCCACAGCGTCCAGATCACACATGATCACACATCCAGACACACACACACACACAAAACACCCCCAACACGCACCCGCGCACATCCCTGGTCAACCCACAGACCCTCCCCTAACATAGGCGACCGGTATACAGCTCTGTGCACCAGGTGGTAACCCACACAGGTAGCCGGTAGCCTCATGCCCGGTAGCCTCATGCGGCCGCCCCCAACACAGCCGCGGTTCCCCCGCTCCCCCTCCTCAGCAGCAGGCGGGTGTATGCGGCTCGTACTCCTCCACATCCCACAGGGCGTCCTGCTCGGGGGTGGGGGGTGGTGCGGGATGTGGGATGTGGGCAGCAGCGCAAGGGTGCAAGTAGCAGTGCAGTTGGTAAGCAGGTAGTGCTCTGGAAGGTGCACACGGCGCATGGAGTCCGCTGGAAAAGGTGCGGAACGAGGGTCTGGCAGGGCAGCAAGGAACGAAAGGAATAACGCAAGAAATGACAGGTACGTGGCTGCAAGAGCTACGGCAGGGTCGCATCAATTAGTGGCAGCGGCAATTTACTGCACACCACTAAACCATGCGCCACGCCATCCCGCTCCACCCTTTCACTTCCATGGCCTCTCGGGTCTCCCATCCTCCCTGCCTCCGACACCACCCCCACCCCCAAGGCACCCCCACCCACCTTGCACAGCCAGTCCTCGTCCTCGTCCGCGTTCTCAATGTCCGGCCAGAACTCGTCCGGCACCTGCCGCCACTGCTGGCACTTGCTGCACTGCACCCACTGATCGGTGGCAGCCTCATCGCCCTCGCCCTCGTCCGCCTCCGCCGCAGCAGCTGCTGCCGCCGCCTTCTGTTGCTGCTTCTGCTGCTGCTTCTGCTGCTGAGCTGCGGAGCGCTGGTGGTGCTGCTGGTGGTGTTGGGCAGCGGCGGCAGCTGACTGCACGTGCGCCGGCAGCCCTGCCGGGACGCCAGGCCGGCCGCCTGCAGCGTTGAGAAGGGGTAAGGAGGAAGGAAGTGAGGAGTGAGCCAGCGAGGTAAGGGGTAACTGCGTGGTCACACCGCAAATTAAGCCAGCGGGAAGGTTTAGGCAAGCTGCTATCCCGTCCCTTACTGCGAACTGCTCACTTTGCTGTGGGAAGACGTTGAGCGCCAGTGCAGCCGGCCCCACACCGTAAGCCGCGCCCTGCGGCCTCGCCCCCTGGCCCTGCGCCTGGGCCTGCGCCGCAGCGGCCGCCGCCGCCGCCCGTGCCTGCTGCTGCTGCAGCTGCAGTGCTAGCAACGCTGCCGCCTGCTGCTGCGGCGGTAGCTGCTGCAGCTGTTGCAGCTGCTGGGGGGTGAGTTGCAGCTGAGGTGGCTGCTGCTGGGGTTGCGGCTGGGGAGGGGCCTGCTGCTGTGCAGGGGCCTGCTGGGGCGGCGGAGCTGGCTTTGGACCATCCTCCTCCTGGAGGGTGACGGAAACAATGAGGGCGTGTCAAAGTCAAACAAGCGACAAGCATAGACGTCAAGATAATAATAATAATAACGACGGAGCAACACTCAGTCGAAAGTGGGTGAAGTGACGCCAGGGAAAGGCTTGGATGTAAGGGCTGCGTGCCATGAACGCATGACAGGAGAGTTGGACCTGGTGGGGCCCGGGCGAAGCCATCCCCGATATCGTACCTTAACGGCTGGTTCCGCTTTAACGCCCACACCAGCCGCGGCAGTAGGCCTGCGGAAGCGTAGCAGTTGAAGGGAGTCAGACATGGGGTGCCTGGGTGGGCTTATGGAGCAACAACGGCCCCACGATGCACAGGCCTCACGGGTTGCAGTGGAACGGAGGGAGGAATGAATGGGTGTCGGCTTGCGCAGGAAATGTTGCCAGTCATAATGCAAGGGAGCGGGCATTGCATGCAAGGAAGCCGAATGGCTGCCCGCATGCGGATGGGGTGTAGGGGAAAACGCCAGGGCTTAGCGAGCGCATGTGGGTAAAACGGAGCTGCATGTTAAAAGACTTGATGCCGGTTGCTTACCTTACGCCTTGTTGCTGTGCTTGTTGTTGTAACTGCTGCAGAGCGCGCGCCCTTCCAGCCTGCATCATGGAAGGGTAAAACGTCAGGACCTCCCGCCTGCAAGTACACCGCCCGCATCATACCCGGACATCGTAAGCTTCTTACATTTTCCGCGAGGTGCTGCTGAAGAGCTCGTAGGTGATCTGGAAGGCGGTTAGATGCGACTAGTAAGCGCACGGTTGAGGCGAGAGACAGTAAGGCCCGTACATCGCACAGCGCACCTATTGTGAGCTGCTGTCCAGGACGCAGCTCATTATGGTTGATGCCGCTGAGGAAGACGGTCTGAAGAGGCGCTGTAGACATGATTTGTGTTCAGTTCGTCAGTACGTCCTTCCAACGACTTGCTGACTTTTTTCTTTGAGACGTATTACAACAAGCCTATCACGGTGGAGCGTATGCCTTGGTCAACACGGTGTCCAGGCGAGTAAGAGTCAATTGCCGCGTAAGACCGCTCACTCGGTTAAATTTGCAAAACAGAGATTCGCTGTAATAAAACTATACTATCTAACGCTCTGACTCTGCGGCGAACACGAATCAGCGACTCCACAGCGGCTGAAGTACGGTCACCAGAGAATCCGTGCAAGAGCTTCAGCACCATGCATGCACAAGTACAAAGCCTAATCGGGTAATGCTAATCTCGTGGTAGAGCCTGTAACTGTATGCCGCCACAGACCGACCGCCCAGCGCGACCTTTCTTTGATGGGCATTGCTGGAAGCATGGCGTGGTAAAGGCCTCATCTTTCTCCTCCGGCAATGGCGTCTTTCCAAACGCGAACCTGCAGCGACAAGGACAGAAAAGTCGAATTTAGATTAGAGAGATGACCTATGGGTCAGAGACTCGGAGTGTCACTCGTTCACCAGTCCCTAACCCACACCACCAAACCTTCCGGCGTGCAGCCGACATAAAGCGGCATCGAACGGGTCTCAGCACCCCAAAGATTTACCATTATTCCGGCATATAGGTTCCTGCCCACTGTCTATCCAACGTGACTATGGACAGTGAGGTAGCGGCCTGCCGCTCTGTGCTCTTGCTCCCATCCAAAACGCATGGCAACAGCCAAACAAACAGCTCTTTGCAACAGAGCGCAACACGCATGCACCGTAAGAACCCCTCACAGGTGGGGCACGCGGGTCCGCGGGATCACAGATGCTTACTGGCAACTGAAGTCCTCGTAGTTGGGGGTCATGGTCAGCCGCAGCCCCATGTCCTGCTCAAAGAATGTCTGCATGCATGACGTGTGCCGTACGGCGCATGGCGCAAGAGGGGCAGGCGGAGCTCAGCAGCACAGGTACTGCCGTACAGGGGATCCCAACACCGTAACCCACATTCCACCACATGGCGACGACTTCCGTACGGTCCTTTCCTCCTCGTTATATCGGTATAAACCTGCCATACCAGTAGGCAGTATAACCCCACGTCATGCACATATCGCCCTCACAAACTACAATCACTATTCCCCGCGGCATCCCAGCCGCTTCCCCCCCTCTCCCCGACCCCTCCTTGTCCGTCAGTTCGTCAGTTTTCCTTATTTTTAACCCCCCGCCCCCGCCCCTCCCTGGCCCACCTGCGTGGGCAGCTTGCAGCTGTTGACGCACACCGCGGCGCACCCCGCCTGCTCCAGGTAGCGACACCGCTCCACGAGCACCCCCTGGCCCGCACCCACAGCACCGCCGTCTGCGTGGATGTACAGGCGCGGTACAGGCATGCAAGCCGGGCCACGGGCCATGCCGCATGGCAGCGCAAGCTGTTTGGCACCTTGGCGTGCAGGAGGCAGTTGAGGTGTGCAGCGGGGCAGCTGGATATGGAGATGCGGCGGGTGCCCCAGCTGGTGGTTAAGGTTAGGCATGCAACACGGCAGAGCTGCAGGAATGGTTCCTAGTCAAAGTGCACGCACCATATTCCCAACCTCCCAAGGTCCCGGACCACACGCAATGCTCAGCGGCACGCACACACACACTTCATCTTTTCACTTCATTTTTCCGGCAATCACAGTACGTTCCGCCTCGTGGCCAGTTATTTCAACACACATACACAACAAAAGCCCGCACCTATCTCCACATCATTGACCTTGCAGGGCCCCATCAGCCACTGGCAGGTCAGCGCAGTGGCCAGTGCGTTGAGGCGGCAGGAGAACTCGGGCAGCGGGCGGGAGAACAGGACCTGTGCGGGGGGCCAAGAGGAAACAACTAACGGTAACTATGGGGACAGGTGGGGAGCAGCATGATGACTTCTACTACGAGCGGACACCCTGCCATGCGGAGTGTCAGCTTGTGAGCTTGGCGGTGCATGGTAACATATTGAGATGTGAGTGAAAGAGGAAAGCGGCTTGACCTTACCAACGCATTCTACCGGTATCCGCATTCCGAAATTATGTTTCCCTTCCCCTTGCGCATACTCCACCAGTCCATAGCCGTACCCAGTCCTTACTCGCATCGTCACATGGCAACAACCCGTTTCGCGCCCATTGGGCCCCCACCTTGAAGGCCCCAGGCAGCCAGGAGGGGAAGAGCGCCCTCAGGATGCCCCGCGTGGCCTCCTGCGTCTCAGCTGCCGTACGGAACTTGCTGTTGAGGCGGCGCGTGAGGTCAATGATGCCGTCGTACCCGGGCAGCGGGGAATCCGAGCCGAGGGCCGCAACCATCTTGCGGCTGGGGGTGCGGCAAAGGGACAAGGGAGGGTGGACACCCCATATCGTGGACACCCCAAGAGGGCGGCAGGGAATGAGGTGGAGTGTGTACAGGGGGGAGTTAATGTCAAGGATGGGGTGGATGAGAGGAGGGCTACTAGGGTACGGTACGAGCGGGGTACGATGCTATGGTGTTTGTGTTGTGTAGGGTGGTACGTGCAACTGTGGACGAGGCTGTCACATCATGCCAAGGACATCTAGAGAGACCATAGCCGTAACGACTGCGGTAACTCGTAGCCGGTGGCGTCCATGTGCACCAAACCCTGGCCATTCCCCCACGAGCAGGGCTGCTCGGTCGCACCACATGCAGGACTGGCCTCTCCGTTGCCGAACAATAATGATTTCGGCACCCACACTCACCGGAACAGCGCCATGACGACCGAGTTGAGGGGCTGCGAGTCAATGTCGCGGTAGGATGGTGCCGGGTCAGCCGGCCCCGCTTTCCGTGTGCTGCTGCAGTACGTACGAAGTGTAGGGCAGCGCGCTAAATATGTCTTATACGCGACTCTCTTGTTTGAGTGTGTGACATTTGGCTTGTGTGTTGAGCCGAAGGGCCGGACCCGTTGAGCTAGCATATTGGGCTTTGGATAGACTAATATAAGCACTTGGGAGCGTACGCATAGCGAACGGTCGTTAGACATCGCAGCAACACCGTCGGATCAGTTGGCTCCGAAGAGTACGGCTTCCTTAATCCCAAGCGTCTTTGCTTGAATACTGCACACCAACTGCAAGTAGGATTTAACGTTTTTGAAAATGGGAAATGGCAGTGCTTCAACGGGTGCTGCTGCTAGCAGCAGCGATGCAGGACAGACATCATCCGCTGCGCCGAGCCGACCCGCTCGCCGTGGCCCTCTAGATGAAATTAACATGATGCTATCAAGCCCTTATTACTTCCTAAACATTCTACTCATAGCCAGCTACGCCGTCACTCGGGAGTACTACCGTCACAAACCTATCCGGCAGGACTTGCCCTTTCTAGGCGACATTTCGGACTATGAAAGCTGGGAGCGCTATGTTGCGTTCCTATGCGGCTGCTACGGCGCTTTCCGGTTCGTCAAAGCCCGCTCACGCCTTGCCGGATTCTCCGCGCTCCTCGATTTTGCGCAACTCTTCATCGCTCTGATGGCAGTCGTATGCAGCCCGATCCTTTTGGCCTACTATGTCATCGCGTACGTCGTCATCTACCTGCTCTTCCCGCAGCCCATGTACCAGCTGCATGGCCGATTGGAACTCCTCACGCCCGAGAGCCTGGCCTCAGACGTGAAACAGCCCAACACAGACGTCACGTGGGTAGTCTACTACTACGCCACCTGGCACCCAGGGTGCCGCCACATGGCTCCGGATGTTGCTGACCTGGCAGCGCGGTACGGCACAGACAAACTCAAGTTTGCAATGTTGGATCTAGGGGAGCACAGCAAGGCGGCTTCCAAGCTGGGCATCGAGCTCTCGCCCGTCAGCCAGCAGTTGCCTACCTTGGCCCTTTACGAAAAGGGAGAGGAGGTGATTCGGATGCCGCAGAAGAAGGCGGGTGGTGGGCTGTACGGCGCAGGCTGGAAGGTTAAGGATGTCGTACGGGCCTTAGAGCTGGACATGCGGTATACTCGGTCGATGCAAAGAGCCGGCGAGAAGAAGGGGCAGTAAAGGAGGAGTGGCATGGTCGGAAGGTCGGTAACTGGTGTCAAAATAGGTACGATCACGACAAAGGGGCTAGGATGGTGGGGAGGAGGCGAGGAGTGGGAATGGAGGGCTAACATGGGTCGAAGAAATTTGCAACACGCAGGGCAATGGAGAACTTGAGGTGGGATTGAAGGATAAGCTGGCCAGCAGTGCTGCGTGGGGAATTATTGTGCAAGTGCTGAAATTTGATTACGTACAAATGCAAATTTGCGGAATGCAAATGTGAATGCAACCGACAAGGAACGAGAAAGCAAAGCAGGCACCATGTGACCTGTCGGGTGGTGTTGGTGGGGATGTACAGAGTCTGAAGTCGGGTTTGCGTGGCATGCGCGTGTGCATGTGCGCAAAGCTGGAGGGTTGTGATGGGGTTGTGATGGCTGCCTAGGCGGCGGGCGGTGTTATGGGTAGTAACGCAAGCCTTACTGGTTTGGTTTTCAGATTTGGTTTTGTAACATTTTTTCGCTTCTTGAATATCAGGAATTAAGAATAGGCTATCGAGTTCAAGTATGTCAGTATGGCCTTCACTCGTCCAATGACTCAGCAGCTTGCCTTTCATCCGCGGTCCTAGGCCTGCCGCCCTGCCCCAGATCAACCCTTGATCCATCCGAATAACCACCCACGTTATTAACAAAGTACTTGCTTATTTTGTAAAGAAGGAACAAATCGTGTTCATTTCGTCAGGTCCTGTTTCGTCCCGGCGGGTCCGTGAACTGGACAGTGCAGAAGGGCAGTGCCGACACCGCATCTAAGAAACCAGCGTTACGCTGAGGCCGCAACAGGCATTATGAAGGTGCGTTGAAACGGTGCCTGGCTAGCACTGCCAGCAATCCCGAGCGTTTTAGTTTGAAGGACCCGTCGTCGTTGTATGTTGTGCCGTGATGATCTTCCGTGATCCGACTAGGTGTTCCGGAACGTTGGATAGTAATGTATCAAAGGATAGTAATGTATCAAAAGCAATGCTGCAAAAAGGACCAGTAAAAACTTAAACCTTAGCGACGAACTGCATCTTGTTCCTGGAACCCCTTCACTCGCAGTTATCCCTGAAGCAGGCTCCTTTCGCCACCATCGGCGGCCCTAAGCGCTCTGGCGGCAAAAACTACTCCGCTGCTCTTCCCCGTCAGCTCCTCCGTCTGTCGTATCACTCTCACCCAATTCCCCTTTCGCTGCTGACGGGCTGCTTTCGAGCTGCCCCGCGCTCGGCCACGGCAGCAGCAGCAGCAGGCGGGCAGGATGCCGGCGACAGTGGCAGCAGCGCGGCTGAAGGTGGTGGAGAGGGAGATGGTGGTGGCGACCGTAACGCCCATCCAGCGGTGAGAGCCTCTGTGGGTTCCTCCTCCGTTGCAGCTGGTCCTCCTTTGCGGCAGGCGGGGCTGCTGCTGCAAGGGAGCGGCCGCGCTGGGGAGGAGTCGCAGGATTGGAAGAGCATGGTGGGAGGGGCAGGAGGGTCCTTTCTGACGGTTGTAAGGAAAGGACGGGACCCGCCCTACCTCACATGCACCTTGCGTCCATGCCCACCCACATGCCCGCCTGCCACAACACACAGCCCCCTGCCCCTGCTCCCACCCATCCGCCCCAGGCCATCCCGGAGCTGCTGTTCGGCCCCCACCGTGCGGCGGCGCTGCAATCCCTGTCCTCCACATCCGAGGAGGAGGGAGCTGCCAGCGGGATGCAGGCAGCAGCTGCAGCAGCTGCTGTCACGCATGGTACAGGCGACGCAGAAGGAGGTGTTGCACGCGAGGAGGAGGAAGGGGAGCAGCCGCAGCAGGGCACACAACCAGGTGGGGGTGTTGTACTCACCGGTTGCTGTTGCTGACACGCACGTTTCCGTTGCTGGCTGTTCCGTTAAATACCGTTACTAGCCCAAAAAACTCGTACGGTCGTACGTCTCGTTAACTTCTTCTGTGACATGTCGCGCCCCTCCTCGCTCCTGCCCAGGTGAGCCCCTTGCGGTGCCTCCCGAGCTGTGGCGGCTGGCGGCTGCGGCGCGACTGCTCAACTGCCTACGACAGCAGCAGGAGGGGGTGCGGGAGCGGCAGGAGGCGGTGAGGCAGCAGCAGGGGGTGGAGGGTGTAGGACAGCAGCAGCAGGTGGAAAAGCAGCAGGAGGGTCAGGGGGTGATGCAGCAGCAGCAGTCGCAACCGGAGCGGGACAAGCAGCAGCAGGAGGAGGAGGGGCAGTGGGCTCAGCAGGAGGGGCAGGGTGAGGCTGGTGCGTATGAGGGTGCTAGGGCGAAAGAGGAGGGCGTTGTGGATGCCCGGGAGGAGGAGGTGGCAGGAAGGCAGGTCATTGCGGCGGAGATGGAGGAAGCGACGGAGGCGGCTGTGGCTGATGAGGTAGAGGTAGAGGAGGAGGAGGAGGAGGAGGAGGGTGACCCGTGGTTCCATGAGCCGCCACTGCACTTCCAGGCGTCAAGGTGAGGCAGTCTTGGGGGCTAAGACGTGACGCCTCCTGACTGCGCCCTTCCGTGGCATGGGAGGAACGCATGCCAGCTCATGCGCGGCATTTCTTGTCCTCCGGGCTTTACTCCCCGCACCTGTACGGCACGCAGGTTCGAGGGCCTCATGGAGGGTCCGCTGACGCCCCAGCAGCTGCAACGGGTGGCGCAGCTGGCAAGCCTGGCCTCACCACCACCGCCAGGCAACACCGGTCCATCAGCTCCCATCAGCACCCTACACGCCGTCGGCGGTGCCACTAGCCTTAGCCCCGCAGCCTCCGCAGCCTCCGCAGCGGCAGTACCAGTAGTGGAGGACGCCGCGCCGCTCATCGGCGGTGTGGCGGAGGGCCAGACCGCCTCCACCAGCGCCCGCAGCCGCTACTCCCCTGGCTTTGAAACCGCACACACCGATTCCCCTGGTTACGGCACCAACACCGGCTCCACCGGCTCCCCGACTGGAGCTGCAGCTCCCACCACGAGGAGGGGCTCCTCCCGTAGCAGCAGCAGCACCAGCAGCAACAGCGCCGCAGCCAGGGCTGCGGAAGCGGCTGTGGCTGAGGAGGGTGTGGAGTGGCTCACAAGCCCCCTCGCCGCCGCCGCAGCCCCCCAGCAGCAGCAGCAGCAGGTGACGGCGCCGCCAGCGGCAGCACCGCCACCGGCACCGCAGCAACAGCAAGCGATGCCCTTGCCGGTATCAGCTGCCGGTAAGGAGGTATCCATGCCAACAGGCGAACCGCCCAAACTCACCCACTCAGTGGATCTGGATGAGCGCAGTGTGCAGCTGCGACGGAAACCCAGCAAGGTCGCCGTTGCGAGGGGCATGGCGGCCGCGATACGCAAGCGGGTGGAGGCAGCGGAGGCACGAGAGACGCATCCCGTCCACTCTGCTGGCGGCCGTGTGGCGGGTGCAACCAACGGACCCATGGGTCAATCCCAGCAGCCCAAGACAGTGCCAGTAGGAAGTGGACCCGAGACGGCTGGTTCCGGAAATGCTACTACTACCGCAGGGGCAGCCGATACTGCCGCCGCCGCCGCTGCCGCCTTGGTGCAACGTACGGCGGCGGCGGAGGGCAAGGCGGCGGCGGATGCGGCGGCGGCGGCGCTGGCGGCGGAGGAGCGGTTGGCGGTGTGGGGCGAGGGCGGCTGGCCGTACGGCTCAGCGCTTCGTACGGCGGATCTTGCGGAGGAGCTGAAGCATTCCATTGAGACGCAGCGGGAGGAGGCGGAGCATGGGTCGCCGAGCACCCTGCTGCCGTGAGGGGGGGAGAGCTGAGAGGGGATAAAACGAGGAAACTGGTAAGCTGTATGATGAGGCTTCACTGGGGGTTGCTACACTGGGGGAAGAGCTGAGGGGAGGTGGGAGGCGGACATGGATGAGAGGGGTTGGGGAAGGGGAGCGCAAGCAGCAGCAGTAGAACGCAGGGGTTCACTGGGCAGATCTTGTTTGGTGGTTGCTATACATGCCGATGATACTAAGGGATGGTGGGTGGGTACCGGTACTACTCAGTACGGTGCTGGCGTTGTTGGTTGTTCTTTTGGCCTCCGGCTGTTGGGAAGGGGCCGTACGGGAGCGCGCGCCTCCGTGCTTTCTTCGGCTGGGTTCTGCAGGGTCGTCGCACCAAGCGTGCTATGCTTGCCAGTACGGTAAGCATGCCTCAACCCATCCCTTCAAACATATTTCCAACGACCTATACACCAGTTGATCTGTATCAGTTGACGTTCCAGGTGTACGTATACGCAGGGACTGAGGCATCCTGTGTGTACGCTGATACCTTGTAGCCGTGTTTAGAAGTGCGACCGAATTGGCATATGCAGTTGTTCTGTGCTTAAACTGCTGGAGAATTCGGATGTGACGCTCTCATCCAGCACGACGCCGCGATGCTGCCGCTGCTGCTGCTGCGGTTTCTCCTGCAGTGCCAGCCGGCCGGTCTCGCCGCTGCCGGTGCCTCCTCAAGACTGCTGACATCCAACAAGGCAGCTGTCTGAAGCAACCAGCAGCTGCAGCCGTAGCGGCGGTCCTAGCAGCCGAAGCCCTCCACGCGCTTCAATCCCGGACGTCTTTCTGTCAGCCAACGCACCTCGTAACACTCGCTTGATGGCCAGCATGTGCAGTTGCCACAAGCCTGCGAAGCGCAGCCCTAAGGACAATGCTACCCTACACGAAACAAGGCCAGCATTGCAGCTCATTGCTATAAGCCAAGGCGGCTTCGGCGACGCGACCCAGCATGTGGTTCGACAAAAGCCCCACCTCAAGCACCCTTCGCATACTCTCATGCCTCCATTAGACCCCACAACGCACGCTTTCACACCCTAAGTCACCAAAACCCCTAGGGTTTCCACCACCTAATGGCTAATGACTCCCCCGACCACCGACTCTGTCACCCTCTTCCAAAGCATAAGCCTCCCTCCTCCAGATCCCCAGCTGCTGACTGCTCCTCCAACAGACCACCGCCTCCAATTCCGCAGCCCTCCAATCCCTCTCCTTACACGTATCTCCGCTCCGCATGCGCCACCACCTCTCCCTTGCCCGCCACATACCCCGCCGCGTACGCCGCGTTCTTCAGGCTGCTCATCTGCATCTCCACATCCGCACGCAGCCGAGCCATGCCGTACGCATCGACCCGCCCGCTGCTCACCGCATCCTCCGGGGTGGTTCCGGAGCCCAGCAGTACGGCAACTGCCGTACGGAGCAGCTCGTCCACACGTGGGCCGACCTCGGTGAGGGAGGCGGTGGTGACGGCGGCAGCAGCGGCGCCCTTGCCAGCGGCCGCCTTGCCGCCGCCCGAGGCCTTGGCAGCCTTCTTGGTGTCTTCTGTTGGATGGGAGCGGAGGGAGAGGGGTCGGGTGAGGGGCCATGGGAAGGCGGTTGAGGGACCGTGACCCATGGGTCCTGACACCATTGGTGTCGAGGCCTTGCTGGCATGCACGTAAGGCGATGCCCGGTGTTGCTATGCTCTCGGCCGGCTGGTCACACAAGGCCGAATCACAGCCAAGTCACAGCTAGCCTTTCAGCGACTCTCAACCGCCGACACTCACTAGCAGGAGCAGCCGCAGGCTTGGCCGCCGCAGGCGCAGGCGCTGCTGCCGCCGCTGCTGCGGGCGCGGGCGCGCCTGCTGCTGCCGCCGGAGCCGCTGGAGCCGCGGGCGCCTCCGGTAGCGCTTGCGGCGGGGGCTTGGCTGCGTCCGAGATGGCCTTGAGGTCGGGCGGGTTGTCGCGGTCTATCTTGGGGTCCGCCTCCAGATCCACGTAGAGGGGCTCACGTCCCAGCAGGCTGGAGAGGGTGGGGCAGGGAGGTGAAAGGGAGAGGCGAATGGGGGTTAAGGGCGGCAACAAAGGGGTTCGAGGAAGGGTCGAAAGTGGCTGATGGGTTAGGGTTGGTACACACTGCAACGGGGAAGGCGGCGCATGCGGCATGCCACTCTACCGCAAGCCCTATTGCCTCCACACGGCAAGCCTTCCTACCGATGCGGCCCTCCGGACAACGAATCGAGCTGCCTGCCCCGCCGCCCCGCCCCGCTCCCAACCGCAACCGCTGTGTCGCACCAACCGCGGTGTGTGACCCCACCGCAGCGCCTGCAGCGCTCTTCAACCCCATCACCATAACAATACCGGAACTAGGCCACTAGCACATCACCCATTGCAGAGCATGCTCCATGAGACCAACACCCCATTAAACAGCTAGCATACCACCCACCGCAGCGCCTGCTCCAGCGCCTCCGGCGTCATGGCCAGCGAGGCGGTGTTCACCAGCGGGTGTACGAACACTTGCTGCTGCTGCCGTACCCGGGAGTCCAGGAGCAGCACCACGGGGGCGGCCTCGGGGTTGGCCACCGCCAGGGGGGTCACGCTGCCGAGGGGGACCTGACGGGGAGGAAGGGGGAGGAGGAGGAGCGGGAGAGGGGCGGTAGTAGTGAGGAGGCGGGGGAAAGGACGTTAAGGTGAGAGTGGTGGGTTGCAGGTGGCTTGTAATAGGTTGTCAAGCGGCTTCCCGGTTGTTGGCCCCTTCCATGTGGGTCACAGCAGACAGGTAATAAGGACGACCCAGATGGCGCAGATGCAGCTGCGGAGAGACCCGCAGCGGACACCCAATCATCCGGTGCCGTACGCCAGTCCGCCCAGCCATATAAACATCCCAACTCCTATCCCCTGAATAAACCAGCGTATGCGGCAACATTATGACAGCCCGTCCCCTGCGGGCCACGCTCCACCTGCCTGCAGTACGGCCTGCAGCAGCTCCTCCGGCGCCATCCGCACACCGCCTTTCCCCACACCCAGGCGGGCGGACAGCACTGCAGACGTAAGCGAAGAGAGGCATGGAACGGCAGGAAACTCAGTACAAAGAGTTGAAGGAGAATGCGTTCCCCTTCCTGAGCTGGTAGTTGCCGCAGCAGTGGCAGGATGTGGCACAGCCCATGCCCCCCCAACCCCCTGTAACCCGCAGAAGAGACCCCTCGTAAGGCAAATGGCAATCCACACCTTGAAGGTCTATCTTGGTCTCCGGCAGCGCCGTGATAATGTAGCATCTGTGCTTCTTGTCCTGAAAGTGCAGCGACCAGGTTTGGCATCTGCTTGCAGGCTGGCGCTAACCCAGTTCGCCTACCTTTATAAATAGGTTCTTTAGCACCGTCTTGGGGTTGCCAGGTAGTGCGTCAACCTGCGCCCGTGAATCGCCATTGCCTTAAGCAAGCGCATGGGTCCGCCGGCTGCCAAGCTGTTCGGTTGATTTCCCACCTGAGCCTCTACAGTCATAACTGGTGGGTGCTCGAACACATCAAACGCTATGCCGGCATCCTTCAATTTGGCTATCAGGGCATCTTTGGTAAGCGGCATTTTCTTAAGAGGCAACGGTTGCCAATTGACAACCCTTGATAAGTGTCTCAATGAAAACCTTAAAGTTTCCTAAGGTGTTGCAACGCTGGACCTTTAGATCACATGGGCTTGATGAATCCATGTCGGTTGGGGTCCGCCGTCCATGATAGCTTTTCGCGTCTGCCAAAGCTGCAAAAACATATAACTTCACAATATATTACTTGCCCTTCTGTTGCTTGCCATAACCCAAGTCGTTCGTCTGTTGGTGCCGCACATTTAGCCGACGCTTCAGTCTGTAGGAACTTCGCAGCGTAGACGAACTAGGCCTTCATATATACTCTGCGTTTGCCGTGGACCTCGCCATTCGCGTCCTCGTCGTTGGGCTTCGTAGCACCAGAGGCGCCATCCGCAGGGTTTCGCCACCATGGTGAAAGTCCAGATAGAGTTCAGGTGAGGCTCTTGCTCGGTGCCGTCCACCTTGCTCAAGCTCTTTGCATCCCTGACACCACTTGCTCTTCCCGCCAGCGGCGGCCTGGAAGTGCTGTTCGGCAACAAGAAGGAGCACGACGTAGATGTTCCGGTGCAGGACGGGCAAACGGTAGGGAGGACAGCTGGTCCTAGGAGCTTGTCACAGTGCTACAAACTCGTAAAGATGCCTCACTTTGCACCCTGTAAACCGCGACGTGCAGGAGCTTACAGCTGCGCACCTCATCGCCTGGACAAGAGACAACTTGTTGCAAGAACGACCTGAGCTCTTCGTCAAGGGCAGCTCTGTGTAAGTTCTAGATGGGCGAGAGCGCGGCAACAGGCGCTGTGGGCCAGCACAGGGTTACGGTGCACGACAGACGGACAGTACAATTGATACGACTGGAGTTCTTTACCATGCTGCAAATCGCCAGTCTTGCCCCCATGTTGGCGCTCGTTTGCGAACGTGCAGGCGACCAGGGATACTTGTGCTCATCAACGAATGCGATTGGGAGCTAAGGTAGGGGTGGAGAGTGCTTAAGTCGGTTGGCTAATCGACTGCCAACTGCCAAGTAACCAACACATGGGGCTGACTGATCCGTTTACCGTTTCGCCAATCTGCCCCGCAGCGGAGCTACGGAGTCCGCGATTAGTGATGGAGATCACATAGTGTTCATTTCAACACTTCATGGTGGCTGAAGCGCAATTCCAAGAGGAAACGTAGTCATCAGTTAACTTGGTCGTTGCCTTCGTCGAAAGGTTGTGGGAAGTGGCGTGGAGCTGCATGCGTCGCATCGTAGCGTTACCCCTCTACGCTATGGTCTTCTCCTCCATCTTCTGCATGAGTACGAACGTACGCGTAACTGCTGACGCTACAGGCGTTACGGACGCCTATGGGATGTAACGCTCGTCCCCACTTTTATCCTCTCATGCTAAGTTGCTAACCGGGCCACACATGACGGGATGCAGCGTCACATGCTCCAACACAGCTGATAAGATCTGTGGTCCGCTCCCATGCAAGAAAGCAGCACCTCTACCCTCGCCTGCGCCACAGCCCCATCACTTCATGCGACGAGAGCCGATAACTGCAACACCCGTGCCAACCGGGCTCTGCCCACGCGTGCTATCCCTCCTCTGTCCTCCTCCTCCTTCCTTCCCAGCCCCATCCTCCTCCTCCGCCCGGCTCCTCCACCCCAGCTAGCCCAGCCCAGCCCAGCCCAGCTCAGCTCTCGCAGCTGCACTGCAGGCCCTGGCAGCCGTCACACGGCATGTGGCAGCTCTTGCCCGCCATGGCCCCGCACACGAACTCCCCCGCCGCCCGCAGGCGCACGTACTCCGCATAGCTGCTGGTGCTGCGCCACTTGCGGCAGCGCGAGCAGCCCAACCAGTGCTCCATGGACTGCGGGGGATGGAAGAGTTTCCAGAACCACAGGGGGAGGGCAAAGGGTTGAGGGGTGGTGTGAGGAAGGGAATGCGCGTCCATTTCGGCGCGCTAGGGCAGTGCAGCAGGGTGGGCATGCATGAGGTGGTAAGCAGTTATCTTAACATATGGCCAAAAGGACTCCTTGCTAATCCCATGTGGACAGGGCGACCGAGCAACATCTTGATTAACCTAACCTAACCTAACTGCACTTCTACCCCAACAAAAACACTTCATAACGGTACAAACCACATCATTCCCAAAGCACCCACATTGGCCGCCGCCAGCGCCACCGCCAAACTCCCCGACTGCTGCTGCTTCGCCAGCGTCTGGTTCGCCGCCGCCAGCATGCGTTTGGCCACGTCACGCGCCGGCGGGTAGTTGTACGGCGAGGCTCCCGGCACGTTGTACACCATGCAGTTGTCGTGGATGCGTTGGAAGTCGGCTTGCAGCGCCTGCGGGCTGCCGTACTGCAGCTCGCCCACCTTGGTGGAGGTGCCCTTCTTGACGCCGATGCGTTGCTCTATGAACTCTAGACACATCACGGACTGCGGGGGCGGGGCGGGAGATGTACCAAAACCACAGGTTAGGGCAAAGCAATGGGGACTGAGGGGACGGGGAAGGGTTGTTGGGGTGATGTGTATATCAGGGTTACTCGCAACGGGCTGTAAGTATTGTAACAGGGGCTGGGCAGAGGAAGCATGTGGCTCCCGGGCAGCACATGTGTCCAGCTGTCTCATGCACACAGCCCCCTCGCGACGCCTTTGCGCTCTCCTCCATACCTCTGGCGGCACGAAGTTGTAATAGTCCTTGACCACCTCCAGGGAGGGCGCCTTATAGAAAAAGTTAAGCGAGTACTCCACCTTGCAAGCCGCCATGAGCACCGCGCTGTAAGCCTTGCGCATCACCGCCTCCGCCTGACCCAGCGTCATGGCACGACCGGCCGCTGCGGCAGCGGAGGCGGCGGCAGGTACGGCAGCCATACCCAACGCCGCCACTGCCGCCGGCTGTTGCTGCGGCGGCAGGTGCTGCTGCTGCTGTGGAGGTGCGTAGAGTTGTGGCTGGTGTTGGAGGGGCTGCTGCTGCGATGCCGCCATGGGCGCCATGCCGGCAGTGTCATCCGGCTGGGAGTCTTCATCACCATCGCTAATGGTGCTGAGGTCGACAGCCTTGCGCTTGAAACCGCTGCTGGGCGCACCGCCACCGCCGCGACTTCTGTAGCTGCCGCCGCCGGCCGTCAGGCCGCTGGCGGTTGGCTGCGGCGGCGTTGCCGCCGCCCTCATCTCCACATCCTCCGCCCCGAAACCACCAGCACCGCCACGCCGGGTTGAAGCCTGTCGCCGGGAGGCAGCTGGCGGCGTGGCCGTCACCGTGGTAGTTGCGGCCGCCGCCGCTTTGCTCCGGGCACGACTGGTCGTCCCTCGCGGTCCTCGGTAGCTACCGTCATCCTCCCCATCATCCGCCTCGTCATCATCTGAGCCCGCCCACTCCTCCTCCTCTTCCTCCTCTAGGATATCCGATTTGACATCCTCGTGATCCGAGCGCTCCAGCTCCGGCTCCTCCTCTTCATCGTCGTCGTCTATGAGGTCAAACTCCTCCTTGAAGCGACTCGTGCGGCCTGTGCGCGCCTGACGCGAGGATTGCCGTGCACGTGACGCCTTGGCGGCGGCTGCGCCGCCGCCACCGCCACCGCCGCCGCCAGCGCTGCGAGTGGACGGCGCGCGTTGGGTGCGGCGGCTGCCGCCGCCGCCGCCACCGCCGCCGCCAGCGCGCGACCGAACGGGGAAGTCGTCGTCACTGTCGTCACTGGCCTCCGCGAGGGCGTTGTAATCCTCATCATCTGACATGACGAATTCCTCGTCGTCTTCGAGCGTTACGTCGACGTCATCGTTGCGGCGACTCGGTCGCCGGCGAATGCGTCCGCCGCCACCCACAGGCGTTGACACGCCGCCTCCGCCGACAGCCGCCGCCGCCGCCGCACCACCACCACCACCCACGCCCATGGCGGTAGCGGTTGTGGCAGCAGGTGCAGCGGTGGCAGCCTCGCCCGACGGCGCCGGGAACCCAGTGGCGCCGCCGCCGCCGCCAGTAGTGACAGCGTCGGCGCCGTCAGTGTGCGCCGGGCCGTCGGCGGTTGCGGCGACGGCGGCGGAGTCGGGTCCGGCGTTGGTGGTGGCGACTGTGACCACGTCGTCCATGATGCCGCTGTCGGACAGCTCGGACAGGTCGCTGAGACCGGCGTCCGCTCGCCAGTTGGGGCATTGCCTGTGTGAAGGGAAGGAGGAAGGAAGGGATGCACGGTCAGCAACACTAATTAGAACCCTGTAAGGTAAACCGTCCGGAGCCCATGGCAAGGAAGCACGACTTTGCTTAAGCTTTATGTGAAAGATCATGAGACCGGCATTCTGGGAAGGAGGCTGGAAAAACAAGATGCGTCTCTCTCCCACCTGCTGTAGGCCCCATGCCCAGGCTGCCCGCAATCCGGGCACACGTTGGCCTGCTGCGGTTGCCGGGGTGCCGCCGGCTTGCGGGGCTTGGGGTTGGCGGGCTTGGCGCGGGGGGGCTTGGGCGCAGGCGGGGGCTTGGGCTCGCCCTGGGAGGGAGACGGCGCGGCGTCCTCGCCTGCCTCGGCTGCGGCTGCGGCTGCCGCGGCGGAGGGCTCCGGGCGACGAGCCCCGGCGCGGCGACTGGTGCCTGCTGCCATCTTGCGCATGACCTGTGCAACGCAGACATGCGGCGGCACAGCGGGTCCGACATGGCGCTACTGCCGCTACTGCCAAAGGTACTGGAGGACTGTCCTGAACACGCACACAAACCCTCACATGGCCCCAGCCTTTCCCTAAAGAGAAAGCAGATGTAGAGCCGATGCGTGACACGAGGCGTAGAGACGTGGACACATCACACGCCACTCCTAGCTGTCTTCTGTTGCTTCTGCCAAGCCTGGATGCATGCCCTTGGGAGGTGCCCGCATGCCCTTCCCCCGTTGCGTGCGGTACCACACCCAACCTCCGTGCCTACCCTGGCCTCCTCGTCCTCCTCCGCTGCCGAGTCCGTCTCCTCATCATGGTCGTCGCCGCTCTCACCGCCCGCACCGGCACCCGTGGCGGCTCGAGCCACTCGCCGCCGCTTGTAGCCGCCTCTCCCTGCATTCACCACGACGCACATGGCACACACCGAGGGCTTTCTTTTTCTTTTTTCATGCAGGCCGGCCTTTTCATGGCTTACGCTGGTTACCGGTAGTAGATGGATATTATGACGCATCACACAGAGACTATTCGCGCTCACACAGCATGCACATCACATAACCCTCTTTCCCTCACAACCCCCGCACAACTTGCCCCAGCAGCATCCTTCCTCACGCCTCCTTACCTTCACCGCCACCGCCGCCTCCATCGCCTCGGCCTCTCCCACGTCCCCGTCCCCGCCCACCGCCGGCCCCCACACGAACCGTGGGTCCCGGCATGAAATTGGCGGCGGGCGGTTGCAGGATCTGCTGCCCGAAGCCGCCCTGCTCCGGTCGGTTGAGGCCTCGGTTGACCACCTGCATCTCCGCCCGGTCTCGGTACACGTACTCTCGCCGCCCCAGCTCCGTACCGTCTGGCGCCAGCAATGTGACGACGCGGCGGATGCGGCGCTCCTTGGGTTTGGCCTCCAGGGGCTGGCCCTGTGTGTGACGCATGCGGGTGCGGGATTGGGTTAGGATTAAGTTAAAGAGGGAGGCTAGGCAAGGCCAAACAAGTGAGGGCAAAGGAAAGGAAGAGGGAGAAAGACCATGCTGGGAAGGTTAGGCACAGGTATCCTTATCCTCTGGTACCTTTTTGCTCTTGGCGGCCGCCTTATCGCCTCCCGCTCCCGAGCCCAGGAACCCCTCCCGCTGCAGCTCCAGGTAGGCGCGCCGGTCCTCGTCATCATCAGCGGCAGAGGCGGCGGCGGCGGCTGATGCGGGCTGCGTGCGGCGACCTAGCGGCCGCAGTAACCCGTAGTCTGCAGCGCAGGAGGAAAGAACCCGGTTACGGTAATGCTGCTGGAAACACGATTGATACATGTTCAAACACACGTGTGCTGTACGTGCGCACGCAGCACCCTAACACACGCTCCCCAGCCCCCACCTTCCGGCGCGGCGCCCCAATCCCGATCGCGTCTGAGCGCCTCCAGCTGCTTCTGCAGGATGCTGCTGGCCGTGCGTCGAGCGCTCGCTATCTTCTCATTGACGTTGAGTCGCTGCACGCGCACAAAGTGCGCGTTGAAGCCCTCCGTGCCCTCCATGGCCGCCTGCGTAGCCAGCTTGCGGACCAGGTCGATACGTCGCCACCTGCGCGGGTTTGGAGCGGGGGTGGGTTTCATGACCCATGGGTCACTGTGAGTCCACGGCAGTCCAGCGGTCAGGCTAAATCAAAATTCCCATCCTCCTCCACCAGCCCATTGCATGTTTACAACCCAGCTGCCCTCCCTCCACATGTCTCGCGGCCAGTTTTCTGACCACACTCTCGACACATCCCACGCACCTGTTTGTCATTGCATCCACCACGTCCTTCTTGACGCCCCACTGCATCAGCATGCGCCCCGCCTCCTCGTGACCCAGCTTGCGCAGGTCCGCCTCCGTACCCGTGATGCTGCCCTCCTGCGGCAGCAGGGCAGGGCACACACGGGGCAGGGCACACACCACCCGGGTGTAAACATCCGTCAGGCCAATATCACGACAGTAATCAAAAGTTACTAACAGCATACGAAAACGCATGTTGTGTCGTCCTTTGTTACCAGGACCAAGACCGTGCAGCGTCCCAAGCAGCGTTGGGGCACCGACATCTGAGAAAGCGAACGCTTCCCCGGCAGTGCTCCAAGCGACTCGCACCTGCGGCGGCTTGTCCTTCAGGTCGGGTCGCGTCACTCGCTGCCAGTCCGCCAGGTAGCACAGCCCGTAGCCGCGACCTGTAGCAGGACGGAGCAGGGTAGGGTAGGGTAGATGCGTCAGGGGCAGGATCACAAGGCAGGAGCACGAGACAGGGCCCCGTCCGGTTCGGGAGGCCGTCCGCAGCGCGTTGCAGCTATAGAGCTATACAACGTTAAGAGTAGGCAACTAGATGCCTACTAGAGTGCCGTAGAGGCTGCAGCGCGGAGGCGGTGCAGTGCCCAGCGAGCAAGAACGAAGGGAAGCAGGCGCCCAACAGCGCAAAGCACCTCCCTCCCACCTGTGGGGTCGAACGGACCCTCCACGCGCAGCCAGGTGCTGTTCTTGGTGTCGCCGCGTGTGGCGGAGGAGTAGGAGCCGGTGGTGACCCATGGGGCGGTGTTGACCGCCCAGTCAATCAGCCGCAACGCCGGACCCGCCTGCGCATGGAATACCGGTACATGTGACCGGGGGGCAGGCTGTGAGGAAGATGCTCTTGTTCTTGGGGGTTGCCGTGCCCCTAACGCAAGCCAAGCTGCAGCTGCTCTTGCTTCCTAACCCCCTCTGCTCAACACCAGATGACGTCACTCCCGCAACTCCTCCACCGCTACATCAACTACCGTACATCAACCCCACAACTACCGTACAAGACTACCCCACCGCCACCACCACCACCACACACCTTTCAGCATCAACCACGCGGCAGTCAACCTACTCCGAGTGCCGATACCCAACCCCCCCCATCGTTGTTTCACATATTTAATTTTTTCCCCACCTTGGGATTCAGCTCCGCCAACTGCCGTACCGCCGCCTGCCACCGCTCCGGCTCCATGCGCGCCACCGCGGTGAGGGGCTGCAGGTGCTGCAGCCCCAGCGACTGCAGCCGCACCTCGGAGGACCGCATGGCCTCGTGCGCGCACACCATGTCGGGGCGCACCATCTCACGGAGCTTGGCTTCCTGCGGGAGTGGGAGGGGTGGCGGTGGTGGGGGTGAAGAGAAGGATACCCAGGGAGTGTGAGGGGTGGTGGCGGTGGTGGTGGTGGTGCAGGGGTGACGTGTTTGAGGTGGGTGGTGAGGTGGGACGGCGGCGGAGAGGGAAGGAGGGAGAGGGGGGTGATTGCAGGGTTCTCTGCGGTATTCGGGGGTTCGGGGGCAGGCTGCTAAGCGAGAGCGAGGGCGAAGGAAGGAGCATGCCGCATGAGGGGCATGAGGGGCATGCCGCAAAGGAAATGTGAAGAAAGAGTGTGGATACCTGCAGTCCCGCCCCCCCTTACCTCCGTGACCTGCACACCCTCCGGCAGCTCATACTCGGGGTTGTCCGGCACCGCGGCGCCGCCATCCGCCGCCGTCGAGCCGTCCTTGGGTCGGCAGCCGCACTCCTTCTCCATGCGCTGCCGGATCTCCTCGCGAGGGATGAAGGGAAGCCGATCGGCCACCTCGCGGAGCTTCACAGAGGGCTTCTGGTTGGGCTGGGGGCGGAAGGGAGCGGGGGCATGCGGCGCATAATGAGGGAGAGGGAGAGGAGCGAAAGCCCACGGTGTAAGGACAGAAAGAGGTAAAAGAAAGCAAGAACGAGAACCAAGGACGTGCTGCAACCCCACAAGCCCCTGAAGGACCCGCCGCTATCAGCAGCAATTACCGGTATACCACTCAGGCGCAGGCACTTACGTTGCGGTTGCGTGCCGTGTGAAGCAGCCGCGCCACTTGCACGAATACGCGGTTGGAGTTGTAGGTCTTGAGCCACTCGGCGTCCCAGGGCTCCGGAACCCGTTCGTGCGGGTGCTGCTGGCCCACCGTCAGCGCGCCCGTGAGCTCCCGGAGCTGGGGGGCAGACAGGTGGGATGTGAGCAGGGGGCAAGGGGACAATTGGGAAGTACTCAAGGCCGAGACGACGGAGATTCGGGCTGAACGGCTTGAACACACTGATCGACTGACAGTCCCTCTGGCCCTTTAAAAGCGCCTTCGTCTCTCTGTGGTAAGTCTACGGTAACACCGCAACACGCATGACGGCCCCCCTCTCGCTCACACACAAGACGCACGGGGAATCTTATTTGGCTTCGCAAACTAACCAACCACCACTCACATGTACGACACCGTTGTTGGAGCGCGCTAGCAGGAAGTCGGAGGGTCGCGGGTCGTGCGGCGCCGCCGGCGCCTTGAACATATGCGTGTCCACACACATCACGGAGCTGCCCGGGGCGAGGGGCGAGTAGAAGGGGCGGTTCTCAGGACCTGCGGAGGAGGGGCGGAGGAGGGGCGGAGGAGGGGTGGAGAAGAAAAGAAAGGAGTTAAGCACCGGCGAATATCGTAAAAGGGTCGGTGCCTCGATGGGATAAGAAAGGAACGCTAAAGCATCAGCAGCCACGTGCTGCTACAAACCCAGGAGCCCGTTGCCGGTGGTACATTGCCGGTGGTGTAGCAGCCCTTACTAGCCGCAACCCATCAGCCCCTCTCAGCTCTCTCACCCAGCGGCACCACCGTGCCCAGCTTCCACAACTGCCGCTCCCCGCCCGCCGCTCCGCCCGCCCCCTCTCCCGCCTTGCCACCCTCCTGCCCCCCTCCTGCCCCGCCCCGCCCCGGCGCGGTGGGCGGTTGCAGGTGGTTGTGTCCCATGTCCTGCTCGTCCCGGCGCTGGTAGTAGGTGAGCAGGCGGGCGCCCATGGCGGGTCTCGCCAGCAGCGGCGGGTGCTCCTCCAGGTACTCGAACAGCAGCACACGGCCGCCGGTGGCTGTCATGGGGAGGGGCGGGGGGGGGGTAAAGACCACATACCGAAGCATGGGAAGCAACAGGCTAGGGCAAAGGGGCAAGGGGATAGTCTATGGCATTCATGCAAGCATGGGGGACCGAACATGTGTGCGGAGAGAGAAGCAGTTGGGTGTGTGCTGCAGACGAGGTGTGGGGGGCGGCGGTGCTCGTACCTGTGAGGCTGGCCTTGGTGTTGAAGGCTGCTGGTGGCTTGGTGCCCTGCCCCGGTTCCGGCATATGCGGTCGGGTGACCGGCAGCAGCGCGGGGATAACCACAAACAGGTGGTTCTCCTGGGAGGGCGGGGCCGGGGGGGGGGACGACATGGGTGGCAGGGGCGTACATAATAACATGAGTCGCTGACAGGGAGCAGCTGGCCGCAAACAGGTGGTGGTTCTCCTCGCGTCACCATCTTCCGACAATCCAGTACGTTCCTACTCGCGCCCAGTTGGCTTTACCCACAGACACACGCACACGCACCTGCTTGTTGATCCCCGCCTCCACCAGCTTCGTCTCCGGCTCCAGCGCCGTCAGCGGTGCCCCGCCGTACACCCTGTACGGCAGGCTCTTGTGCTGCGGGAAGCCCGTCTCCAGCGCGTTGAGCCCCGCGGGGTTGCGCACCTGCAGCAGCTCCCCCAGCGTGCCAAACATCTGCGGGTGGTAGATGCTGCTGACCACGGTGCCGCTGATGCTTCTGTGGGGGTGGGAATTAGCGTTGGCCAAAAGCAGGGGGGATACCGCAGGGGTGAAGGGTGAGGGTGAGGATGTTTCGTGTACACTGGTTGGGCTGACGACAGCTGACGGGTGCAGTTGGGGTTTAGCCAATGCGTGTTGTGCACCGGCGGGCCAGAGCAGTGGCACCCAGTAGGTGGCATGGCTGATGCTCCTGAAGGATGGGCTCCAGCGCCTTTCCCACCCACCACCCCAACCCACCTGAACTTGTAGGCCACCTCCTTCAGGTCCTTCATCGTCGGCGTGGGCCGCTGCGAGGTAATGGCCAGCGTCCACACCGACCTGGGTCGGTGGAACAGCGCCAGCTCATCCCTGGTCAGCCGCGCCGGCAGCGTGGTGAGGATCATGGCGGGGTGGCCGTGCTTGGCTAGTGACTTGAGCGTGCGGTCCATGCGGGCCTTGGCCTGGTGCGTGTAGAGGCTGTCCAACGATACGTTGAAGGCCGCCAACTGCTGCCCGATCAACTCGCTGTGAGCGGCCTCCATGACGGGGCCGCGAACGATCTTCCGTCGTACGACAGGGGGAGCGACGAGCGCTGCCGCGCGTCGGAGCAGCTCCGATTGAGCTGTAGCAGCAGCGGCGGCGGCAGCAGCAGCAGCCGTGGAGGGTGCGTTTTCGCTGGAGGGAGGTTGTTGGGCGCGGTAGATGAGCGCGGGGTCATTGAGGTTGTGCACCAGGGGAGCCGGAGGAGCACCGGGTTCGGCTTCCACCGCGGCAGCGACCCATGGGTCATCCTGAGACAGCGCGAGCGCGGGGTGGTAGTACTTGAGGGTGCTGCGGGCAAAGCCTGTCGCATCGGCGGTGGAGGCGGTGTCAAGTCGGAGCATCTGGGGGTGGGTGCCGTCCACGAAGAGACGCTGATCCGGTGCGGGGGCGCTGGGGTCGATGGCGGGCGGCAGCGGCGCCGCCTGTGGCTCCCCAAGCAACGCCAGCGGCACCCGCGGATCACCGTCATCGCCCCCGGTAGCGGCGGTGGCGGCTGCAGCCGCCGCCGCGGTCGCCGCCGCCGCTGCCGCCAGGGGATCTGAGCCAGCTACCGCCGCGGCGGCGGAGGCAATGGCTGCTGCTGCGGCGCCGAGCGCCGCCTTGGCGTCGGCGGCGGGCGCTGCCGCCCCCGTTGAGGTTGTTGCTGTCCCGGAGGCGGCTACTGCCGTCTTCTCCATCAGTGGCCGTGCCCGCGGCCCCGCTAGCAGCTCCGCTGCAGGCGCGACATGGGGCCGCCCTCGCCAGATGCCTCGCAACGTGAACGGCTGGTTCACCGGGATAGCGCGCGGAGGCACAGAACGCCTCCCATGTTCCCCTGCCGCTTTCCCCTTGCCCTCCGCCAAACCATCCACCTCCATAGCCTCCGGGCCGCTCGGCTCTTCCTCCTCCACTTCCTCCGCCTCCACCCGCCCTCCTGCGTCCACCTCCGTTTCCACTCCAGCGGGTTTCGCCGGAAGCGGCGACGCCGCACGGCCACCAGCCGCTACCTCGCCTCCAGCGCCCCGCTCCGTTGCCCCATCCCACAAGATCTCCTGCTCCCAATCCTCCTGAAACACACTGAACGCCAGCGCCTCCGGCGCAAAGCCGATCATGACCGGCGGCCGCTCCGCAAGGGCTGCCAACTCATCTGCATGGTAATCGTCCGCAAAGTCTTCCCCTGGGTCCGGATCCCAAGCCGCGCTGTCTCTCGCGCGCTGCAACCGCAGCGCCGCCGCCAGCGCTTCCGACAGCGCGTCCGTCAGTTGACGAGGTACGACAGCGTACGGATCGACTTCGTCGTACGAGTCCCGTGGCGCCGCCGCCGCTGCGGAGGCGGTGGGGGCGGGCATGGGAGGCTGCTGAGGTGGCTGTGCGGGCTGATGCGCTGTGGGCTGCTGGGGCTGTGAGTCGGGTGGGGAGGGCTCGGGCCCACCCGGGGCTCCGGTGGCGGGAGCTGGCTGGAGCAGCTCGGTCGCGGGGGGTGGCGGCATCAGCTGGATGAGGGGTGTGGGCTCATGTGAGTGCAGGGGGCACTTGGCGGGGTCGCAGAGCCTGCGGGAGGAGGAAGGAGCAGGAGAGGGACGGTGTTGGAGGGTCGGTGCTGCCATCGCGATACGAGGGGTCAGCAAATGCTTGTCAAGGGAACACGCCGCCATGAGCTGCACCGGTATGATGTACCCCCACAACTCCCTCCATGCACCCAGCCTTACCTCCGCCACCTCAGCCGCTCTCCTCCGCCTCGCTCCTCCCTTCCATCCTCCTCCTCCTCCGCCACTCCCGCCCCCTCCTCCTCCTCGCCCTCGCCCTCCACCTCCTCTCCCGCCAGCTGCGCCGTCGCCGCCGCCGTCGCCGCCGCCACCGCCGCCGCTAGCTCCGCCGCCTCCACCTCTGCCTGCGTCTTCCCGCCCGCCGCCGCCGCCGCCGCCGCGCTAGACTTCATCAACGCCAAGTCATCCACAAGCTCCGGAGGCAGTCGCCCCGCCGCCGCCGCCCGCCGCTGCTCCTCCAGGTCAGGATCCTCCATCTCCAACGCCGCAGCTGAACCGGCCGCTGCTGCTGCAGCTGCTTCCGCCGAGGCTGTGGGCTCAGCGGCCGCTGCCGCGGCGCCGGGTTCGGATGCAGGAGGCGGTGTTGGTGTGGCGGAGGCGGAGGCTGCTGCCGCTGCTGCTGCTACCAGGCGCTCCCTGCGGGCTGCTTCCGCGGCCAGGCGCGCCGCGTGTTGCTTTTGCATGCGCAGCTGGCGCTCCCGGGCAGCGGCGACTGCGGCTGCGTACTCCGCTGCGTCCATCTGGGGGGCGGAGGAAGGCAGGGGGCGGAGCAAGGCAGGGGGCGGAGCAAGGCAGGGGGCGGAGCAGGAAGGTGGTGGCAGTTGGCAGCCCCTCAGCAGGTGGGGTAACAACGAAGGCTAGGGTACAGGGCACACAAGCGGGCGGCATGCGAGTGCGGCCACACAGCTGCATGCTACAACACAGAGGCAGCCAGGTTGCAGGAAGGCTGCTGCCAGGGGCTCATGTCTGTCTTGCTCAACCGTTACCCAGTCCCAGCCGCAGTCCCAGCCGCCCAGCGTACCCTGCCCTGCCCTGTCCTGCCCAGCACACCCTGCCCCGCCCCTGCCCCACCCCACCCGCAGGTCCCTGGCATGTCGGTCCGTGTGCGAGCTGTCCAGCGCGGTGTGGCGGATGACGCGCTCCCCTCCCGGCAGCACCGCCAGGATCTGCAGCCCCAGCGCGTCCTGCCGGGCCTCCTGGGGCAGGCAAGGAGTCGCGGTGTAAGGGGGGGGGCGACTCAAGATGGGGGCAAGAAGCGTGAAGCAGGGGAGGCAAGGCGCGGCACATGGATGTGGTGGCACGGACGGCGGTGGTAGCGTCAGTACGACCTCCATTAGGTGGCAGCAGCAGAACCAGCAGTAGCGGTGGAAAGGTATGCAGGAGATATCCTCCTCCCCCCCCCCCCCCACCAGGCGGCCACCCCACAGGCGGCTTACCAACAAGCTTTTTTCATCCACGGGAGCAGCAGCTGGCGACGTCTCAGCCGGCGTTACCGGACCCGGCGCCATTGCCGGTGCCGCCAACGGCGCTTGCTGCTGCTGCTGCTGCTGCACCACTCCCGGTGCCATGGACGGCAGCACCGGCCCGGGGGCCATCAGGGGCCCGGGGGCCATCTCCAGCTTTAGCCCTGGCGCCCTGGCGGCCTGCGGTCCTGGGGCCATCGCCATGGGTCCGGGTCCAGGTCCGGGAGCCATGGCCGAAGGCGGACCGGGAGCCATCATGGGGCCTGGCGCCAGGGGGCCCGGTGCCAGGGGGCCTGCCTGTGGTCCCGGAGCCATCAAGGGGCCTGGTGCCATGACGGGCACCGGAGCCATCTCCAGCTTTAGCCCTGGCGCCAGGGCAGCCTGAGGCTGAGGCCCGGGGGCCATCGCCATGGGTCCGGGAGCCATTGCCGGCTGTGGCCGGGGAGCCAGGGGGCCTGGTGCCATGCTGGCTTGGAGTCCGGGGGCCATCGCCAGGGGTCCGGGGGCCATGACGGGCACGGGAGCCACGGGGCCTGGCGCCATGGCTGGAGGCAGCGGGGGTAGCGAAGCTGCTGCACCCGCTTGCGGCGAGTCGTAGTCGTCATCCCCGTCCGCTGCGCCCGCTGCTGGGGGGCCCGCGGGCTGCTGCATGTAGGCTTGTACGGCATGCATGCTGTGCAGCTGCCCGGGCCTGATGGGGTGGCAGCAGGGCAGGACACGGGCATGGGAGAGGGGGATGGTGATACGGTAACTCTGGGCAAGCTGGTTGGAGGGCGTTCATGCGCTCTAAAGGGTGCGAGTGCCATCACGCATGCCTCCGCTCTTTGGGAGAAGGCATGCACCACGCCCTGCGCTCCGCCAGACGACGCTGCCCGGCCCTGCCTCCAACCCCGTCTCCCGCCGCCTCTCTAACCTACCGCACCAGCACCACCACCAACCCCACGCTACACTCACATGGCTATCCCAGCTGCGCCCCCGCCTCCCGCCGCAGGGGCATCGGGGTCCTCCGCCTCCTCCACCTCGCATTCATAGTCGACAGCTTTCGCGTCGTGAGGCACCGCGGAGGCGGCTGCAGGGCCGTCGCCGCGTCCATCAGCCTCCACCTCCTGCCGGGAGGTAGGGTACCGGCAGCGGGAGGTGGGGAACAGACCTCAGGGTTGGCTACCGGTACAGTGCTGTGCTGTGGCACACCTAGCCACCCTGCAAGCCACCCTGCATCCCGTCCCAGTGGAGCTATGCATGATGACGTTTGTGAGGATTGCTATTGGTAATAAGCCGAGGGGTGGGTTGGAACGAGGTGTGGCAGACATGGCTCCCTCTCCCCCAAATACAGCAGGGTTGTGAGGGTGGATGCTGCTGGGGAGCAGCCCGGGAACACGATAAAGAGCAGCGGGGTGCATCCAGGGGCCCGTACCTTGACCAGCGAGCCGTCCTTGCCCAGCTTGCTGCGAAGGACGGTGAGGCTCTGCCTGGCATCCTGCGGAGTGGGGACGGCAGAGAGTGCTGCTGTGACGGGGGGCTCGGGACAACGTAGACGTTAAGCTAGCCCACGCCGCTTTCCAGCATCCGCAGTAAGCTGGATTACTGCAGCTCACCTCGTCAAGATAGTCCGCGTCTGCACGGCCGTCCTCGTTGATGTTGCCAAACAAAATGCTGGTGAGGATGTCCTCGCCACCCTCCTCATCATCATCCTCCTCATCTCCACGCCGCTGGACCCTCCTAGACATAGCTGCACGTTGGCCTTGTGCTGCTTCCTACCCTAGCGCCGTGAACACACATTCATTCATAAGCCGTATGTCTGAAGTGGCAGACGCAATCTATACTTATTGCAACTCGGAAACTGGACTGGTTTGAAGTGGTTAAGTATGGCAGTAACCAGAGCGTCAATAAACAACGGTAGATGCGCAGCACTCGATCGTCAGCACTTGTGCTGTCAGCATAATCGAATTGATAATTATAAGTAACTAGGTTATATGTATGTACAGATAATGGCCTACCATAACTAGTAACTAGTAGTCAATTCACAAGTACATGGTAGGGCCACCATTCTTGTGATTAGGCATCGCGGCTGGCTGCCACTACAGAAAAAGGCATTACCTACATGTTTAGTGTGCCTTACTTTAAACTTTTCATTTTTCCCTACTTAGTGCGTTCAAGCTATGGGCATGACATGCTGCAATTGCAACACCATCCGGTCTCGGCAGCCCTCTTTGCGTGCCGCTGTAGGACGTGGCCACAGCATTAGGGTTGCAGCCTATGGGAACGCCTTGGTTATTGGCGGAGGCTTTGCTGGCCTTGCAGCAGCTCGCGTGCTGACCGATGGAGGCATGGATGTCACGCTCGTCGAGCAGGCAAGTACACAATTGGGTAAGGATTCCGCGCACGTGCTGGACATGGGATCCTAGATTAAGAGGAGATGGCGTTCGGCGTTTAAAGTCTGGCCATCTAAGCGAGCCAAACAGCCATTTAACCGTTATAATTCCTGCCCTCCTGCCATTCCCCATTCACCGCGACCTCCTACCTTTACCTCCAACCCATTCTCATTTTGATGACTGCTATTGAACACTCTGGCTAGGATACTCTTCCGTCCTTCCTGCTCCAGCTCGGAATTGCTCCCCACACACCGTTCCACCACCCATCAGGGTCGCGGTCTGGGCGGCCGCATGTGCACCCGCCGAGTGACTCTGGGCTCGCAGGGGCAGCAAGTCACCTTTGACCATGGTACGACTGCTTGGGACTAAGCAGCAGGGTTGTAGTACAACAGCTGATCCAACAAACACAGCTGGACAGGGTTAAGTTGCAGAAACAACCCAACCAACGTATACGTCACTCGCGTGGTCTCACCCGTCGCTGTGAGACCTCCAATACCATAACACCCACCCACCTCCTCGGCTCCTCCCCCTCCCCTTCACCACGCCTTGTTCCCTCCTACTCTCTTACTACCCGCCCCCAGGCTGCCAGTACGTGACGGCTCGCTCGGCCCCCTTCGAAGCGGCGCTGCGGGAGCTGCAGGCGGCTGGCGCGGTAGCGCGGTGGGGGCTGGGCGGCTCCGTGGGGTCGGCGGTGCTGCAGGGGGACGGGGCACTGGAGGCAGGCAGCTTCGTAGCGGGTGAGGGGGGTAACGAGGATGTATACGGTAGTCCACATCTACCAGCAGTAGGCTTGAGAGTTGGAGAAACCGAAAAGCGGGTGAGGGGAGGGGGGCGGCAGGCGGGGGCGTGCGAGAGGAACTACCAGTAACCCGTGCAGTCTGACACACAGCACTAGTAGTTAGGGCAATAGGCAGTTAAGACCCCAACCGCCTCTGCACTACCCACCCCCCTGTGGTTTCCTTGGTCTGGTCTGTGCTCTTTGACCCTCCCCCCCTCCCCAGACTCCCACAAGGCCCTCTGGGTGGGCTCCCCCACCAACAGCTCCGTGGGTCGCGCCCTGGCCGCCCTCGCCGGGCCCCGCCTCACCGCGCTCACCGGCACGCGGGTGGAGGGGCTGGCGTGGGATGAGGGGCGGCGCGCCTGGAGGTGCCGGGCTCGGCAGGTGGCGGCGGGGGCAGCAGCGCAGGCGGGGCCGGAGGGGGCAGCGGCCAAGTAGGTGATGGTCGGGGGGTGTCCGAAGGTGATGGTCGGGATGCCAAATGTGTAGATGTGCGGGGTGTTTTCGGAAGACGAGTAGTGCTAGGAGGTCTAGAGCCCTGGGGGGTGCCATGCATGGCCGCGGAGTGGGCCGCCTCCTTCTCTGCGCTGTCCTAGGATGATATGTCCCCCTCTTCATGTCCCCCCCCTCCATGTCCCCCTTCCTTTCCTCAGGTTGGAGGCCTCCTCGTATGACCTGGTGGTCACCGCCATGACGGGCGCAGCTACTGCCCGCCTCATCGCCAACAGCAACATCACGGGCAGCAACAGCAGCAGCATCATAAGTAGCAGCAACCGTGGTGGTAGCAGTGAAGGCGCCAGCACCGGCAGCAGCACCGGCAGCAGCACCGGCAGCAGCACCGGCAGCAGCAGCAGCAGCAGCAGCAGCACCGGCAGCAGCAGCAGCACCGGCAGCAGCAGCAGCAGCAGCAGCAGCAGCAGCGCCCCCGTGGCTCCCGAAGTGGTGTCGGCCGCCGCTGACATCCGCTCCAACACCTGCTGGGTGCTCATGCTGGCGCTCAACATGCGCATGGGTGGGTGGAGCTGGACGGGGCGGGTAAAGAGGAAGCAACCAAGAACCAACTAACCGCCGTATGACCAGGCTTCACCAAGCGTGTCAGTCATCTTCACCCCCACTTGCTGCCCTCCCCCCCACCTCACAGACCTTCCCTTCGACGGAGCGCTCCTCAGCCTGCCCGCTGCCGCCCCCGGGCAGCCCCCGCAGTACGGCCCAATCTCCTGGATTGCTCGCGATTCCTCCAAGCCGGGTCGGCCGGCGGTTGCTGGCGGCGCGGGCGAGGCATGGGTGGTGCAGGCAGGGCCCCAGTGGAGCAATGCGCGGCGGGGGGCGGATGCGGCGCGGGTGGCGCGGGAGCTGCTGGAGGAGTTTGGGCGCCTGGTGCAGGTATGTAGGCGGGGGCTGGGGTCGTGGACCCTACCAAAAGGGGGGATGGGGCAATGTGTGTAAGGTGCTGGTATATGCCAGGTTGGGGGGCGAGCGGGGTGGGTGGGGGCTGAATGGGGGCTGCTTGTTAGAGAGCGGGTGGAGGTGCATGGGTCGTGTAGGGTCAGCTGAGGAGAGATGGGGAAGCATGCATGTCGTGTCGTCTCTCTTCCACTGCCTGCGCGCGCATAGGTGTTGTAAGGAAAACTGGCCACGAGCAGGAATGTACTGTGTGCCCGCATGCGTGCGTGTGTGTTCCCCCACATCAGGTACCCCTGACGTACGCTGACGTGCTGCACGCGGAGGCTCACTGCTGGCGGGACGCCTACCCGCTCAACCCGCGGCCGCCACAGCCCTGGAGCCCCTGCCCCCAGCAGCAGCAGCAGCAGGAGGAGGGAGAGGAGGGAGAGGAGGGGGCGGGGAAGGCGGCGGCGGGGACAGCAGCGGGAACTGCAGCAGCGGCAGGAGCAGGAGCAGCAGCAGCAGCAGGTGGTGGCGATGGCGGTGCGGCGCAGCAGCTGCCCGGGCACTTCATGCTGCTGCCGGAGATGAGGCTGGGAGTGTGTGGCGATTGGTGAGAGAATGGGTGGGGTCTGGGGTGAATATAGACCAAGGCTTGAGTGGGGAGACGGAAAAGGGAGGGATTTTAGCGTGGTGACAGGTACCTAAAGGGAGCAGGTGTTTGAGGGCTGGGAGGGTCGTAATAAACCGGTGGATGATCTGGGGGAATGGGAGAAGCTGTCCCTTGCACACAGGTTATGTGGGGCAGGGTTGGTGGCACGGTGATGGGGTCATACGGTACCTGACCCCATTATGGAGTCAGGTATGAGCGTATGACGTATGGAGGGCAGCTTGTGTGCGGAGAGGCTACTCCCGAGTGAATGACTGAACGCATGGCTACCCGCGGCTGACGTCACCATGTCGCTGCATGCAGGTGCAAGGGCCCGCGCGCGAGCGATGCCTACGTTACAGGATGGGAGGTCGCGAACGCTATGCTGCAGCTGTGATGGATGGCGCAGCAGATGTGGTGTTTGCTAAGTGAATATTGCCTGCTTGAAGATTTTGTTGGTGCGCATACATTGGTAGCATGTGCATGCAGAACTGGCTTGCTGGGGTCTTGGGGCAACCTAAGCTCTGGCTTGGAATACAGGAATGTCATTTAATGTTTTATGGTGAACTTTGCGAGTGGCGCATAGCAGGAGATGGACGGCCGCGGTGTGTGACCAGGATAGCGCATCGTGCGTAGCGTTGGGCCCATCGCACGGCACAGCAGGCCTCTCATCGTGCTTTCAAGAACATAGAGTCACCTGGCACCAAGACGATATTCTTGTACAGTTCATCTCGAATTCCCTGAACTCCAACCTTACCAGGCGTAACTTTTTGCCGAAAGCAAGGACATCACCGATCCACAATGGTCTGGTACAGTGTTCGGCCTGGAGAGCTTCATATGCAGGACCCAGTGCTTCTTGCGGACCTCATTGACGTCGTGAACAGCTCACAACAGCTTGCTCACCCAGGCGAACAGCCGGATGGCATGTTTGTGCTGAGGGCCGACACCGTCGACCCCGACTCTCTCTACATTCACGTCGGGGCCTACACCCCAAATGCTGAAAACCGCTTTACCTTACGGCTTCTTCGTTGGCGGATTGACAACGGTGAGGGACACTGTCAAGGACAGGGATAGTTGCCCATCAAGTCGTGAATTGGGTCTGCTAGATCTGATAGTGCGGGGACGTGCTTTATACATAGGAATAATTTCTCTTTAAGCTTCTACTCAATGTTCAAAAGGGCAATAAGGTGCGCGTGCGTTGCGAAGCATAGGATGCGACGAGCCGGCGACGCTCACATTTCCGCACCTCAACCCTGCTCAATCAATCATACATTCATATGTTCTCGTTTTACCAAGATTGCCCCTGAATCATGTTCCCGTAACCACATCTGTCGCATTCCGTGAACATCACTCGACTCACTTCCCCACGCCCCGCACCTTTCCCTTGAACCCCCTCCCAGGCGGCGCCGAGGTCAAGCCGCGCGGCGTGGCTGCCGGTTACCAGCCGCTGGACCTCACCCCGGCGCAGCAGGACGTCATGGTGCGCGCGCTGGACTTCATGACGGTGCGCTCAGAGCAGATGAACGCGCTTGCGGAGTTCGGCGGCAACAACGACTTTGTGCTGCTGCCCGTTGGCATGGCAATGGCTGGCGGGATGGGCATGGGCATGGGCGCCGGCTTGGGATTCCAAGGCCTGCCGCTGCTCTGGAATCCCCCGGCTGTCGTCGGCCACTTTGACGGTGGTGACGATGATGATGATGATCTGGAGGACATTGACAACGACAACGACGATGGTGATGGTGATGATGCGGACATGTGGGAGGGCGGCATGTGGGAGGGCGGCGACGGCGAGGAGGAGGAGCCGTGGGAGATGGTGGAGGTGCTGGAGGAAGAGTACAACAACGGGGGCGCGGCGCCGGCGGCGGAGTGAGGAGGGTGACGGCGAGTACCCGGATGCAGCGCCAACAGCAATTTGATGGAGAGGAGGGTGTGTGGTATGACCGGATGGTAGGCCGAGGTGCCAACAGAGAAGCGGGGGCTAGCGCTGGTGTGATGGGGCGTTGGCCGCAGAAGGTAAGGCACCGCGTTGGGAGCTTCAACCGGTATGCTGCCTGACCATCCGTCCCTTGCCGGCGTACGTCTATAGTAATAACGGGAATTGCGTATAACGGTAACGACAACGGTAACGGCAACAGTAACGGTAACGTTAACGGTATCTGTTGTAGTACTGGGACGTGTGTGCCCCGCGCATGGAAGGTCGCTAGGTAAAGCTGGCGGCCCATCCAGGGGCTTCAGGGTTTCAGGTGTGTTGATAAGGCAGGAGGTTGTTTGTCGTCGTTGTTGGCCGCTGGAATAAGTTACTGCAGCTGTGGGAATTAGCATCACGGTTTATTGACATGGATGGGACGCTCTGACCCAGGGGTCACTCACGGTCGACCGGAAGGGTCCGTAGAGCCCCCGACAGGGAGGCGTTATTTGTTGCCGAGAGTTGCGAAGGGCTTATGTGCATGTAGGATGAGTTGACATGGGTTGTGCAGGTTGGATTGGCATGAGTTGAAATATAGCTAGAAGCAAAGCAAGGTGGTTGGGTACGGCATTTGCCTGCCTTGCCACATCTGCATAGAGGCACATTCATTTGTAGGTTCGCTGCATTCGCTGGGATGTCACGTCTTGCTATTGCACGTAGCATGCATCCGCTACGTTGGGCTCTGTATACCACGTTTATGTGCATGTGTATCTATCATGGTATCGCATCAAGGGGTTGAAGAACTTGCTGATTTTGGCGTTGCGTTGCTCGCTGCGTGGTACATCACGGTTGCGTTGACACGTCTGACACGTCTGTAGGATTGTAGCTGTTCTGCTGTTGCTGTAGATTATAAAGTTGAGAGCCATGGCAGGATCTGAAGACCTATGCGCTTGCTGTTGTGGGACCGCATTGCCTTATCTGCTGGTGCTGCTCGTGGGAAGCCCGAGTCTCCTTTGGTCACCCTTGGTAGTGCCTGACATTGCTTGGCAGTTTTTTGGCAGATGCGAGTAAACACTATGCTTGGCTGGATGTTTGGAGAATGCGAATAAGCACTCTATGCTTGGGTGTCTGGGACCCCATACTTTGCATTTGGTACCGGTTCGCTACCAGGTCATGTGAAATACCGGTAGATAAACGTATGCTGCGTCGGGGGGCTGCGTGTGCTGCTGCTGCTGCTGATGACCGGAGGGCGTCTCAACCTGCGCATGACCTCTCAGCTGCAAAAGGGAGATTAGGAGTCCGCATCTTACACCCCGCTATGGGCGACATGAGAGGAATCAATGCCTAGCGGTGGCTCTGACCCAGCGTACATACGTAAACATCCGGGTTGCACATGCGGCTCCGCTTGGCTCCACAGCGCGCATCCATACCACTGCCGACTGCCCCCCCCCCCACACCACCACCAACATCATTTATATATACCCGTAAATCTAGACACCCGTGCATACACCCGGCACTCAACTACACACCCGTGCACCCGGTGCAACCATACACCCGTTGATCACGCAGTTGCAGTTGCCGCCGCTGCACAAGTCCGACACTTCTGCTGTACGACACGACGTTACCCCACAGCAAGCATGCATCTCCTCAACCCAGTCCCCATTGCAACTTGGACAGCAAAGCACCACCGATCACATGACGATTGTGGCCTGACATGCAGTCGACAACTGACGCGCCGGCCGTTCATCAAGCATCCTGCAAGTAGGCACCAAGGGTGGTGGGAAAGCAACGTAAGCACCTAGTCAAGAGCGATCCATTGAAAGGGGTCCTTAACAAACGTTTCCCCGCTTCCCTCTATCTTCAAGAATAATCCAGCCCTCACCTTCAGCTTCGCCAGCGCCGCCGACAGCTCATCTATGGCGTCGTCCTCCTCGCCGCGCTCCAACGCGCCCTCAGCCCCGCCGCCCTCACCCTCGCCTCCGCTGCCGCCGGCGGCCCCCGCCGGCGCAAAGTTGACCTCCGACAGCCAAGCCACCCCCGGGAATGCGGATCTACATCATTCAAGAAGCGGACGAGGTGCAAGCAGACAACATATGCGGTGATTAAAGCTAAACGGAAGCTGCAGCATGCCCCACCTCTGCCCCCCGCCTCCCCACCTGAATGCCGCCTCCGTAGTCCGCAGCACCTCCCCGTACCCCGCCAGCGACCCATCCGGCCCCGGCAGCAGCACCACACCCCCGGGTAGACCACCCCCGCTCCTCCTCGTCACCAGCCCCCCGGCCTCTTCTACACATGCGCCCGTTGTTGCTGCTGCTGCTGTCCCCGCCGCAGTTGCTTCTGGCCCTGCACCTGCGCCCGCAGACCCTGCTGCAGTTGCAGCAGCCGCCACCCCACAGCGGTGCAGTACGGGTTGCCGGTAGAACCATGCTCGCAGCGCACGAGGACGGCAGGAGGCAGCGGGCCCCGCAGCAGTGGCGTCAGTGGTAGCGGCCTCGGTTGCGGAAGAGGAAGTGGTGGCATCCTGAAGACCGCTGGGGGAGGTTGTGGTGGTAGTGGCGGTGGCGGTGGGTGCTGTGGGTGCTGTGGCGAGGTCTCTCAGTCCTGAGGTGTCCGTCAGGGCGGCCAGGCAGGGACACAGGTCGTCGTGCGCGGAGGCTGAAGGTGAGGTGGCGGGCGTGCTGAGGTACAACAGGAACCTGGGGCGGGAAGGAAGGGAGATCGGAACGTGGGGAGACTTAACGGTAAATGGGAAGAGCGAGAAAATTGGAAGAGGGGCGGAGACTAAAACTGAGGGAAGGCAGGGATACTTCTCGTACATTCCGCATCCGTCGACTCTGTTGCCTGGCTCTGTTGCAGCCGTTAGGCTATTGTTATTCCCTACAACGCGAGCCCCTTTTTCCCCAACGCTCCCCTCACAAGGGCCATGGGGGTCGGGACCCACCTGCCCTGCGGGCAAACGCAGGTTGACGCCCCTGTCTGCAGCGCTCGAACAGGGTGTGGGTTGCCTAGATGCCCACCACCTCCACTACCGCATCCTGGCGATCGAGGCGGCACCACCACCGTCAGCAGCGATTGCGCCGCGATACCGCTTTGTGAAGACCCATGGGTCGGCTGGGGCTGCTGATGGGTCTGGGGCTGGCTGATGAGGGAGGAATCAAGTACTACCACAGCACGAGACACGAGCTCCCGTGAGGGGCCCTCCAGGGAGGGAGAAGCAGCGCCCTCGAGGCACCTTCAGAGGCAGCAGCGAGGCAGGTGATGAGGTGCAGGCATGCGGAGAAGGTTGAGTGGAAACGTCCTTGGGAACCTGTCCCGTCCTAATCATTGCAACTACACGCGTGTGTCATCCTCCCGTGCCATGATTCTCCCATTTCCTTCATCTTTCGCACCTGAGGGTCCCAGCACCGGCAACCACCGTGCCACAGCGCACCAGCTGACCCGCAGCTGTCACAATCCCCACACATCTGCTGCCGCCGCCGCTGCTTCCGCCGTCTCTGCTGCTCCCTTCGCTGCTCCCCTTGCCGTCGCCCGCTTCACCTCCTCGACCTTCCCCTTCCACCGCCACCGCTGTCGACATTACCTCCGCCGCCGCCTCCCCCTCCGCCAGCACCAGCCCCTGCACCGGCTGCCGTAGTACCGTGACGGCCCCATGTACGGCACACAGCCGTACGAACGCCTCCGCCACGGAACCCCACCCGTAGCTGGGCACCATGAAGGCCCCACCCGCCTGCCCGAACCGGCCCTGCGAGCTGGTGAAGAGCTCTAGCGCTGCACCGCCCTCGGCACCCGTCATGAGGGATGGTGGCAGTGCAGGTGGTGACGTCGAGGGGCTGCTGCTGACGTCGCCGTCGCCATTGACTGGCTGGATGTCGGTGGATGGAGTAGCAGTAGCAGTAGCCGACGACGACGGTGGCGGCGGTGGCTCCTGGTCCGTGTCGGCCATTGCGATGCCGTACAGAATGACCTCCCGCAGCCGCGCCGGCAGCCCCTCCGCCGCCAGTACGGCAGCCAGGGGTGAGGCGCTGGACAGGGCGTCCTGCGGTGCAGGGCAAGGGGAGGGAGGTAAGGAGGGAGAGGGAGCGGGAGGGGCGAAAAAATCAAATAAGTGAAAACAACGAGTCCCAATCCCATATCCCGACTCATGCAATGAGCGCATTCGGAGACACTATCCGGGAGGGGCAGGGATGAGGTCTGCGGAGAAGGCTATCCAGGATACGACGCGCCAAAGCCGGGACACGACACGAAGGCAGCCAGATTGCCCAGGATTGACACAAGGCTGTTACCCTACGTCCCTACCACGCCTTATCCGCCAGGCCGCAGCAGCAGCGCTACCAGCCCCCCTCCCCACCCCGCCCCACCTTGAGGTGTCCCTGCCCGCTGCGCGCCTCCACGCATCCCGCGATGAAGCGCATCAGCAGCCGTTTGTCGGCGAGGCCCAGCCGCCGGTCGCGGAAGATGTCGGCACGGCCCGCAGGCACCGGCTGCAGGGCCCCGTCCTGGAGCACGTAGCTGGGCGGAGAAGGGGAAAGGAAGCGAGGTTGGAGGAGGTGGAGAAGAGGGCGAGGCCAGACAGGCAAGGGGTGTGCTCTAGGCGGTGATGCAGGGTGTTCCTGTGTAAGGACGGGACTTTCAGCTGTTTTTCAGCTGGGGGCGTTATGAGGTACCGGTAGCCGCTCCCGTCTAACCGTCCTTCGCCTCCACCTGCGCTCTTCCCTCCCCCCCCGCCCTCTTGCTCGCCCCCACCTGCCCTCCACTGCTTTGAACTCCAGGTAGTGGTGGCAGCGGCAGCGCACCAGCAGGTCCACCAGCGGCTCGGACTGGTACACCAGCTGGGGGCAGGGGCAGGGGGAAGGTAGGAGGTGGACAGGGTGGAGAGGGTGATGGGTTGGTGGGAGCAGGGTGGGAGATGGGGGCAGAGTGGGGTTATGGGTGAACACGGTAGGTGGAGAGCGCTGCATGGGGATGGGAGTGCTGGGCGCGACTCCCCGCCGCAACGATGTTGACCCCCTACCTTTGGGACGAGGTCGAGTATGTAGCCTCTCCGGTCTGCGGGCCCGCCGCCCTCCTCGCCAGCCACCGCGAATGCCCGCAAACCGGACAACGGCAGCGGCCGCTGGCGCAGACGCAGCAGCCGGCAGCCAGGCGGCAGCGGTTCTGAGAGGGGAGAGCAAGCGGGCAGGGAGTGCTCGTGCTCCTGAGCGCCATCGTTCGCGGAGTTGGGTTGCTGAGGAAGATGCGGATTCTGGGCATCGTTAGCACCGGATGCTGACGAGGCGGCTGTTGCGCAAGGAGCTCCTTCATCGCCCGTCTTTTGTTTGGCTTGTTCGTTCAAGGCGTTTTGAAGCGCCGCTGGTGTGAAGGACGCAAAGTCGGTACCGTATGTGTCAACCGCATCGATGATGAGGACGCTCTTTCCCGACTTCACGAGTGATCTGCGTAGCCATGCCAATAAGTGGATCAAAAGAGATGAAGCGTTCCAACTAGCCGCTAGCAAGCGCGATTATGATAGATGCTTCCTTACGCGGCAACGAGGCATTCGGGCAGCCCCGATCCGATCACGACAACATCGTAACTGTCCGGAGTCATTGTCCAGGTCATAATTATCAAATGCACTGCAATTGAAGTCACAGGATCTGAGCGGTTTCGTCTGTCGCCCTCCTGAGCCTAGGATCGAACCCTGTCTCCTTGAGCATTAAGGCAACGAGAATTGTATATATTCTTAGTAAGCCAACATTCTACCGATGTGAATAGGCAGGTACGGTCGCTAAGAGGTGAGCTTTACGCTGAACCCAAGCTCCTTGAGAAGGATTTACGACCCGTGCGTTACTCAGAAGGATTGTAGTGGTTAAAATCAAAATGCTCGCCAGCAGTGGTTGGGTAAGCTTCCGTACTGTGGCCCATGGGACGTATGGAGCTTGTTGCCGTGCGCCCGGATAAGCCTCTCGCTGCCCCTTACCTGCCAAACAGCAAGCGAAATGGCCTCGCGACGCTGCCTTTCACGTTTCCTAGAAAGGTCTTGCAGCCATGCATGCACACCGATGCTTCACATCCGTGGTTACCTCACACAAGACGAACCAGCTCAGTCTGCAAGCAGGGAGCTGCAATGACAAGAGCGAGAGGGCGTATGACTAGGGCGGCTTAAGGGCGCATGAATTGGCACTTCAACGGTACTCGTACGACTGCCCCCCCCCCTAACCTGTGGCTTCCTATGTTTTGGTATCATCTCCCCCCCCCCCACTGTTGCCGCACCCATCCCCAGGAACATCAATTCACATGCCCATTAGGGAGTTACAGGAAGGCAGCAGCTCCCCTGCAAAACAGAGTCAACTGGTTTGGTACCACGTGGCAACCGTCCCTAGACTGCCACTGCTGCATGCGGCACACACCAACAGACACACACCCACCGTTTTCGGTGGGAGGACTTCATCTTTCGGCAATCACAGTACGTTTCGCCTCGCGGCCAGTTATTTAACACACCCAGACCCACTGGCGCCCCAAAGAACTTAGTAGCAGTACTTCACAACTACGGTGCTGCCATGCAGCGACCCACCTGCCTTTCCCTCACATTCCCTCTCCCTCCGTGGGCCCTACGCAAACCCAACCCTGCTGGCTTGTGCTCGTGCTGCCCCCCCGGAGCCCTGCAACACTTGTGTTCTGGAAACTGGCCGGTTTGTAGTGTTAGGAAAATCTTGTGCCCACCCCACTAGCTGGATAAAGGTACAACAGGCCGGTTACGCGCCAAAAGGTTTCCCGGGTGGTTCCCAGGCCGCCCAGATTGGGGTAATAGTGGGCTAGGTATGGTTCTCAACAAGCATGCAGGCAGCGCTGCACTTGCTACGTGTCCGGAGACCCGTGGGGCGACTGCGTTAGGGTAATCGCCGATCGGCGCTGTGCATGGCCTGCCTTTGCGTCTGAAGCGAATGGGTAGTAGTCGCCTGGTGCAACTATGCAGGCATGCAGACAGGCAACTGCACAACAACGGAGAGGTTGGCATGAAGTACAACTCCCTCAATTACAAACAACGCAGGGTAGCGCATTCAACGGCACAGCAGGATTGCCTGGCGTGCGGGGAAAGCAGACAAACGGTCGTGTGGAAGCTCCCACTCGCACACCCTTTATGCATCTTGCTGCTGTCCTACAGGACCAATTCCCTGAAAAGGGCAATTTAGTTACCGCTCCGGCCAACACCACCGCTAATGTACACCGGTAAACGCACCTCCCGTTTTCAACACGTCTACATTATGCATGTCGTATGTTCTAGTTCCCACAGGCAATTAGGATAGTTGTCTACATTCCAAAAACGGCAACACAGACCCACCCCGGCACGCGCTGCCGTTTGCAACAGGTGGCTGGCGAAGGGCGCGTCCATGCTAGATTACGTACGGCACAAACCAAACACTGCAGCAAATACAAATGCCGTACGTTCGACTACCAAACTGTCGGCCAACTGTCGGCAACATCAACTAGTACAACGCCCTGCTGCCATGCTTACGTCGCCAGCAGATACATGCATGCATGCACCCCCAAGCAAGGCTGGCTCAACATGATAAAACAACCGTACAACAAACAGCACAGCAACATTGCAGCTCCCTCCTCCTTCCTACAAACCCGCAACTCCTGCTGCTGTGTCTGCCAAGACCCGTGCCCGCCGCACGGCCCGGCCCCCACCTTGTTACATCAGCCTGACACCTGAATCAAGCGGAAGGCCCCGAGCACGTCCTCCAGTCCCTGCAGGCCCACCCTCACCTCCGGAGGTCCACCCTCATCCTTGCCCGTCCGCAGCACCCGCACAACCCGGGCCATCAGGTCCATGGCCTCCTCCATAACCGCCTCCTGCAGCGAACCGAACTCCCCGTTAATCCAGGATGTTGCGCCTGCGGGCCTGCCCACAGGCTTAATGCCGGGGCCGCCGCGGCCGATGTTGCTGCGGAGGAGGCTCAGGCTGAAGCGTTCCTTGGCGGACGGGGAGAAGGGCCTCATGTGGATGTAGACAGCGCTGCGGTTGTGGACGTTCATACGCAGCGTAAAGTCCGTATGGCTGATGTAATCAGGAGGGGGATACAGCAGCATTGCATGGTGAATGACGTCGTCGCGCAGGTCGTCGCACAGGAGCAGGAATTGGTCATACAGATCGGGGTTTCGCTGCCAAAAGCCGGCCGGCGGATCCAACTCATCAAACTCCCAGCTGTGCACAGAGACCCAGCCGTTGCCCTGGATGTAGGGTGCCATTATCCAGACACGCTAGCAGAGTGGACAGCTAGCTGGTGTATGCACCGGTACCGGTATACACTTGGTTAAGTAGGTGTTGTCTTGCGCTTCACTTCTGTATCTATAAGACGGGTAGAAGGCGCTGCACGTTCGGCTGCACAGACGGGTACGCAAGAAAGATATATGCGGGAATGTCCATGGGAGGTTTGTGCTTGGTTGGTGCTCACGGGTTATCAAGGCGTTACGCAATTACGTAACGTGCGTAACGAAGTCGCATGGAGTCGCATGGAGTTCAAGTGTTTGACAACTCACGGGTAGCCATCAGATGTGTGACATCGAGGGTAGCGTGCGGTTGCAGCTCCAACCTTGTACCAACAGTAAGGCAGTCAAGCATGCATTCAGAAGCATCTGACCAACGGGGCGAGGCGATGCGAGGCTTACAACAACCAGTGTATCTCCATTCATCCAAACATTGCCCGGTGTCTTAGTACCGGTTCCCTCTTAACATTGAATGCTGGCGTCAAAAGTTGCGACTGTTCAGCTTCCTTGTTATGGGGTTGTGGTTGTGCATAGTACACAGACTGTTGAACACCGGTAGTAGATGTTAACCACTAATGACCCGTGGGTCAATTACACTCTAACAACCGGAATCGCGGGGATAACGCGTTACAGGGGCGCGCGGCCGTGCACACATGCCCACATGGCCGCTGGCTAGCAAATTACCATAACATCCCCCTTCCTACCTGCGCGCTTCCTATCTGCTTAACTTCCGGTCGCCAGGCTTGCCTCCCCCAAGCCCCCACCTCTCAAAACGAACACCTCCACATCCTCCACGACGCCCCTACCAGCCCTACAACCAGATGCCTACCCCTGCCTCAACCCCTCGACCCTCCTTCAACCCCTCTTCAACCCCAATCCTTCTCCCTCTCCCCCCTTGCTCATTCTCATCAGTCTTCCTCATCGTTCCCACTGCATACCCCACCTTCCCGCTCCATATACACACCACACAACCTCTCCTCCCCCTCCTCCTCCACCACCACCACACCTCCTCCTCCTCCTCATCCCTCCCGCTCGCCCCTCTCCGGGTGCCCGGGCAGCCCGGTCACATCCACCACCGCCAGGTACCCAGCCGCCCGCGCCGACCGCTTGCCCATCTCCGCATCCTCGAACGCCACGCACTCACACGGCTGCAGACCCAGCCGCTCCGCTGCCGCCAGGAAGATGTCGGGCTCGGGCTTGGCGTGGGGCACGTCGGCGGAGGTGACGACGGCATGGAAGCGGTCCGCCAGCCCGCGGTCCGCCAGGGACTGTTGGCGAGGGACGGGATGGGAGGGATGGGGGGAGGCTGGGAGCGTCATGCGTAAAAAGAAAGACCGAAATTCATGGGCAGCTCTCTGTAACATGGGTCCTAAAAGGCCTCATGAGATGTCGTGAGGCTGCATGTGTAGCACAGAGGAACAGAGGATGGGCAAAGCCAGGGCGACTGATAGCGGCAGCAGCAACCCAGTAAGGTGCCGATCGTGTTCCGAGGTACGACGCCCATCACCGCACCCGCACCCGCACCCTCCCGCATGCACTCCCTCCACCCCCCGCCCCCTCACCCTCTCCACCCCCCGCCCCCTCACCCGCTCCACCGCGTCCTTGCGCCCCCCACTGCACACCGCCAGCTTCAGCCCCCGCCGCTGCGCCTCCTCCAACACGTCCAGCACCGGCCCCACCGCGGGACTGCGCGGCAGGCCCTGCTCCTTGAACATCTTGCTCTCCTCCTTCACCAGCGCGTCGCGCTCCTCAGGCGGCAGGTCAACTCCCTGCAAAGGGGGGGGGTTCAAAGACCATACCGAACCATAGGAAACCATAGATTAGGGCAACGCAATTGGGATAGGAGGCGGCAAAGGAGGGGGGAAGCTCAGGGCGGGAGAAAAGGCCAAAGGAGACCGCATGTTAGGGCAAAGCAATGGGACGGGGGATGGCTACAGACCCACGCCCTATTGCGAACCCCGGCCCCCACCTGCTCCGCACACAGCTTGTCCACAATGTCATGTCCCGCCATGCCCGTGAGCGCCATGTAGGTCGCCTTGTCCATGCGCAACCCGCGCTTGGAGCAGGCTGCCGTCCAGCTCTCGACGCGCCTGGGGTTGGGTGAGAAGTGACCCGTGGGTAAAAAAGAAATTCCAAAGTGTGGTATGATAAAGATACAAGTTGCTGACAATCCCTGGTGGAATCAACCGTGAGTCGAGCCGAAATGGTGGTTAAAGCAATGCGAGCTAAACTTACCGAACTTACCAATTATGGAGCAACCTTACCATAGTCTTGGGCATGTGTGGAGGCTGTTGAAGGTGAGCTGGAGACCCACCGCGCCGTTGGGCAAAGGCAAACAACAGGAACAGCACAACACGAGCACGCATGAAAAACAACACAGACTGACACACGATAAAACACGTACCTGCGTGCACAGGATATGTGCACCATGAGACATGTCCATGGCAAGCCGCCAGGACCATGGAGTAAGTTAGGTCGAGGCGAGTTGGTAGCGATGTCCAGCGGAGAGCCAGATATGCGGAATGAGGCAAGGAAAGCGAAAGGGGAAGTTAAGTATAAGTTAAAGAGGACGATGGTGAAGATGCGAACAAAGAAGTACTAAGGTAAGCCTAAGACACGAGACGACACGACTAGGACGGCGCGGTGGGGTGTATGGGGATGGAATAATGGCGGAAGGTACAAATAGGGACGGAATTGGTGAAAAGTACGGCATATCGGGAACAAGGCATGATGTGCAGTGATAAAGGGGCACAACGTGATACTGTGACGTAGGGTGCGGTCTGCGAACAGATCCCCATCCCCCTACGATACACCGGGAAGGCCACCGCAGTGTAGCCAACCCAGTAATGCATTCGTAGGGCGGGTTGGTCCTAGTTGGGTGTGCACGGGTAAGTGGACAGTTGAGGAGGCGGAGGGGACGGAGACAACCCATACTACTCCGGATACGTCCGGCGTGAAGGGCCTTGTGCAACCGATGGACGGCCCCGCGAACGCCCGAACGGCGCTGGCCGTATATCAGGAGCGCCAGCCGGACGGTTGGAGTCCACGAGAAGCATAATCTGTCACCTGTGACTGGTGGGAGGCTGCCGCGGGTGACCCGTGGGTCGGGAGGGGAGGAGCGGAGGAGCGGGGGCAGGGAAAAGCGGTTTTTATCGTGCAATGGACTGCAACTCATGACACGCAGGCCGTACTGATGGAGATTAGAAGAGCCGTAAGGAGGCGGGGCATGCTTTTGATAGGGTGAAAAGTGGCGTACGAGACAACAAAGGAAGGAGGTAACAACGTCGATACGGAAAGGGGCGCAGGAGTCGTACACACGACCTGTCATTTGAGTCCAGCAGGGTGCCGTCCATATCGAACACAGCTCCCTTGGCCCTCTGCGGCAGGATGCCCTCGTGCACGTGCAGCCGCCCCTCGCCGCCGGTCTGAGCGGAGGGAGGGAGGGACGCAGGCAGCAGCAGTAGCAGCAACAGCGTAGGAAAAGAGAGGGCAGGATGCTCGATGCAATTTACCAGCAGCGGAAGAATGCATTCGCCGCACTCCTGCCTAACAGCCCTGCCTTGCACGCAGCTAGATATCGTCTTCGCAACGTCATCCAGTATACCAAACTTAATAATGTGAAAGCGAAATCGAATGGGTGTGGTCCTGAATATCTTGAAGCGCAAAAGACGTGCCTGGAAGTCCCGTGGGTCGGCCATTTCGGATTTGCTGCCGCTGCCACCACCTCCGGATGCAAATCTCACAGTCAGGAGGCGCTGAGGCAGCCGCAGGGTGTTGGTCAGGACTTGGGTGGGGGGAGAGTTGCGGTGAGTAACGAGAGCCGTAAAGGCTCTGCTTAAAGGGATCTTGTGCGCAGAGCGAACTACAGGACTGCCGGTGACATGCAGCGCGGTCAACATTAGCGAACCTTATCGCTGGAGACGCGTACGATAGCTTGCTCGTCTCGCAACCACAGCTTTCCTTACTTGTGATGAATGGCAACACGCGGAGGTATTAGTTTACCGAATGCTGTGCCCAAGTGAATGTCCGGTGCTGCCACATGTTGCATTACGACAGGCGCGTGCGGTTAGATGACGCTAACGGTGACATAACTCGGCGGAAGCGTGGCCCATCTTTGATTTCGGTACGTTTCGACTGTTTTACGTTAAGCTCACCGCTGGACGAGAGATACTACCGTACCTGTGTCTGATCACCGCGCAGCAGGAAATTTAGGGATTATTTATTTTAACGCGCAGCGCTGTAAGGAATTAATTTTTTGTAACGCGCAGGGGTCTGAGCAATTATTTTCCACTTCACGCACTGCAGTAGCCTGAAGCTTATACTAGAAAGACCGGAAAAGCAGAGCAATGAACTTAAAGCTACGGCTGAAAACGGATCAGAGAGAAGGTGTAGGTATGGATGGGGCCAGGAAAAGAGCGAAACCCGGAATTTCGAGTCAGCACGCACTGGTGGCCACGCCATGGGCAATGTTTTAGTTAACGCGCAGTCCTTTGGGGAATTAATTTTTATAAACGCGCAGGCCCCGGACCAATTATTTATTTTTGCGCGTTAATACACATTTTTTCCAAATAATTATTTATTTTTGCGCGATGATCACTGGGAGGTACGGTATACCTGTATTCGACATGACCCAATTGGCATAATACGACTCAGCGCGTGCAAGCGCCCGGGCGATGCGATGTGATGCGCTCAGATCGATACCGGCAACCCTCTGCTGACCTGCCACGAAACCACGTGTCATACTCGACGTACTCACGACGCCAAACGCAACAATCAACATGCCAGCAACATTGTCCACTCTGCCTGCTACCGTACCTAAAACCCGCAATGTGCTTACCCTCCTCCTCCTCCTCCTCCTCCTCCTCCTGCTGCTGCTGCTGCTGCGTAAGCCATCCTTGCTCACACTCCTGCTATGCTACTGCTCTATCACCTACTACCAGGGGCAATTGTGGTTTGCTGCTCGCACGCCCCCCAGCCTCCATGCAACCCTTGAAACACATCATGCCAATCGAACCCAAAACGCGCTCCCCCTTCATGCAGCTGCAGCTGCAACGCGGATGCTGATACCTAATGCGTTACCAAACCGCAAGGAGAATCCCAAGTACCATATGTTACAAACCCCAACCACCTGCCGTACACTCCTACAACCACCTGCCCAGGCAAGCGCCCTCCAGTCCTCTCGTCCCCTTACTTGCCCTTACCTCCCCTTCCCCCTTTACTTGCACCTCCCTTCCCTAGCCATGCCCCAGCCGCAGCAGCCCCTCCCTTCTTAACTCCACCGCCCTGCGTCCCCGTCTTAGACTTGCTCTTGAAGCGTCGTCCGCCCTTGCGACCACCCTTACGCCGGCCCTTGCTCCGTCCACCTCCACCACTTCCACCAGCACCGCTGTTGTCGCCGCCTGCTGCTGCTGTTGCTGTGCTTCCGGCCCGTCGGTAGCGGTTGTAGGCGTCACGTCCGGTGTACTCGTTTCCATTCTCCACATACACCTGCGTACGACAGGATTTGGTACGATAGGGCGTTACGAACGAGCACGTACAAGATACCGTACAAAAAGGAAGCTCGGGAGGGAAGGCCTAGGAAACTTAGGGGTATTGCAAGAGCGCTGGTACCGGTTAGCTGCGCGCGGAAGCACGATCCAAGCTTTCTCGCTCAATCTTCCCGCGTCCATACCCTACGCAGATGCCATGCATGCGCCTGCAGTGGCAATAGCAGCAACGCCCTTACCCGGATGCCAGCGTTGTTGGTGTACCACCGCCCTCCGCCGCCTGCCTCCTCGCCGCCGCCACCAGCACTCGCGGCGCTGCTCCGCCGCCCCCGACCTCCACCTCCACCACCTCGCGACTTGCTCCCCCGCAGGTCCCGAGCCCAGTCCATAAGCTCATTATCCACACCAGCTCCACCACCTCCGCCTGTCGTACACCCTGCCGAACCGCCGCCGTAACCGCCACTCCAGCCCCCAGCTGCTCCTCCGCTACCAGATCCTCCGCCGCCGTACGCACCGTAGCCGCCGCCGTTGCCATGGCTCCCTTGACCGCCGCCATAGCCACCTCCGCCGTAGCCGCCACCAACTCCGCCTGCTCCCGCAGTCTGAGGCGCAGCAGCCATGCCGCCGGGTGGGTACCAGACGTTGCGGTGCATGGGCGCGACTGCGGAGTTGGCGGGGCCGTTGAACTGCTTCTGGTAGAGGACGAAGACGGGGTCGGGGCGGGGAGCAGTCCTGGGGCGTGCATGGAGGGTTGGGCGGGATTGAATGGGGGGTTAGGAGGGGAGATACCCGTACGGCGGGATGGACGTACAGTTGAGCAGTTGACACGGGCACAGCACGGGCTTGCTCCCCTCTTACCACCCTCCAGCACAATGCAGTCTACTACAGGCAAGCACAACCAGCACGAGCCAATGCATGCGGTTGAAGTGTGTGAGCTTGCGTGGTTCCAGGCAAATGCGGACTGATGAAAGGCACCCAAAACGGCACGGTAGGAATGAAACAGTGTGGAAAATGTGGACACCCAACCCAACCCACCTTGGGTCGTACCCTCCCGCCAGCACGGCTGCCGGCACAAAGTCAGGCAGCAGGGTCCACCAGGGCGCTGAGGGGTCGTCATCCGGCCCCTGTTGCTGCTGCTGCTGTGGCCACTGTTGTTGCTGTTGTATGATGCGCTGGTTAGGCGGCAGTGGCGGCAGTCCCGTCTGAAGCTGAGGTGGTGTGTTTTGTGCGCCAAACCAGCTTTGGTTCTGGCCCTGGTTATGCTGCTGCTGCTGCAGTGGCTGGTAGCCGCTGCCTTGGGGTGCTGCCTGGTGGGTTGTCGGCTGCGCTTGCTGCCCCCCGGTCTGCTGCTGCGGTGGTGGTGGCGTCCACTGCTGCTGGAGGGCCTGCTGCTGTTGCGGTGGCGCTTGATGCGGGTTGCCGAATAGCTGCTGCTGCAGCGACGGCTGGCCGCTGGCAACAGCAGGCAGGCTGTGCCTTCGGAACGGCACCGCTGCGTCGGCCATGCCCCCGCCGCCGCCGCCAGTACCCAATCCATGCCCTCGGCCGCCCGCCCCATTAAGACTGTGGCGGCCCATGCCAACTCCGCTACCACCTGCGCTGCCACGGTCGATAGCGCGCATGCTAAAGGGACCCCCTCCTGCTTCTTCCTCCTGCGAGCAGTCCTCAATGACATCCTCCTCCTCCTCCTCACCTCCCACGGGGCCGCCGCCGCCGCCATCCCTGCCCGCCAACCCGCCTCGGCTGCCCGAGCCATGACCCGCACCTAACCCTGGCCCGGGGCCCGCAGCAGCAGCCCCTTGCTGCTGCCCTGACGCCCCTTGCAGCTGTTGCCCCGGGGTGTTGTAACCCCTGCTGCTGGATCCACCCGGTTGCCCCACCCAGGGCTGCCGTACGTTTCCTGGGCCACCACCACCCCCGCCTCCGCCGCTGCTCCCAGCCCCACCGTTGAGACTGCCGCTGCCCGCCTCCTCATCGCCCTCCTCATCATCCTCTATGAGGGCCCTATGACGGCGTTTCGTGCCACTCAACGCCCTCCTCCTCGGCGCGAGTCCCAATACCGCATCCTCATCCTCCTCATCCTCCAATGCTGCCTCATCACCCACGCCCGCAGCTGCTGGCCTCCAGCCACCGCTGCCCTGCGCCCCCGCCCCATCCCCTGCACCTCCAGCCGCTGCCTCCTCCTCGTCATCGTCCAGCAGGACCACCATGGGCGCTCTCGGACCACGCGACACGCTGCTGCCGCCTCCTCCGCCTCCGCTGCTACCAGCTGCTGCTGCTAGGGCTCCGTTCGTCTGCCTCGACGTGGCTCCCCGTACCCCTGCAGGGACAACGCGGCTCCTGTCGTTGTCCTCTTCCGCCAGGTCAATGGTTACGGGAGCTCGTGGAACAGGGGCAGCAGGCGGAGGATGAACCGCAGGCGAGGGTGTGGGTGCCGCATGCGGGGTGACCATGGCAGTCGCCAGCAGTGCGCCGGGTCCGGGCGCGGAGTGCCGGGGGCCTAGTCGCCGCTGTGGTTGCTGTTGTTGTTGTTGTTGCTGTTGTTGTGGTTGGGTCGCCGCAGTTGGATGCACAGGGCTTGAGTTCGCAGAGGCCGGTGCGGAGCATGGCAGCTGCTGTTGCGCTGGCCGCAGCAGGAAGGAAAGGATTGAGCGATTGCCGGTGCTCTGCGTGCCGCTGCCCTTTGCAGCGGCGGACGCTGCCGGCGCGGGCGGGCGTCGACCTTGGGAGGCGGCAACAGCTTGGCGTGGGGGCAGCAGCTGCTGCTGCTGTTGTAGCTGCTGCTGCTGTTGCCGTTGGCTCAGAGGCGGCTGATACTGATGCTGCTGCTGCTGTTCTGGGAGCTGCTGGTACTGATGATGCTGGGGTGAGGAAGGAGCCGATGCAGGGCGTCGCGCTGGAAGGCGCTGCCCCGGCGGGGGTGCCGCCGCCGCCGCCGCCGCGGGAGGCGGCGTCCTTGCAGGACCCTCCCCCATCCCTTGGTTGTTCCCGAACAGGGGCTGCAAGAGCTCTTGCTGCTGCAGCGAACGCCGCCGACCCCGACCCACATGGACCTCGTCGGACGTTTGCAAGCCGCCAAGCGGGCACTGCCACGATGGCTGGGCTCCCTCGCATCCTGCTGGCCCCAACGGCCCGCCGGCGGTAGAGCCTGTCGCGTCATCAACGCCACCATCAGCCGCCTCCGCCACCGCCGCTGCCATGCCATCAACGCCACCATGGCTATTGGCGGCGCCTGCCGCGCCCTGCTGCTCAGGTCCCTTCTGGCAGTCTTCAGGTGGACTGAAGAGGCTGCGGAGGGGTGCGGATGCGGACCGCCGGCGGCTCTGAGCGGCCCGGAAGGCTGCCACCAACGCGGCGTCGGATGCGGCGCTGCCTGCAGCCGCCAGCGTCGCTGCGGGTGTGGCGGTGGCGGCACCTGACGCCGGATCCGTGCGAGCCAACGCTGCGGCCGGCGGTGGCCCTGCAAAAAGCGCCATGCAAAATGTTTCAACTTGCAACCGGTTAGCTGCATTCCTCATGAAGGGCATGCATTCCCAGCAGGCTCTTTACCAGTAACGGTAGTACCAGATCCAACAGCACTGGGCACCGTGTACCTACCAGCAGCATCACCCCCAGCACCCGATGACAGCGGCGTGAAGGCATTGACGTAGCTCACAGCAGGAACAGCAGCCGCGGCTGCCGCCATCACCGGAATCCCCTGCTGCTGCTGCTCGCCGCTGCCTGAAACCGCTCCCGCCGGTTCCTCTCTGGAAGCCTGAGCCTCAGCGCCAGCAGTGGTAGCGGGCCGTCCTCGTGCACATCCCAGCCCCTTCGGCGGACCCCACCCAACGGTTCCGCTGCTGCCTGCACTGCCGCTGCGCCCAGCGGCCCCCGCACCATGCCCTTGTGGACGCCCCGACGTAGCCGCCGCTGCAGGCACGGCGGCCTTTGCTGCTGCTAACGGTGCTGCGGTTGCTGCTGCGGTTGCTCGCGCGGTCGGCGCCGCCAGCGGGCGTCGAAGAAGATTGAAGCGAGGCAGCTGGGTTGGCTCCTCCTCTTCCTCTTCCTCCTCCTCATCGCCATTGCTAGTGTCTGCGCAGCGACGTGGGTTGTTGTTGGCATCCGGCGGAGCGCCGCCATCGGCGGCAGCGCCGGGGGTGGTCAAGCGGGCGGCAGAAGAGCCGTTGTTAGCTTTGGCAAAAGGGGGTTTGGACGCTGCAGCAGCTGTAGGAGGGGCTTGCTCGTCTAGCTTGCGCTCTTGGAGCGGGATCCTGTGAAGACGTGAAGGCGGGTGCTGCTGCGCCTGCTGTTGATTCGCGGCTAGCAGGGGCGGGGTTGTGCGGCCATCGACATTTGCGCCTGATGTTGCGGCGTCTGCGCCTTTGGACTGCCCAGCTGCTAAGGTAGGTACGCGGCATGCCCCAGGAAGACTTCCGCTTAGCCGGCGACGGGATGGTGAGGACACTTGGTTCTGAAGATGGCGCCCTTTGAAGAGGTTAAACATCGGTGGAGCGCAGCCCTCATCGTCGCTCTCACTGCCGGAACTGCAATCGCGACCAATAGGCATCCCAGCATCCTTGACAGGCGCAGTCCTGATAGGAACGTTTTCGCAATGCAGCTTATGCCGAACGAGACTAGATACGTTAGGATGCGGTCCTGTTCCATTGTTAACCGGCTTGGCGGTGGTAAAGCCGTTTTTGTCTTCCATGTTGTTGATGGACATGGTCGAATCAGCTCCGTGGAGGAGACCAGCAGCCCTCTTTTGTTGTTTTGTCCCTACATCTGCTGGTACAGACATGTCGTCTACCTGAGGCTCCCGTTGCGCAGAAGGAAGCCGATGAGTCCCAGAGAGGCTTCCCGCCGGCGTATGCCGTGAACGCCGAAGCGCGTCAATTAAACTTAAACCGCCCTTTCCGCGAGTATTCAAAAGCACATCGTCATCGTGCCAGCCGTCTGAGGAGTCCTGAGACGCCGGGATTATCTCCTCCATCATAGAAACTACCGGTAGATCGCTTAATGCGCCTGGAGTCCTGTGTAGATCGAAGATTCACTATGAGGCACATACGCTGCCACTAAAGTTTGGAATTTGGCGTGCGAGGCGCGCCGTGGATATGGCCTGTTGGTCATGTTTAACATTGCTCACGGCTATGATAGATTATAACCAGATCACAGAATGCAGGCGTAGTAGTGGTGATTGCTAAGCCCCACGCAAAGTGAAGTTCGACAGCGTCGCACACCAATTACGGCTGTTTTCCTGCCATGCTATGCACGGCATGCGTGAGAATTTAAAGATAATGCTGCGCGTCAGGAGCAAATGTGTATTCGCAAGTCTTTCCAGTAGTGCAAACAAATATCAAATAGATTATTGTAATGGGCATGTCATCTTGTGACTCTGGCAATAGTTGTTCCTGCCCTGGTGACTTGGTCTTCCTATCCTTGTCCCCATCATTTGTCGGAGAATATTTCAAAAGCCGTGCCTACCTTTCATGTTGATGAGCGCTCACGCGGGTACTGACCTCATCTTTGAGCAAGTCTGGGCTTATTATTAATGCCGTACCATTGAAATGGGTTCCCTACTTTCCGGGTTTCCTAACATGCTTTAATCAATTTGTTTGGGTTGCACCTGATGGTAGGCAACTGGACGCATAGGAGGGTTGTTAATGTGCCGCCTTGGACCTCAATTGCGCACAGTTTCAAGTAGCGCGTCTACGCATGGACATAGACCGGTCTTACATAATAAAGTCGTCCAACAATTTCATGTCGAGACTGTAACCCAGTCTACGTACGGCTCGGGGCCGTGTCTGGGAAACGGGAAACGATGTCTGTTTGGAGCGTGTGTCTTTCAATTTTACAAGCTTTCTACTCATAACTCTATGCATCGGCATGCATCATTATGACCCTTTCAACAAACTGCTTTTCTTTGACTGTGGAGCACTGGTCCGTTTCATAGCTGTGGAACTTAGGCGCCAAATTTTCAAGGGAGACTTCTAGTAGACACAGGAATAAAATACCAAAACACTGCAGAAGTCGCCGTCTCTGGCAGGCGTACTGAAGGTTCGCAACATGGATGGCCAAAACCAGGACGTCCACGCGAAATGGTCCCCGACGGACGTCGAGTGGGATGCCGTTAACCTTAAGGCGCATGCCGCAAATGGTACGCCAAGATCGCTTTGGCGTATGTGGGCACTTCCCTGAAAGCGACCTTGTCCACTACCGCTGCAGGTGGCGACCAACCAGTACCCGCGATAAATAAGTATTACGTCAAAGGACGCGGTGCTACAGGCTCAGGGTCGCACAGCGTGGCACATTCACAATGCCGGGTGCGTAACGAGAGCCATGAGACGCCTTCGGTGTCTAGAACTTAACAAGTAGCGTTCTCCGCCATGACGCACAGGTCCCCGGTTGTACGTCAGACCTTTCACGCGACCTGGCATACTTCAGGTAAAAGCACATCCCATGAGTAGCTGGGACAAGGCAGGAAACGCACGGCAGCGCGTTTTGGCAGACGTGGAAGTTGTTATGGGTTCAGGGTTCTGCTCTTCCCTTAGCTGCGCAAACAGTGGAAGGTTTATCCAGGTGCGCCACTACCGTAGTTAGACTTCCTGGCCTAAATTTCGCGCCCCATGTTGCGCATCACATCCTTGCGCAGGAAATACCGGATTTGCCGCGAACACTTGAAGTCTCCAGTAAGAACTGGGCCTGCCCTGGGGATTAATCGGTTGTACGGGAAACGTTGGATGTCAGGGACCCCGCTTACCAGCAGCGATCCTGTGCTCTTCCCGTCTTTGACGTTGTCCTCGAAGTCTCCTCTCTACGGCTCCCTCTTTAGCTTTCCTAGCTGGCTGACGTTCCTCTTCTCGACCCCAACCGTCAGGTCCTCATGGTGGAGGGCGTCCCCAGCCGCTTCTGTCAGCAGTGCTCCAGGTGGGCTTTGGGTGTGGAAATTGAGAACCGTTAACCGTTGGTGTACGTTGCGTCGCACTATAGTGTATGGCCTGCAGCGGCAAGCCATATCTACGTTTGAAGTGACCCCCCTGTTTGTCCTTGTTTTGCCCCCACGTGTTCAGGTTCCACCATATCCGGGAGTTCGACGGCCCCCAGAGGTATGTGGGCACGCGTCCTCTTAACTTCCCCCGCAGCAGCAAAATCCGATGTCTTTACTCCTGGCTTGCCGGCTGTTCTTTCCGGGACACCGCTTTCCCAGTAAATGTGTAGTAGATATGCGTAGGTAGGAATCCGCATTTCACTCTTCGAGCATCTCTCCCTGTGCGTGTTTGCATGCTCCCTTACTTGACTGCATGCACGCTGGCTGCATGCTGGCCGCAGGACGTGCCGTATGATGCTGGAGCGGCTGCGTCTGAAGCGCCACAGCGGCAAAGCGGCAGTCGGGGGCAAGGGCGGGCGCGGCGGCGGCGGCGGAGGCAGCAAGGCCAACGCCGACGTGCAGCAGCCGGACACCGGGCCGCGGGGCTGCTCCTCGCAGTCCAACTCCTCCTGCAAGGAGTGGGAGGTGGGTGCAGCGTGTGTGGGTTACGTCGACACTTGAGTGTCTGGGTAATGAGTTGATAGCTAGAGCACGTGCGGGGTGCTTCGGTTATGTTTCGTTGTGTTGTCAGAGATAGTCCTTGCTTTTGCACGAATACCAGGTATCCAAAACAATTTCCCCGATTTCTTCCGTTGGCCATGAAAACCCAACACCGTTTCTCCCTCCCGTGGGGCTCCCCCTCTCGTGCCCCTTCTGTCCAGCCGCTCTTGGGCCACCTGGGCCGTCCACTCTCCTCGCTCGGGCCCAACCGCTCCTCCGGCAGCGGCGAGGGCGCCGAGTCGGCGGTGGGTGCAGCAGCGGCCACCATGTTGGGCACCACCGCCACTCCTGGCGCCAACAGTGCCACCAGCACCCCCACCTGTCGACCACTGCTGCTGCAAAAGCTATCACAGCCGCAGCAACAGCAGCAGCAACAGCCTCAGCAGCAAGCCCTGTGTGGGAATGCATTGGCCGCTGCTTCACAAGCACAGCGCATGCCTGCTGCCGCTGCCGCTGCAGGCATATGTGTGGGTGTTGAGGGTAACGGTAGGGGCAACGGCTTTACTTGGAGCAACGACCAAGATAACGGAGGCATGTTGCAACCGTTCCTGGACTCCACGTCTGCGCTGCTGCCCATTCGTCGAGCATCAGCAGTCCCAGCGTTTGCCGGTCTTGCGGGTTTGGGCCTAGCAGCGGCTCCTGCCTCCGGCGCTGAGCTCGACATATCCTTGCTGCTGCACCGCAACAACCCCACGCTGCAACCTGCGACCAACGGCAACGCTTTGAGCCTCCTCATGTGTGGCAACGTGGCGGAGCAAAGGCCCCTTCAGAGGCAGCCCACGCCCGGCCAAAACGCGGCGCTGGCCTCTTCCTTCTTCCAAGACGCGCCGTATGGGCTCCCAGCGGGCGGCCTGGGTGCGAAGCCGCTGGCACCGGCAGCGGCAACACCCCAACTGCTGCAGCAGGCCGCGGATGGCAAGCCGCCGAGCGACGATCGCATGGTCTCTTCAAATGACACGATTCGTACGGAGTTTACGGTTGGCAGCTGGCTGTTGCAGTCGCTGAGCCTGTCGAAGGATAAGGCGGCCGCGGAGGCGGTGGAGGCAAGCTTGGGTCTGGGTTCGGGATCCTTGGTGTTGGGAGCCGCGGGCGGAGCGCCTGGCGGAGGTCTTGTTGGCGCGGCGGCAAACCGTGTGATGGCTGACATACGGCTGGAGATGCAGTTGCGCGCCATGTATCAGGAGGTGAGCTGCGGGATGATGGGTGACGAGGATGAGGGTTGCGTGTTGGTGTAGCCGGCTGTGTTTGAGAGTAGTCGGGGTTGTCGTATTCGCATGTGTGCGTTGAGCTATAACCAAGTCTTACCATGAAACTGCCACTGCAGATGGACATTGATGGTATGGCGGCAGCGGCTGCTATCTCCCTCCAGCAGCAACCACAGCAACAACAGCAGCAACAGTTGCTGCTGCTGCAGCAGGCTATCAAGCACCCCAGCTTGCAACCCCTCGTGCCTGCTTCCTCAGCCGGTCCGGCTGCAGCCGCAGCCGCTCTCCTGCAAACCGCGAATAACACTGGACTAGTACCCGCCACACAATCCGCGACACCCGCCCCCGTTGCCAGTGCAACCGCAACCGCAACCACCCGCACCAAGCCTGCAACCGTCGCCAACGGTCACGCGGTGGTACAACAGCACCTACCGGTCTCGGCAGACCTGCTGGCAACTCCAGCTTGCCAGGACCTGCTGCCCATGATGCGGGATCTGGGACTTGAACGGGCGACTGGCGTGGGTGGCCTGGCCCCTGCTGCTGACTCTGGTGCTCTTACGGCTGCTGGTGCTGCTGCCGCCGCCGCTTCTGTTGCTGCGGTTGCGGCGAATGCGGCTGCGGCAGCGGTGAATGCCGAGCCCCTCACGGCTGAGGGCGGCTGCCGAGGAGTGTCCCCGGAGGATATCGACGCAGCGCTGGAGATACTGATGGAGGAGGCGGGCATGGCCGCGGTGTACACCAACGGGTTCGAGGTGGGTTCAATGTCTAGTCGTCAGCCTTCCGCCCCTCTTTACCTTTTCCTCCACCCCTCAGTGTCTCTTACATTGCTTCTTCCTCTTCCACACTCTCCCCTCATCCCTCCTGAACAGGCAACCCTGGAGCGCGTGTGCTTCAAGCTCCATAACGTGCATCCCCGCGACCTGCCGCCTCAGCTGGTGGCCGCACTAGGCGAGTGGCTCGTCGAAGCACCAGCGGAGTTGATCCAGGGCGCCATCCGCCCCGGCTGTACACAGCTTACGCTGGACGTCTACGTGAAGCGCGCCGCCGGCGGAAGCAGCGGCGGCGACAGCAGCGGCGGCAGCAGCGGCCAGGTAAGCGCCGTGTGGACAACCGAGGCCGCGGCATCGTCTTTGGATTCCTCAGCGGCAGCGACGTCGGCATCGTCTGCGCAGTCGTCGGCGGCAGCGGCCGAACGGGGCGAAACTGTCGACGGTGGGCGGCGAGTGTTGGAGGGGCTTGTGCCGACGCCGGAGATGCTAGCCCGACTGGACGCGACAGGCGCGGAGGCGATTGTGGGTGCGGAAGCGCAGGCGGGAAGCAGCGTTGGCGGCGCCGTCGCATCAGGAGCGGCGGCGGCGGCCACTAGCGGGGGCGTCAGCGGCGCTGCCGGCGGCGGCTCCCTTAGCAACACTCGGTTGCTCAGTGCGCTTGTGATGGCTAGCGGCGATGTACGGATGGCGGTTGCAACCTACCGGAAGCTTCTGGGGCCGCTTGCCGTACAGTCCATGTCTGTGGCAGTTGGATACGAGGTACGTCGTACGTGTCTCAGCGTGTGCACCCCCAGCGTCCAATCTTGTTGCATGGTTTCTGCTTATGTATCCTTACGTGTAATGTCTCATGTGTCACATGTATCTGTCACGTGCTCATACCTTGCCCTGCCCCTCGCAGACGCTGACCATTTCGGGTCCGGACATGGGGTATCACGTGGCGGACCTGCGAGGCACAGTGGCGGGCATGCTGACGCCGCTGCTGCTGACGGTGGCTCCGCTGGCCGTGATGGCAGGTGAGGGATCAGCGAGGACAGCAAGTGGGAACCGCTCCGAACTCCTGTAACGCCCGTAGTCTGGTCAGCCACTCTTGAGTCTGGGTTGCTTCCCATGGCAGCCTCATCTATACACCATTGAAGCCCCGTCTGTCAGGCCCATGCCCTGCGCCGAACTCAACACCTGCACCTAAACTCCGTCCCCCAACCTGTCCTCCTGACTGCAGCTCCCCCGTGTGTCTCTCACCCACCCTGCAGGCTCCCCCTGCGAGCTGCGCGCCCGCGGCGCCCACCTGACTGGCCCCGGCCGCCGCCCCATCGTCCGCTGCCAGGGCAGTCACGTGCCCTGCGCCATCGTAAACACCGCAACACCTGGTGGTGCTGGTGGTGGTGGTGGTGCTGCTGCGATGGCCGCCATGGGAGATGCGGCCGGCTCCGCTGCGAGTGCCGGTGCGGGTGCGGGTGCTGGCGGCGCGGTCGAGAGCATGGCAGGAGGAGATGCCAAGAGTGCAAGGTGCGCTGCGGGCGATTCCGCATTTTCATCGTCATCTCTCTCAGCGCTGGCTCCGATGATGCTGACAGCCACTCTGCCGGGCAGCCACAGGGCTCAGGCACTGGCGGATTATACGGTGGGTGGTTATGGGGGTTGAGTGACGAATGGGGATGGGATCAGGGACGGTATTTGCAAGCGCAGAGGGACATGTCGTAACGTGATCCGCTGTATCTTGACACGGGGGCCTGCCTCTGCGAGGGTTCTCTTTACCCCAGCCGTTACCCCATAACGGCCATCTTCCTCCTATGCACAATCAATCTATCAACAATGCTCTTACATACATATCCCATCCACGCAGCAGCAGGACACCCTTGACATCTCAATCACTTTATCTGTATCACAGGAGGCATCGGTGCGGCTGACGGCTCCCGAGGCGGGCCTCATGATGCTGGAGTGGGAGGAGCAGCGCGATGACGGGCGTGTGGCGATGAGCGAGTGGCTGCCGGTGCTGTCGGTGCCTGATCCCATCATGGCTGCGGAGATCAACAAGCTGGCCGTGGCCAAGGAGCGCGCGCAGAAGGGGTGAGAGGAGCTGAGGAGAGTCAGAGGGAGAGGAGGGACATGCTGTGCTGGGGGGTGCTGCTTTGCTGGGTTGCTCTCTGCCTTGCGTTGTGCGTACAGCATTGCGTTGTTGCGAGATGGCTGGTTTTTGCATGCCATTCCCTCCTGGTCTTCCAAGCACTGCTTCCGCTGCTGCCGCCTTCCTCCTCCTCCAAAGCGTCAACGTGTATTCTCTTCTCTTTCCCGCTTCTTCTAACTCGCAGCGTTCGCAGCTTCCTGGTGGATTTGGGACTTGTTCTGGACTTCGCCACCCGGGTCAGCCAGGGCTTGCTGCGCAGGCGGCGCGTGTCCGCAGACGGGGACGCAGCGGAGGAGGAGGACGATGAGGCGGATGTGGAGGAGGGGGGCGTGGATGTGGATGTGGAGGGAGGCGATGAGAGGAGCCGGGGATCGAGGGGCGGCGGTAAGAGTGGGACCGGCGTGGGGTGTTTTGGTGAATGGGCATGGCGCTGTTGCTACTGTACATGCCAGTTTGTACATGTTTCTCTTTTTCTACATGCCAGTTTTCTTAGCACACCCTTGCCTCCCTCCTCCCAGGTACCGACCAGCGCGGCCCCTCGAGCAATGCGACCGCCCGCACCAGCAACACCGGCGAGACCGGCGACCTGTCTCCCTTCTCCGCCCCCGCCAGCACCCGCAGCGCCCAGCAGCCCTCCCGACAGCACGATGAGATGTTTGAGCAGCACCTGGCGCGGGTGGCGGCGCTGGTGCCGCAGCTGCTTGCCTATGCGGTGCGTGGTGCTACCTGAGCTCTAGGGGAATAAATAGGACACAACTTACTGAGTGATAAGGCGTCTAAGCTCTAGAGGGGGCTTCATTCCAGCGGGAAAACACACCACGCTATGGTTCCACTCTAGGAGAGGCTTATCCTCCTCCTCCGCATTCCTCCGCGCTTCTTCTCATGTGACATTCTTTCATGCGAAGCACACAACAATATGAGTTTCCGTGGCCCCCAGCTTCCCCCTTGGGATGCATAGTACCGTAGACTTATCCACAATCTCTCCTTCCCTCGCCCTCCCTGTGCACGCAGGCTGACGGCGGGCTGGTCAGTGTGCTCTCCTGGCTGCTCGACTTCAGCCTCGAGTATGTGTTCCTGGGCGACCTGCCCGCGCTCTTCCGGTCCGTAGAGGCTCTTGCTGCCCCGCCGGCGCTTGCGGGCGGCGCCATTGCGGGGGCTGCAGGCGGCAGCATGGGCGCAGCTGCAGGAGCGGCAGCAGCAGGAGCGGCTGCGGGGCTGCCGCTGCTGCACCGCGTGATCCGCAGCGGCAGTGCCAAGGGCGTTCGGCTGCTGCTGACGCGCGCGCAGTCGCATGGTCTGTGCTGCAACTTTGCGCAGGCGGCAGGTGGGTTGCGTGTGAGTTGCCTGCACACATGGAGATGTGTTCATACCAGCCTTTCCAGAGGCTGTTTTTTTGTCCCGTTTCTATTCCAGTCTTGGCTGCTAGACTTGGCCTCGGACAAGCCAAGCCATGCCCTCGGAGCCCAAACGCTCCCCTTCCTAACCCCCTCCTTCCTTCCTTCCCTGACCCCTCGCAGGTCCCCTCCGTGTCACCCCGCTTCACCTGGCGGCCCTCCACCCCGCCAACACGGCCCTGCTGCACGCCTGCCTCTCCGCCGGGCCCCACGTGCAGCTACTCTGGAACACCGTCGCGGATGCTGCGGGCCGCACACCTGCCGTATACCAGCGCCGCCAGGCGGAGAAGGCCATGCAATCCGGCGGCATGCTGTCTGCCGGCGGCCTGGCTGCCAGCTCATCCCAACACAGCTTCAGCCAGTCTGGCGTCAGTTCCACACCCGTGTTCCGGTCCTGGGGCTCGGATGAGACCTCGTTTGAGGGATCCGCAGGCAGTTTTGCAAGCACCAGTGCTGCCGCAGCCGCCGCTGCAGCCGGCGGTCTTGGCGCGGCAGCAGCAGGGTTCCAGGTTGGCTGGATGCCCAGCGAGTTGGCTGCGTCTTTGGAGGGATACCGGTCGGTGGGAGCCAGGGCGGGGTCTACGCCGGTCTCGGCTACGGCGGCGGCGGCGGCAGGCGCTAACGGCGACGATGACAGCAGCGCGGAAGATGCCAGGGGCGCAGGCGCGCTGGAGAGCGGAAGTCCTAGGATTGCGGATAGCGTTGAAGATTTCCAGGAGCGAGTCATGACACGTAGGCGAGGCGTACGCCTCGCAGATGCGGTGGCGGAACTGGAACGCCAGGCCGGCGGCGGTGCTGGCAGCGACTCGCTGCCAGCAGCCCCCTCTTCGGAAGCCGCAGCCTCCTCCCAGGCGCGGCTAGCGCTGCCCAGCCACATGCGGCCGGGTGTTGCAGGCGGCAACAACTGGGAAGGTCTTCCGGTGGCCCCCTCGCGGTCGCCGTTGCCGCAGCGTTCGGGTGGCAGTAACAGCAGCGGCACCGGGTCGCATGCCGCCGTTGTGGCAATTCCAACCTCGGCGGAAATCACGACCTTTGGGTCGCAGCGTACGAGCTTCGGCGGCGGCGCATGCTCGGAGTCTGAATCCGACGATTCAAATGAGTTCTGTGGCGATTCCACGGAAGATTGGTTGGCGAAGACGCAGGGCCGCAGGGCGTCGCGTTGTGAGGAACCGGAGAAGCCACAACAGCTGCAGCAATGGAGCATTCCTGCGGAGGGCTGCGGAGGAAAGGCTGGAAGTGCTGCCGGCGTGGGCTCTGGCGCTGTCCAAGCGAGCGCGGGCCGTGCCGCGAGTGAGGCGCCGGCGAGTGGCCTTTTGGGCTTGCAGAAGCGGTCTCCAAAGATTGCAGGAAGTGAGATGTTCGTTGCGGAATCTGACAACAACGCCACGGTTGCGGCAGCGGCGACAGCGGGCGATGCTTCGGACCGCGAGGCCTCTTCCGGCAGCAGCCGCTGGGTTAACGCAGCGACGCTGGTTGCTGGAATGGCAGCTGTGGTGATGGCTTGGTGGCCCTGGAAGGATGTGGCGGCGGCAGCGGGGTTGCGCGCGTGGAGGGTGATGGTTCTGGGCAGCGCTGGCGCTGACGGCGGTGCAGCTTCCAGCTCTGCGCTGGCTACGGTGCTCGCGTTGACTGGGACACTGTTGGCTGTCACACTGCTGACGGTGATGCTGGCGGCTGCCGTGAAGGGGCCGTTGCGTGTGCGCAACTAGGAGAAAGCGTTCGAGGGGATTGCTGAAGTGTGTTGCTTTGGTTGATGGTTTGGTGTGATGCGGAATGGATGCCCCGGACGGCATTGCAAGAGCTGTGGCAGGCCGCTTTTCACGACGTGCCGTTGGCTGCTTGGGCTTTCTGCGCTGGAGCGATAAGGTTTGTGTTGGGTTGGGTTGCGTCTTGGGTCCGTTTTGCGAGTCGAATTATACCATTAGTTGCGCCTGGGCGCCTTTTGTGTCGAGTGCAGGAGGATGGTGTGAGCGGTGCGTTATGTTGCAAGCCCTAATTTGAGCACGTTGCGTTGCATTTCATTTTCGACCGTGCGGGCGCATTTCTGAGCCTAACCGACTTGCTGGTGAAACTACGCACTTATGGTTGCTTCCCTATGAGGCGCTCGCTATATTGCTGGCATCTAACGACCGCTAGCAGGCGTCCAGTTCGGTACCCGCGTTAGACGGCTGTTTCTTTCAATGCCGCTTGCTTCCTCATGCCTCAGCGTGAGTCCCTTTGTGCTTTAGTCCTTACTGATTAACATGCCCACTTTGTTTCTCTTGTGGTTTGAATAAGAAGTCCCAGCTATTGACGCGTTGTCTCCTGTTGTGGATGCGAGGGGTTGATGTATGTTGGTTGCGTGTCTGCATTCCAGTTCCAGTCTGCATTCCAGTTCCAGTCTGCATTTGCAGCCCGCAATTGGTGCAAACATTATGAGAGGTTATGGAATGGACGGGAAGAAGTGAATGGCAGGAGGCGTTGCTGTGAAAAATTAACGAAGGGTGGTTCTGGGTGGTTAACTGTTTATTGTTTGCCAGCGGAGCGTCAGTTCCGTATGCTTGCGTGTTTCAGCGTGCACGTTGGGGCCATCGCGCGCTGCAGGCCGGGCAGGTAGGGTGACGTGAAGATGCCGACTCTTGCTGCCAGCTGGGCCCTCCCCTTGGCAAATGTCGTGCTGGAATTGTACGTGTCGTGCGGGAATTGTTCATGCCCTGGTTTACTGGGTGAGGGAGCCTTTTTCGAATCTTTGTGATACGTTGTGTTGCTGCATTGGGGGTTGCTGTTGCTTGTCGTCGTTCTGTTGAAAGCGTGTCGATCGTAGTAACGTGTTAACATAGCAGAGTCCGAGTGATCCTTGCGCCATTACTTCCGGCGTTACACCCACCACGAGCACTGTGCATGCAGTCGAGTAGCGCGCGACTAGTTATCGACCCGCAAAACCAAAACACAGGAGCAAGGGTTAATCTGACAGCCATTTCGTGCTCATGCAGGATTGCAGGTGGGAGCAACATTTGCAACCTTTATCAAACCCTAGGCTAAACCCGCACACAGGCTGTGCCATCTCCACGAACTTCTTAAACCAAGAACGTCTATATGCAATATATACCCTGACCCACATGACAAAAGACCCTTACATCAGTACCCTGCATAACATGCCACGGAAAACCAAGGCATGTGACCCACTGCCTTGTTACGCGCTACCAAACAATCAGTTCATCTGGGGTGAAGCCGGTAGTGCACTACATCCCACACCCGCCGGCACGCGCGCACCAGCCCGATACAGTTCTCAGTGTACCGTAATGTTCCCCCGTGTTTCATTCGTCTGTGTTGAGTGCAGCTACCCGCGGGGAAACCGAAATAGAAACCGAAATAGAAAACCATCGTCACCATACGCCTCCAGGCCCGAAGGACGTGAAGCCTTGAGCAAACAACGCCATGCCACTGCCATCCTGCTAGCAGCTGCAGCACATGTCACGCCCCCAAACCCCAAACGTATGACCCACTGCACCGCACAATAGCCTCAAAGAAGGCGCAGCTGTTCCCAGGGGCTACGTCAAGTCACAAAAGAAGACACCCCAGGCAGCATTACCGCTTATGAAACGCGTAAACGGCTGAATGTAGTGGGGCTAGTTACCCTCCAGACAGCAGGCCTCCCTAGCCATGAGGGGCCTACTGCCCACAAGCCGCGCTCCTTTTCGTCCTAATGCCGGAGGGTTAGAGGCAGCGTGCAGACTTCAATGGAATGTACATGAAAAGGTGCCGACACGCACACACACAGTCCCAAGTTATGGGTTCCCGCCCACATACGTTCTGCCTTGGCAAGCACACCTACCTCCGGCTATGTCTTCAACGCACGGAACACGCTCTGTACGGACACCCTGCGGCACGTCTACCCGCCTGGTCACCTCCCAGTGCCCCATGGGTCACGCCTCCTGCATCGCTCGCACGTGCTCAACTAGCCACGCTGACCACTCAAGACACCCTGACCACTACGCTCGCCCCGTCTTGCCCTGCGCCCCAGCGCTACCTGGCCCAGCATCCTTCCGTCAGCATCCTTCTATCAGCAGAGTACTGGCCACTGGCCGAAACCCCCCACACACGAACCCGCGTATGTTGGTTACGTCGTTAGCCTGCGCAGCTACTTGCGCTCGCCCTCCAGCATAGCAGCAAGACCTCCTCACAGCAGCTTGAGCTTATCGCCCAGCTGTGCAGCCCGCATGATGTAAATGACATGCAGGATGCAAGCGGACGTCACGCAGTAGTGCAGCATGTGGTGGTCCTGCAGACCCACGGGTCGCGAGTGGCCGCCATTCCTGCAAGGAAAGTAAACATACGGGCATACCCAAGCGGTGAATGAGGGTCTTCAGACACGACAAAGGCACAAAACCCTCATGCGGCCCCGACCCAGATCGAGATCTGTCAGCAATACCTTCCGCCGTTTCTCTTATCTCTTACCTGGCTCCTCTCTTATCAGCTCCACAACTTATGCCGCTATACCGCGGCTACTGTGCATAATACCCAATCCCATCCATACGTCGCACTAGGGCACTCTGGCCGCGCTTAACCATTGCATTCCTCCGCGCTCAAACGCTGCACACACCCCACTGTCAACAGCAAGCCCCCCCGCCACCCGGCCCTGGAACCCACCTGAGGAAGAAGACCCCGCCCGCCACCTGCAGCACCACCTGCGCTAACAAGTTCCAATTCACGATGAAAAAGTAGTATCCGAACAGTACGGAGCCCGAGGCCACGAAAGCCAGCGTGCGGTACAGGGGCCGCAGGAAGGCGGCGGCAGCCGAGACAATCGCCATAGCGATCATGACGTGGTAGGGCCCGGAAGGACGGAGAGCCTGATCAGGCAAGCAAGGCGACAAGTAGGGCAGTGTGGGTCGCCGTGAGGGGGCGAGAGAGGAAGGGGAACAGGGGCAGATGGGGCGGGCAGTGGAAGGGAATGCGTGCAGGGGACGGGTAGTGGGTTGCTGTAATAGTGGGCGGTTTGTCCTTGCATGCCGTACTCCGTTGGGTGCTGCAACGTGACTTGCCACAACATAAGCCGAAACCTAAGCCATGGCGGAGGTTGAAAACGCCTCACCATGACAGCTGTAAGCGGCGTGCCGATGATCAGGAAGGGAATGCACAGGTGGTCAATCTTCTCCTGCATTCATTACAAGGGAGGGTGTTGTGCGACAGGTAACGGGAAACAGGAGGGCACGGAACAGCAGTGGGCACAGTGGTCAGCTGTAAGGCAATCACACAGACTTGACCATGTGCCAGAAACCCATATGACTTCCGGCACGGAAATCCAGAGACGAGGCCAGCGTTCGGGGATAGGCGCGGGAAGCTGGGCCCGGATGGTCCTCGCCTTACCAGTAAATGGTCGTCCGGCCATACGTGTGTAAGCGCTGAAGAGCCATGTGTCATCGCCGCACAGAAGCAGAAGGCAGAAAGCGCCAGACCTCCGGGAACAATTCCAGCCTTCGCCATTGCACTGCATCGGCAACACCGGAGGGCGTCAAACCCACTCGTAAGCGCAGTTGAGCTCCGTTTACCGACTGGAAAAGCTGTATGTGCTACTCCATCAGCAGAACTCGCTGTATTCGCACACACCCTCGGCCTCACCCAAGTATTACGAAGGCCAGCGCCGGCAGTCCGTGCGACCATACGTTAATGCGCTCATAGGGGTCATAGAAAGTGCATACATACCATGGCATGTGGTGCCATGCCCCCGCTGGGGACCCGGCCGGACGAAACTTCATTGTCTCTCTATCTTGCACAGTTTCTGTGCTCCCCAAATATAGATTGGACCCTTGGTCAATAGTCATACCAGGTCGCGAAGATGTGCAGCGGGTATATGCGTTATTTGGCCTTGAGCCTCACAGCTATCCGTACAGCATCCCTTCACATTGCAGAAGCGATGCGTCTTCCATGGCAATGGTGACACGCACGAGTACTGTTGGGAGTACATTACAAGGTATAACAATTTCTCTGTTAGAGGAAAGGGAGACAGCTGCTCATGGCGATCGCCACGCCGCACTTGGCGGGCAAACTCTGAAATCTCGCAAGAATTGTACATTCCTCACTCGAGAGCGTTCGATTACAAGTTGGTCACTATGGACGTTGATCTTCCTGGACTTGGAGTAGGCCAGCAGCGAGTGTCACTGGAGGAGGAGCTTACATCAGTTTTCACAGCTTTGCTGTCGGACAGCAGGGGCGCCAAGGACGCTGTAGTAGACATTTATAATGTCTGTCACCAAAGGGCGGAGGCCCTCAGGTAGGCCTACTTCAAAGGCCCCATTGCCCATCCGGCAGCTGGCTCCATTCCTGCCGCCGCCGTCTTGCCCCATTCCCCAGCCAAACTACCACTTTGCTCCACGATATCTCCTTCATCCCGCGGATATGCTACTGCGATTTTCGAACATCGCGAATCCTCCCCTTCCAAACCCCCCTCCCTCCATCCCCATCCCCTCCTCCCTTGCCTCTCACTCCTGCATTCCAAAACCCACCACCCTTTCCCCATCACCAACCCTTCCCTCCCTCCTCCTTCCCGCTCAGAGCCGAGGCTTCGGAGCAGCTGCACCGCCCAGCCCGTCACATGACCCTCATGACGCTAGCCGAGGAGATGGAGGCGCAGGCGGCCACGTGGCAGCTCGTCTTCTGCCTCTACTGCGATGAGGCGCCGCCCGCAGGGGTGGGCGGAGGCGGGGTGATTGGCACCGGCGGGGCGAAGCTCTACCGGGAGAGACTGGCAGACAGCGTCAAGTTGGACCCCGAACAGGCCAGGTGCGGGGAGGAGAGGACAGTATGCCGCATGCCACATCGTGAAAGTTTCATCCTATACGGTTGGACAGCAAGGATAGAACGAGTACGGGGAACGCTTGAGACGGGAGAACGCCTACACCTTCCAAGTCACCATCCACTTCCTCCTCCTGCTGCTGTCGTCCCCCCCACCCCCAGGTGCGCCCGAGTGGTGTCCTGGCTGGAGTCCCTGGCAGACGACTGCCTGCGGCGGCAGGCGGGAGCCGCCTTTGCGCCCGAGGAGGGGCTCTGGCATGAGACCAAGACGGAGATGCGCGCAGGGAGAGGTGAGGGTGCTGAGGGGGGCCGGGCGGGGGGGCAAAAGACCATACCAAAGGGGACGAGGGGGGGGCTCGGGGCCAAGGCACAGGAGGACAGTGTCAGGGATCGTGACACGGGAGGAAGGGTTACGCGCCGCGGTGCATGGGGCTGGACGTGTGGCTTGTGGTATGGATGGTTCTTCCGCTTGCCGCTGTGAAAACGCAATGAGCTGAGGGTCTAAAGGCTCGTCGCCGCCTCTTGACGTATGCGACTCCCCTCATCTCCCCTTGTCGCACCATCTTGTCACGTCCTTTTCGTACCCAGGGTCGGTGGTTTCGGAGCTGGATCCAGATGCTCCGGGCCGCACCGGGCGGCCGCTGCACGCGGGGAACGCCCGCTCGCAGGAGCGCATCCTGGCCCGGGTGTGGCAGCTCATGCGGGCAGGTGAGCCGTAACTGGGAGGCGTGTCGGGAGGAGGCGAGGAGGGCAAGCGGGGAGCGAATAGGGGCAAAGAGAAGGCTGGCATGAATGCGGGGATGCAGTTTAGGCCACATTCCGTTCCTCCCCTGCCCTCACTTCACTATGAACGTTCCCCCTCATCCCCCCAGGCCGCCTCCCGGAGGCTCTGGAGCTCTGCCAGCATGTGGGGCAGCCGTGGCGGGCTGCGGCGCTAGGGGGCGGGGGGCAGTTCGGCGCCCTGCCGGTGGGGTCCGCTGCCATCGAGCACGACCAAGCGGTGGATTCGGAGTTGCAGGTGCGGGTGCGGGGAGGGAGGCGTGAGGCGTCATGTCGTACATGCATGGCTGGGTTTCGGAGAGAGTGTGATAAGGGACCGAACCTCAACCTTATAGGTACCTAGTAAGGTCTTTACGACCACGCATGGGTGCTACGGTAATGGCGTTAGTGAAAGTTACGTTGTCCATTTGTTGCCATCCAGGCCGAGGAGCTGGCGGACGAGGTGACCCATGGGTCGGGTACTCTGCTGGCGTTGTGGCGTTGGGCTGCGCAGCAGGCGGCATCCGCGCCGCCCGGCGACAAGTTTGAGCGTGCCGTGTTTGGCGGTCTGGGTGGCAGCATCGCCGCTATGGCACCCGCCTGCAGCAGCTGGGAGGACTTTGCATGGGCCTACTGCAGGTGGGGGGGGCCGGCTCAAGGGGGCGGTGAAGTCCACGAGGTGCGGCTTGGTGCGTATACCTGTGGCGTCTACGGCCAGATGTGTCGCGGGTTGTTTCTGCTGTGGTGCCCAAACGAGCAACAAATAGCACCCGTATAACCTCCTTGCCCCCGCCCCCTAAATTGGGTATTCCTCTGTTCCCCCCGCTTTTTTTGCTCCATGACTCAGGTCCTGGCTGGAGTCCCAGTTGATGCGGACAGTACCCCTGGAGCCCCATGCGACCGGGGACTTGGTCGCTGGGGACGTGGTGGCGTCGGCGCTAGCGCGGTGTGGCATCGCGCCCGCAACGGCCCAGCGCAGTGTCGAAGCAGCCATGTCTGTCGTACTGGGCACCAGCGGCGGCGGCGCCGCCGCCGCCACTGGCGGCCCGCCATTGGCATCGTACGGCGACGGCAGCGAAGCCGCGGCGACGGCATCCCGCGGCTTTGGGCAGCTATTCGCTCAGCACGTCATGGCGCCAGGGTCGCTCGTTCATTCCGGCTCGCCTGCCGTACAGGCGTTACGACAGGTGCAGGGCCTGTTGGTGCAGGGCGACATGTCCGTACTTGCTGGCCACCTACACAATGCACTCGTGGAGCGCCGCAATGGCGGCGGCGGAGCCGCCGTCGTCACCGCCGCCGAAGGCGGCGGCGAAGCCGTCCCCTCGGCCGCCGCCATGGACGACGGCGGCGCCGACGGGCTAGCGAATGCGGTGGCGGCGACCAACCCCGAGCGGCGCTGGCGCATGTGCGCACTGGCTGCCCACATGCTGCTGGCTCTGGAGGGACTGGGGGTGGTGGCAGGCAGGGAGCAGGAGGCCCGAAGCGGCGGGGCGACGGGAGCGCTGTCGGACCCCTTTGAAGTGCACAAGTGGGTGCCGAGGGGGCGGGGTAGCGCGTGGTGGCGGGGGCATGGGAGCAGCGCATGCGGTCCGTCCCTTCCACGTCTTGCGTTCCTGCCCTGCCAACAAAGAGCTCCACTTTCTACGGTTCAGTGTGTACAGTGTGTACTTCAAACGCCCCAAATCCACTTCCTCCATCCTCACTCACCCTCTCCATGTCCTGCCCGCACCCACTCAGCCACGCCTCACTTCCCCTTCTCCCCTCTTATCCCTCTCCGCTCCCTTCCCCTCCCTCCCCCCTCCCTCCCCCCCCAGGACGCTGGAGCTGTCCCAGCAGCTGCTGGTGTTCTACGTGTCCCGGCTGCTGGAGCGGGGGCAGCTGCCGCTGGTGCCGCCCTACCTGTGTGCGCTGCGGACCGCCCCCAGGTCCTCGCTGTGCGGGGAGCTGCTGGCGCTGCACACCAGGAGGCTCACAGGTGTGGGGGGGAGTCGTACATTAGCCGTAGTGTAACAAAGCGACTTGGATTATATGGTTCCTGCAGTTGAGGGGCTGGGAGCTGTACACAAGAGTCGCTAGTGGCTGGCTTGATGTCTAGTGACGCGTGTTGTTCCACACTACCGGAATCTGTGCTCCGCCGCAGGCCTCGTGGCGGTCGATGGCGACGCCTCCGCTGCCGGTGGACCCACGGGTCTGTCTGAGGAGCAGCTCGCGGCGGCGGACAGCGAGTGCTTCTCCGCCTTTGCGTCCCTGGACGAGTGGTTTCGGCGCTGTGTGGAGCGGCAGCAGCAGCCGCCGGAGGAGCTCGCCAGCCGCCTGGCGACCGACATACGGTACGACAGCGGCCTGAGGGGGAGGAGGGTCGTGGAGAGGAGGGTAGTGGGCGTGGGCGTGAGTGTGGCAAGTTGAAAGTGGAAAGGTGGGAAGCATAGGCTGCTGGTAGCGACTGAGGGTACTGCAAAGTCGCGGCATGTTACCCAGAAGCCCATTGATGAGTATCTTCAAGTAGCATGCCTCTCATGCCACTCTCTCATGCAACCCCCGCTACCAGGCCCAATGAGCTCCGAATCCAGCTAGCCACCTTTGCGCTCTCCTGCCGCAACAACCCATTATACGGACCTCACCAGCGGTCCCGCGTGACTCGCTGGTTGACGTATCCGTACATTGCCGCCGTACAACAAGCAACCGCCGCTGCTGCTGCGGAAGACGAGCAGCGGCGTCAGGAAGGTCTCAACAATGACGTCGACGGCGGCGGAGGCGACGCGGAGCAGCAGCAGCGGGCCGCGGTTGTCGTACAACTGGATCCCATGTCGTACTATGACGTGTTGGATTACGCCAACTGCCTGTGCTGCGAGCTGGCGCTGGGTGACGATGTGACGGCGGCGGCTGGGCACGTGCTGTTTGAGGAGGTGCTACCGGAGGGTGAGAGAGAGGGCTGGAGTTGATGAGCGGATCCATTTTTTGCTGCAGATCCTTTTGCCATGTCAATTTGCCAAGTTATGCATGACGGTTAAGTCCGGGCTCCGGTCCTCCGGCTTGTGAGGTTTGGCAGGATATGCATGTGCAGCGCTCACGCAACATCCGCACATGGCGCCGTTCACGTTTCGCTCGCAGGTCTCGACCAAGCCGCTTTCACCGCAGCAGAGTCCCTCGCCGCCTCCGCCGCCGCGGCCGCAGACGCCGCCGCCGCAGCAGCCGCCGAACTGGACGCCGCTGTCGCCACCTCCTCTGGATCCCTCTCCGCCCTCATCCAGCAGCAGCAGCTGCAGCAGCAGGCGGCAGCAGAGGCGGCGGTCGAGGAGCGCCTAGCAGTGCAGCTCCGAAATCTGGCTTCTGAGCTGTCTGCATGGCGGCTGTTCTTCGGCCTGGATGCGCAGTTGGCGCGGTGGTGGAGTCGACATGAGGCGCTAACAGCGGCGGCGGGGCAGGAGGAGGGCGAGGAGGCGGTGGCGGCGCTGGTGCAGGAGGGCGGAGAGTTGCTGCAGGCGTATCTGGAGCAGCTGGTGGGTGGGGTGGTGGGGAGGGAGGGAGGAGGAATGGGTGAGATGCGGAGGGAGAAGGGAGGCGGGTGTAGGAGCCTTCCATGGGTTCCATCCCACGATGCCCTCTCCACGCAGGGTTGTCCATGTGACTGTGGGGGCACGCGCCCTCCTCTCCTTTCCTCGTGTATACGCCCTTTCTCGGAGCATCCTCTGAGCATCCCCTACCCGTCCGGCCCCTCTGGACACACACACCCACGCCCCTCCCCCAACCCATTGGGTACTCCTCTTTCCCCCACCCACCCCCACCTCAGCTCCAAGTTGGCTGGCAGCAGGACCTCGCGTCGCCCGCCCGCGCCCTGGCGGCGGCGGCAGCGGCAGCGAGCGACGGCGCCGTGCGCGTCACACTGACGGTGACATCACCGCCGGGCGCCGGGTCCCTGGCGGAGCCCTCCTCGGGCGCGGCGGCGTGGGGGCAGCAGACGGCGCCGTACCCCGTACTGCAGGTACGTGGAAAGGTGCTGGGGAGGTGTCGTATGCGGTGATGTGCCCCGGGTTGCAATGGGGTATCGGTAGTGAGTACCGGGCCGTTGGCTTCCGCCGGGCCCTTTTACGACCCCTGCGGTGCCTACCACCACCTGGTTCTCTCATCCTCCACCTCGCCCCTCCCTCGCCCCTCCCGCCTGCCCCCCTACCCCCTCCCTGCCGCCCTGCAGGGTGCCGCCCTACTGGAGTTCCAGCTGGCGCTGCAGGCGGGTCTGCAGCGGGAGGTGGCGCAGCTGGGGGCGGGGCCGGCGGTGGATGTGGTGGTGGCGGGGCCGGCGGAGGCGGAGGAGCAGGGGCAGGGGCTGGTCACCGTGAGCCTGGCGGCGGCACCGGAGCCGCAGGTACGTTGCCCGTCCTCGCTCCCATGCGGGAAAGAGAGCGTTAGGGTGTGTGTCCATATGGCATTGTAACGTTGCTGGCGGGGTCGGACCCTTCCTGCAAGCCGGCGATGCACCCACTGCGGCTCCTGGACTCCTCCTCCTCAGCTCCTCCTAACCGCCTACTGCTCTACCTTGCTGCTCCCTCCGGCAGTGAGCACCTCTTCACCTCTCCCCTCGCTCAAGCCCCATAACTGTTATCCTCCTGTCCACCCCCCCCCCCGGCAGTCCTGGCAAGCTCTGGTGGGTCTGGTGTGCAGTGCGGTGCGCGGCGGGCTGGAGGGCGCCCCGCGGCTGCTGCTGGTGGGGATGGAGGCGGACCGGGCCACCAGCCTGGCGGTGTGCCGGCGGTGCTGCCTGGCACAGGTGAGCGGGAGGGGGAGGGGGCAGGCGGACGGGCTGAGGGATGATGTGTGAATGACAGGGGAGGCGGAAGGAAGGAAACGCCAAGGGGGCTGGCAGGGTACGGTAACTGTAGTACGGTACCCTAGTACGGTACCTGTACCATGGCTGATCGTCTGTGTTTATGACGGAATCTGTGCCTGAATCTGAATCGACAGAATCCCTGACTGAAATCGGCACTCTCCTGGACTCCACAGGCTGTTCTGCGCTGCGCCGCGTTGCGGCTGTCGCTGGTGACGTTGGGTGCGGACGCCGACTCGCCCGCCACCGGGCCGCAGCTGCTGGAGATGTTGGCGGCGTCACCGGAGGTGACGGGCCTCGGGACCCGCGGGTCTGCGGGTGCGGCGGGTCTGCTTGACTTGCTGACGCAGTCGCAGCTGCAGCACGTGCTGGCGGCGGAGGCGGACACTGCCGTACAGCACCTGCGCAACCAGCAGCAGCCGAGGAGGTGGCAGCAGCAGCAGCTGCAAGAGCAGCAGCGGTGGAGGCGGGTGTAGGGCAGGAAGAGCGGGCGGTGATGAGGTGGAGGATGAGGTTATAGGTCGGGTAGGCGTTCGGATGGGGCCATCGGAGAGGAGTCGATGTATGGCAGGAAGGCAGTTGAAGTGGTGGGGTGGAGGCATTTTGACTGCTACCAGCTGCTTAGGATAGGCACGATGGCGTGTTGGAATTGCGGGCAGAGCCGTCCTTCAGGACAGGTCTGTGGGATAAAGATTTGAGGATGACACCACCTGTACTAAGCGTATGGGATTGGCGTGAAGCTGGCTTTGGGGCCTCGTAGAAAGCGTCGGTTAACACGGGTACGGCACTGACAGGTGGTGATCCCTGTAAACGCGATGCAACGTTATCAATAGATTCCATGTTCTTATGCAAGGCTTGGCCTCCTACAGCCCAAGAAACGGTGCCTTGCATGAAGGTACCATCGCGGCTGCAAACCTGCCCGTCGTGGATTGACAACCCTTTACGCTTTCCTACATCTAAATATATTCGTTTCTAAAATCACAAAGAGCTGAAAATAGAAACGTGCACTTAACGGCTGCAAGCCAAACCTTTGGGCTTTAAGGACCAAGGAGTTTGGTTTGCAGTTAAGGAAATGAAACCAGCACAGGAGCAGGAGGAGGTACTCCACGTTGGTTTCAACCAGGTTTGTTGGAATTGCGCATAGCGCTGGGTATGCTTTCCAGCTCGTGGTCGATGACATCATGGCTTCTTCAGGACTATGGATGCTTCGCTTGCGGCACAACAACTGGTTTTCGCGTGTACAACTGCGAGCCCTTTAAGGAAACGGTAAATCGATGCCTTTTCGTTGCTCCTTACAACAAGGAATGCAAATTCAACGAGCTTTTTGTTACCCCGCTCCCAGTTTTGCCGGGGCTTTAATAATGGAGGAATTGGCATCGTGGAAATGCTTTTTCGATGTAACATCTTGGCAATTGTGGGCGGGGGAGCTGCCCCACGGTACCCGCCAACTAAGGTAGGTCCCAGGGCTGGAGCAGGACTTGCCCACGTCCACGTCACTGAATCCATTTGTGGCCATGTTCCGTGATGTAGGTCATGATATGGGACGACCACCAGGGCAAGTGCATTGGCGAAATGTCCTTCAGAAGCCAGGTACGCTGCAGCTTCCAGGAAACCCTAGTTCCAGTCAACCCAAGTGGACGGTCCATTCTACCCTAAGCCCCCTCTCTTTCTCACTCCCCGCATCCTTCTCTCAAGACGACCCCATTCAGCCTACCCGCATGATACACAACGGCTCCTTCCACTTCCAAGTTCAGCGCCCTGCCGTTGCCCCATCACCCTCACCCGCCCCCCAACCCTACCAATCCACCGCCCGCCCATCCCTGGCTCTACCCCTACGCAACCACGCAACCCACATCCCACTCCAACCCACATCTCTCAAACCAACCCCTCCTTTCGCCTTCGGATCCGGATCCGGATCCACAGGTTCGTGCCGTACGGTTACGTCGCGACCGCATCGTGGTTGCTCTGGAGCACAAGGTGCTCGTCTACAACTTCGCGGACCTCAAGCTGCTGCACCAAACGGAGACCTGCGCCAACCCGCGCGGCCTGGTGGCCATCTCCTCCACCGCCGCCATGTCCTCCAACTCCGATAACACGGTGCTGGCCTGCCCGGGGCTGCACACGGGGCAGGTGAGGTGGAGGAATCGACCGACCGGGTGGCTGGAGGACCGGGGGTTCGGCGGTGGTGGGGTTCGGACAGGTTGCGCCTGGGTAATCCAAAATGTTACTACCCATGGAAGAAAGGCATGAGTGGTAGGGCAACCTAGCAAGAGGTGGGTACCGGTATGTAAGGAGAGCCCGGGCTTGAGTAGAACCCCGCTTGATAACCCCCTACGGCGGGTCCCCGCACACCTCAACCCTCGCGTCCAGGTGCGTATCGAGCTGTACGAGCGGCGTCAGACCAAGTTCATTTCCGCGCACACTAACGCGCTGAGCTGCCTGGTGCTGTCCATGGACGGCAAGCGGCTGGCCACCGCCAGCGAGAAGGGCACGCTGGTGCGTGTGTGGAACACGGCGGACGGACAGCTGCTGCAGGTGGGTGGGTTGGCGGGTGGTCGGTGTGTATCGGTAACAGAGAAAGCTACCGGCACCAACACAGCTACTGGGAGAAAAGGCAGGGCAAGGGAATTCAGGCTGCCCTTTAGTACAAGTATTTAAAACCCTAAGCCCTAACGACCATCGCTACTTCCCTTGTTGGGAAAATTGGGAAAAGCCTGCCGTCAACAACCTCGACATGCCCAATGACACCACATGCAGGAGCTCCGACGCGGCGCCGACCCCGCCCACGTCTACAGCCTGGCCCTCAGCCGCACCTGCGAGTGGCTGGCGCTCAGCTCCGACAAGGGCACGGTGCACGTCTTCGCGCTGTCGCCTGCGGTGGCGGTGGCGCCCGCAGCAGGCGAGGAGGCGGCGGCGGCCAAGGGCAAGCAGCCGGAACCGAGTGATGGAGGGTACGGAGGCGAGGCGCAACAGGAGCGGACCTCGACGCCTCAGCGGCAAAACCCCACCTCCTTCCTATCCATCGTACGGGTGAGTGTGGATGCGGGTGGTGGAATACAAGGCTGATGTGTACCGGAGTGGCCTCTCTTCCCTGCTCAACACCTGAACCATGCCTCGTAGAACACATGCTTCGCAGGTCTTGCCACTGCCTCCGCTTCTTGTCTCACACCCCCTAACGCTTCGTTCCCATCCTCAAATCCCCGCCTCCTCGCTCCTCCTTCGCCTCTCTCCGCCCCCCTCCGCCCCCCCTCCGCAGGGCTATGTACCCGCCATCCCGCTCCCCAAGTACTTCAACTCCGAGTGGTCCTTCGCGCAGTTCAGAGTGCACGAGGAGCCCGCCACCAGCAGCATGGCAGGCGGCGTGCCGCCCTCCATAGTGGGTTTCGGAGCCGAGCCCCACACGGTGCTGGTGGTGACGGGCGGCGGCTCGTTCTACAAGGTGGCTTTTGACCCGGTCAAGGGAGGGCCGTGCAGCCAATTGTCGTATTGCAAGTTCCTGGACAAGCAAGAAGCTGTGGTGTGATGGGGGTAATCGGGAGGAGGAGAGGAAGGAGTAGTAGGTGCAATGGAAGCAGCTTACTTGCTGCAAGCGGATGTGGCCACCTGGGGTGGTAGTGTTGCGTTGTTTGAGAGTTGTGAGCTTGGCGCATGCGCCTGTGTAGATTACGGATTGCCCTGTGGGCACGGCTTTTAGGTGTGGCTTAGAGGACCCAAGTAGCAGCGAAGTACACAGCATGAGTTGTGATGCGGACGACAGGCCTCGTTGAGTTAGGGATTGCAGGCAATGCAGGGTGTCCTCTTCCTGGGTTGGGTTGCGACCTGGGAAGCAAGGACTTACCCGAGGAGACGGTTTTGCAGGTTTAGCGGTCGTGAGGAAACCAAGCATTTTTGCCATGGCCTTGTCATCTAACTGTGGTTTTGACCCGTAAAATGTTTCATGTGCAAACGGCATACTGATGAGATGACTAGTTGACTACAACACTACATGTTGTTGCTGTGCTGCCGCAGCTGCCTGGTTATGTAGGGAGAGGGGTGCGTAGCGCTGGACAGTTCCGTGACACTGCCTAGCTGGCTGATACTGGTGATGTTCCCAAGCTGGCTTGCACTGCTTAGATTAAGGGCCGTGTGTGGCGGGCTTGTAGTGAGTGAGCAAAAGCAGCGCGCTGTCGGTCCTGCGCGTCGCTGATGTTGAAGGCAGACTGACGTTTAGGGGCCACCCGCGTTTGGGGGTAATAGGAGCGACCTACAGCTTCTCACAGGTTCCACATGGAGGCTTTGCTGTTGACGTTTCGGTACTGAAGTCTAGCTGTGCCGTCCACTGGGGTGTGCTGCACCTGCAGTGGCTTCGAAGCATTGGAGCACCGTCTGTGCTGTTCATCTGCGCAATGCCGCTGCAAGAGCAAGGTAGTGCCAAACCCTGGGAAGCGGGTGCTCATCTCAAATGTACGGCACATGCCGGCGTGTCCTTGAGCTATGACTGGCAGGAGGGTGTTGCTCATGGTTGACCTGAGATGATCCACATCCTTAACTATTTTCTGCAGCGCAGCTTTCTCAGCGCAGCCGTACTCTTTATCTGCTTTATCAAGCCGTTCTGGACATGAATAGCTCGTACGAATGTGGGCCGAATTAGCGGTAGTTGGCCGTGCTGTCCTACCCACGGCATCGTGGTGGACACTCTTAAGCAGGCGCTGCAGCCCGCCGCGCCCCACTGCCCTCAGCACAACTCAAAGGGCAAGGCAAGGCGGGCTGCCGCACCAGACACGTGTCAGGGACACGGGTGCTCGTCCTACGCTAAGGCAACCCAGGGTTACCCGGGAGGGCCTCAGCGGCTACTATCAGTGAAGGCGTTGTGGCGCAACACTGTATGCAGCTGAGTATGCTAGCCGAGAATCCTAAGCCACTGACCACATTCATGCCTACAGTTGCAAGCTCAAACAGCCCTGCCGAATCTTGCCTTCCAGTCGCGAGATGCAAGGATCCAAAACACCACTGCGTCGATGTGCATCGATAAGACATAGTATACACCACAATCCCAACAGCCTTCAATATCCACGGAAGGCGGACCAGCGTCACCCGTTCACCGCTTCTACCCTGTTGGACGCGAGGGCAAGGCAAGCCCCTGAAGGTTCTCTCGCCTGGCCAGCTCGGCCCCGGCATGCTCAAAATCACGTCTCACACCGCAGGAGGGTGCAGCTGCGGTGCACCGCAGGAGGTCTCGCACCGCAGGGCGTTGGCAACGTCCGCACGGCATAGGCGTGAGTGTCAGTCGTCTATGTCAGTACAAGTGTACAACACCCCCCAGCTCTTGCGTCTCTCTCGACTCTACTTGCACTGGTTGGGGCTCTTAAACACCGCCGTTCGGTAGTACTTGAGCTCCTCTATGCTCTCGCGGATGTCGGAGAGGGCGGTGTGCGCGAGCGTCTTGCGGGGGGCCTTCTTGTAGGCCTGCGGGCAGGGCGGGCGGGGCAGGGCGCGGCAGGGTAGGAGTGCATGGGAAGCGAGGCGTTGGTGCGAAGCCGGCTATGCACACTCAGACAACAGCGAAAGGCAAGACGACACAGCACATATGACGTCATCCCGTCCGTCAAGATAGTGCCATCCATGTGCACACTAACCCACGCATATCTGGGTCTCCAGTCATACCGGTACATGCAGGATGGCGATTCCAACCCCCAAACCTACAATAGGGAACCAGCGCCTGGCCAGCTCCTTGATGCTGCTGACGTCCACGATGCGGTAGTTGAGGTAGGCCACCACTCGCGGCATGTGCTTCAGAAGGAACATGCGGTCAACCTGCGGTAGGGGGGCAGACGAGGGAGGCCAGGCGGAGGAGGAGCGCACAGTGGGAAGGAGGACGCTGGGACTTGAGCCGGGCTGGGGCTGGGCTGTGTGCTGATAGCCCATCAGATCCTGCCCAGACTTTCCCAAGGCGGACGGACATTCCCAGTGCCCAGCCACAGCCCAGCCCCTTGCCTACCCCAGCAAATCCCTTCGCCACAACCACAACGCCCCCTGCGCATACCCAGGAGTGCTGCGCTGATGCCACTGGGTTACCCAAACAGCACACAGCAGACCTGCCCAGGTTATCCACATCCCCCCCACCCCCGCACACGCACGCACGCACGTGTACGGAGTTGCCCGCCAGCTGTGCCATGTTTTCGTCCGCGTGCTGCGAGATGAAGCCCAGCAGCTCCTCCTCCACCTCCGCCATGGTGCGCTTGCTGTCGCGCACCCGCTGCGTGAGGCCGCTCTTGCCGTGGTGCTCCTTGCACCAGTCGTTCATGGAGGCCAGCACGGAGTCGTCCTGGTGGATGGCGGCCTCGGGGCCCTGCGTATGCGTTTCAAGGTGCGTGCGGCGGGGAAAAAGCGGTGAACGGGGCGGCAAGGGCCATGCTGTTGTAAGGTCGTCTGGTTATGTAAGGGAGCTGTCCCTATGGTGTCGTCAGGTTGTGTAAGAGAGGAGGGCTGCAAAAGCGCAGAGAAGGCGCGGATGTCGGATTGGAGGATATCGCAAGAGTGCATGTTGCAAGGGGAGAGGTGAAGGAGCTAGGGCATTGCCGTACCTGGACTTGGATTTTGAGGTCGCCATCCGTCATGATGCATGCGACCTCTATGATGGTGTCCTTCTCTATGTCTAACCCTGCGGGGTTAAGGGAAATTAAATATGTCAAGACATGGGAACATCCAGTCATGGAACATTGAAGGCAGCACCGGCCGGCTATGTAATACGGGGCATGCAGAGCGCCCCCGGACAGCAGATGAGGTGCAGCGCTGACCCACATCGGGGCAAGTCAGCGGCGACCATACGGGTATGGGGCAAGCGTAACCGTCAGGTGTCACCGCAGCAGGCACACCCGGATGTTGGGAGTGCGCATTGCCCGGTCCGTTTGTTGGGTGAACTTCAATACCGGTACGTTCCACTCCACTTCCCGGCGACCGCACACACCCGTCATTTCGAGGTCGATCCAGCAGAGGGGGTTCCTTAATTTGCGTGGCCCAGAGCGTTGCTGCTTCTCGGGCCTGCGTTACGAGCTCGGAGTAAACAACCTCACCACGCCGAGCTGCATGCACATGGCCGTTGACGCGGCGACAGCGTACCCGTCCTGGGATGATGTTGAGCTTTCAGTAGACTTCTCTACTTTTGAAACACCGGAAGTTGCTACTGTCTCATCATCCCCAACAGCACAAAGCGCCGCGAATGAATTGGTGCTCTCCATAACGGCGGCCAAAGTTAATACGCCTCCCTGCTCCTTTCTCACGGTGATACTTTGTAAGGACAAACGCCTCGGAGAAGATACCACGGTACTAGGTGAGGTAAGATGTCGACCAACGGTGAGTTGCTTCATACACTGAAACTTCGCTGCGACAGCAATCTGTACTATAGCAAAAAATATTGCATTTATTGTACAGCGTAGGTCAGCAGATGGGCACTACTGTATGCGGTGCATGAAATGCAACATAAACTGACAGCTAGCTTCCCGTGGCACGGACACCGTGTGCTCGTACTAGGTTCGTAGCTAGGAGCGAGCATACTGTGTGCGTTGTACCCTGTGCTGTGGTCGACGTTTTGGTTAGTTCGCGTGACGAGGGCGTGGAGCGGCTTGCAGCGTGGTTCGATCGCCGGACGCGTCCCCATGCACGCACCGTAGTCAACTTGCACCAGGCATCGCATGCGGCGGAAACCGGTCGCACCCTTGCTGGCAGCTGGCACCTTGCTGGCGATTAGGCTTGGTTTTTGCGGCGCCTGGCGTGAGGCTGGGTCCCCTGCTTAGTACCCACCTATCGCCGTCATTTGGCTGCGTTCGTGTGTATCCACAGCTTTGCCAGAAGCGCACCTGTAACCCATGAAGTCGTGTTAAGGTAAGCTGTGACCGCCTCCGCAACTGTTACAGAGGCCTGGCCGTGCATGCATCCTTCAACCGCTGCAACCGCCGCGCGTCTATACATCACTCGCACGTGCAGCAGCACGCGCCTCTCCATGCACCACATGCCCCAAAACGACAACCAAAACTCAGACAAAGAAACACCTCTCCTCTTTTACACAAGACCTCGTGCAAAACTGGCAGGTCATTGCTTATAGCTGTTACACTTGTCAAAGACAGGTCACAACAGTCACAACACCACAGGCCACGCAGCAACACAGGCAGCCAAGTCCCCAAGACTTGCGCGGCGCACACTGCCCCCGCTATGCAGCAGCAGCAGCCCAAAACCGGCAAGCCTAACAGTAAAGTAGGACGGCACCTCACGCTGCCTTCACCCGTGGCATCCATGCATGCATGCGAGATCTCCACACGGCGCGCTGCCTTCGGGCCTGTGAGCCTTCGCATGCACTCGCAGCAACGCTAGCAGCAGCAGCCGCTAGCAGAAGCTGCAGCAGCAGTGGTTGCTGCGTTTAGTGGTGGCCGGGCCACAGGCAGGTCAGGGGAATGCTGAGACCCTGGACGTCCACGCTGGAGGGGACGGTGCAGGTGCCGATGTTCTGCAGGGCAAGACGGCGGGAAATGGGGGTTCCGGGGTTTGGACGAAGAATGGCTTATCCTTGCAAGGACGGGAAGCAGACCGCAGTGTACTTGAACCCAGCAGTGGTGGACGACGCCGAATTTGAGGGAAGTCTATGAATCGTCGATGTGCTAAATACAGCAAAAGAAATCTAGCAGCGCCCAGCCAACTCCGATGCAACCCATTGTGAAGGCTTGCCACATAGTGTTTCCTTCTCTACCGCCCAGCTCTGCCTGGTCCCCTTCTTTCACACCCACCTTCAGGATGTTGTTGCCCGCGGGGTCGCTCAGGTGGGCAGACAGGGCAGCCAGGGGACCCTGAGGAGGGTCGTTAGGACAGCCGTTAGGAAAGCCGTTAAAACCGCTGGTCAGAAACGTGGGACCGCACGACACGAAGGGCGTTGCCGTGCAAAGATGCAAAATTCACGGCATACTACGTCTGCAATGCATAAGTTATCAAAACATCCGTAATAGCGGTAGGCTGGATTACTGCCTAGCACGCAGGAAGGCTGCTGCCGTACCTTGCCGGTGGCCTGGGCCTGCAGGACGAAGCCCATGAAGGCAATCTGCGACCGCAAACAAACACAGGGCGACAAGAACGTCGTCAGCAGCTGGTTACGAAGGCACTGCATTTGCTCTGTTAACGCGCTCTAGCCCACACATGACGGCCCACGTCGCTGCCATCATAGCAGTCGGTAAACCTATTGACTCTATCGATAAAAACTCTGCAAGCATCCAGCAGGCAGGCATCCAGCAGGTGAATAAACAGAGTGTGCATACGTGCACCCCTCCTCCTACATGACACCCCAACTACTACTCCTCCCGCCCCCAGTCGCCCAACGCACCATGGCCAGGCGGCCGTTCTTGATCTCCTTGGTCTGCAGCTCCTTGAAGTTGCCCTTGCTCAGGCCTGTCGTACACAGGACGTACGACAAGTCATGATGCCGTACAGCGACACTGTTCCTATATACAGCTAGAACACGGGCCCTAACCACCGCCATTGGGATGGCTGCAACATTTGGAGTCCGGGGGCATCCTTAGGGAAGGGCAGAAGGCGGCGCGAGCTCGGCCCAGGACTAACCCAGCGATAGCGCGTCTTCCAGGAAGGCGCAGCGACCCATGGGACCAGTTGAAGCCCAACTATCCCATCCCAACCGGAGCTGCTGCTCATGGGTACTCACCCATGGGGTCGAAGCCGGGGTATCCCATCACGGGGTTGGACACCTTGTTGCCCTGCGGTGGGGACAAAAGGAGCAAGCAGTTAGCACCACAACAACCATGTTAGCGTCGTCTTTCCCAACCTACTGCGCATCACCTCCCTCTCCTTTGTAGGTCACGTATTCTCCTTCCCGCGAGAATGGCCCACAAATATTCACTTCTAAGGGCGGACCGGCATGCAACTTACCTTGAAGATGGGGTCTGACGGCCAAGAAGAGGTCCAGATGCCGTACGGAGGGCATGCATGGGGGCAGCGGCAACAAGTTATTTTCAGGTACTGGGTGCCAGTGCATAGTGAAACTAGCATCTAGTAACTATGTTGGGCGAAACTAACACAACCAAACACGGCCCCTAATCGATCGGCCCCCTCCCTGGCAAACGACGTATGACTCTTTGTCAGCTGATGTTCATGGCTAGATGGATAGATGATGCCACGCACCATCGTTCACGGAGCCGAAGTTGCGGATGTCCTGCCAGCGGCGGACCTCCACGAAGTGCATCATGAGGAACTCAGCAGCCAGCAGACCGCCCATGTTGATGTTGGTGAAGGGCTCAGGCAGGTTCTGGGGCAGACCAGCCTCGTAGAAGTAGACATCGGGCTTCACGACCTCCTGGACCAGCACGCCAGCGGCGCCGAGCATAGCCCAGCGGGCGTGCACCAGCTCAGCCTGCTGGTACCTGTGCAGCGCAAAGTAGCGCTCATTCTAGCGATGCTGCAATGAGCAAATCGAGCAGTTCCCATCGCGCTGGCCACCGTAAGCTAAGCCGATCGCTGTGACCGGAAGTATTTAACCATAGTGAAACAGGCTGACTATTTGATTGCGGTTATCTGATCAAGAAAAGTAAGCAGTGCCTGCTACCGGTACCCAATGATACGCGCTTGCACATGTACCCTCGATGGACTGCATTTTCGGTGCCTTGTTCACAATATTTACTTCTTAACGTTCTTAATATGTTACTCAAACGCACCAGCGAAGGGCAACGGGGTCGGCGCCAAGGCCGAGCGGGTCCCAGCCGTAGTCGCCAGCCAGCTCGCCCTTCAGGTACTCAGGGGCAACAACGCCAGGGGCCCACAGCTTGCGATCAGCGGCAGCGCGCACAACCACGGCGCGGCGACCCGCCCGGCTGGCGAAGGTCGGGCGAGTCACAGCAGACTTCTGCATAAGGGCGGCCATCTTTGCTGGCAGTCAAAATGTTCTTAGACACGAGTGCACAGTGCGACGGCAACGACTTCCTGTAAAGCAGCGCGAGTTATTTTCACTGATCGTCAAGTCGTACAGCGGATCGAGATGCAAGTACAACACGAAGCTCCTCGCTAGCTTGCTTGGACAAAGAGTTCATTGTCGTCCTTATATAAGCAGCACCGCAGCAATGCAAAGCGACTTACTTCGAGCCTCACTTTGCCACATGCCGCTTTATTGCGCATCCAACAATTTCTTTAGCGTTGTGCACGTTTGCGAAGAAGTTATGTTGTTACACTGTTAAGCGTTTGTACACGTTGACCTTGATGCGCCATACGGCACTGTGCCATGGTTGACGCTTTCACTCCCATTACTAGCTGGCATCAGTCGAGGCATGCTTTGTCATGTTTGTTCGGTGGTAGCATCTCAGAGCCCTTAAGTGACAGTCTCGCATTAGGCAAAGCGCGCCGGCTACTAGCTGTCCTTGGCTGTTGCTGCTGTGGACCATGAACCCCTCTGGACCCCCTGCCAACGCCCTTTCGCCTATCCAGCTCCCCCGAACAGTCTCCTCTTCGTCGTAGCGTGTGTGCGCCTCTCGTCCAACTTCGGATTGCTACCGGTATCGAAAACATTGCCTTACATCCCTACATCCTGCACATGCCTGGATGACAAGTTGCCGTGTAAGCCCCACGGACGCGTCTGCCGTTGACGGCATAGCCACGTTCAATCCGACCCTGCACACTCTGCACATGTCAATGTCAGTTGTGCGACCAGTTGACTAACACACTGCGCATCCTGCAACCCTCCATCCATCACTGACAGACAGGTTCGCCCAACTCTATTGCAGCGATACCTCCCTCCTTCACCAGACACTACAAGCTGTACGAAGCGACAACCCAACCGCCTCTCCCTGACCTACATCTTCCCGATCTACGCATCCCACCACCCTTCCCTGACTCCGCAACCTGCTACCCTACCCTTACCTGCCCATCTATTCCACATCCCTCACAACCCAGCACCCACATGCAGCACCCATACCCACACCCAATCATCCATACACCCACAACAACGCAGCATCACCCTACCGCCCCTACCGCTTCCCCCTCCGTCCCTTGCCCTGCACCATCGTGAACCCATCCTCATCCACCACCGGCACTCGCGGCGCCGGCGGCTCCAGGGGCACCGCCCGCGGCGCCTGCTGCCCGCCCGCCCCGTCCGCATCCATGTCGTCATCCTCGTCGTCCTCATCATCATCGTCCTCGTCGCTGGTGTCCATGTCCGCGTCCTCCTCCGCTACAACCGTGCCGTCCAAGTCCACCTGAGGAGCGGGGGGACGGATAGGCAGAGGGTCGGATAGGCAGGGGGACGGATAGGCAGGAACGTTACCTCGGAGGGAAGCTGGGCACTGAGGGGGGGGGAGGACGTGGAGAGCTGGGTTTGGTACGGCAACCCCGCAGCGTGCCTCCTTGCACCCTGTGTATGACACTTTGTGTATGACGCCCGGAGCACCCCCCACGCAGCCACATGCAACAGCCACCCCCATCACGCAATCAATTTATCCCAGCCCTGACCGGGTCATGCATAACCTTTCAAGCACACCGCCGCCTCCCGCACTCGCCGCACTCCCCCCCCTCTTCAACGGCTAACCCAACCCCTCCGACCCGCCTTCTTCCCCAACCCAACCCCCCGCGCCTCCGCCCCGCCCCACCACTTGTCTCTTGCACTGCTGCACCTCCGCCGCCGCCATGCTCCTGAGCTCCTGCAGGTAGGCGCTGCTGCCGCCCCCTGCCAGCAGCTCGCCGTACAGCTTCACTAGCGCCTCGGCGACCTGGGGTGGGGGGTGAGGGGTGGGGGGTAGGGGTGGGGGGGATGTCGGTAGTTGAGGGTGAGGAGGGGAGGAGGAGATGAGGGAAGGAAAGGGCCGGTTTGGGGGTGATCGAGACATGCGGATGGAAATGCGTGTGCGATGTTGGGGCCTCAGGGCCTGACAGCGTTCCGGCTCGTTCCTGCTCAAGGTTTCAACCCTCGGCCCCGCCATCCCATAACCCTGCCCCATGCTCCCATCCCCCTCCCGTCCCAGCCATGTCTCCTATGGTCACGGTCAGTGTTTCCTCGCGGCTCAGTCTACGTAACCCCCAACCAGCCGCGGGCTGCCGTCCTAGCCACCCCCCCTCCCGTGTCCCCCACCAGCCGGGGGCTGCCGTCCTCCGCCTCCACGTTGAAGTCCTGCAGGATGGCGTCGTCCAGCTCCTCCTCCAGCTCGTCCGCGTAGTGCTCTGCAGGGGGGGTTCAAAGACCATACCGAATTATTGGAAACCACGGGGGGGGGAGGAAAGAAGAAGAAGAAGAGGGGAGGGAAGGGGGCGAGGGAAGGGGGTGAGGGGATGCTAGCAACACGGGGGCTTGGGATGGGAGGAGGAGCAGCAGCAGGCCTGGGATTCTCTTCGCTGGCGGTTTGGGGAGCCCAAGGACGACGAGTACGACAAGAAGCCCAATGTCGCCAGTCCCGTAGAGCATCCTGCGCCGACGTGGGGCTGTCGTGCAAGCCGCCACGCCGCCGCAGTCACGGCAGTTACTCACCCCGCTTCTTGTAAAACCAGTCCAAGCAATCGCGGAATAGTACTTCGGCCTTCTCAGCACTATTCGCGCCTCCCCATTGGTTTTGCACTGCCAACGTCAAAGCTGTCCATTTAGAGAAGACTAATCGGACGCCCTCCTCAAACAGCGGTCGGAATTGTGGCTGCAATGTGGTTTGGCCAACTACAGTTCCGTTTCGTAACTGCATTGCTGCTATTATGGAAAGCGAGAATGGGCGGAGCGAATGCCGATTGGCAAAGAAATGTAAGAAGGTAGCAATGCAACAGCAAGAAGTTAGTGCACAACTAGGCGCTTGCAAACTGTTATGAAAATCAAGTTCAAGAAGGGCGATGAGGCGTATGAGTACTCGCCGTACAACATACGAGGCGAAGAGGATGCCAATTTGCAAAAAAGGCAAGACCCACGAGTTATCCAACTTGTGGTTCTTGTGGCCTTTGTTTGGTACATCGCAGTATTGGTAAATTGCGCACCAGTAGGCTGCCGTCCTAGCAAGTTCTAGTCAACAAAAAATGTATCCACCCGCACACCTGTTGAAGTGAACATCAAACGACGGCTTTAGTTGCCTACCATCCTGTCAGCAAAACAAACTACGCGACCCGGACACCGTCCATACTTCACCATCCATCCACCAGCATTGAGGGCCTACAGGGCGTGCTCTGATTGTTAAAGACAATCCTCTCTAAAAGAAACCGGCTTTCTATTGGCGCTTCGAACCTGGCCTCCCTGGAAGCGGGAACTGACTTGAGGTTACTGCATGCATGCAAGCGACCATGGACAATAGTTGGAGCATTTACAAAGAGGCTGGGGTTGCTGCTTGGGCGGCACACGTGCTGGCAATGAGACGGAGGGAGGGCAGTGGGCCTGCCATATCTATCCCTTTATTTGCAAGGCTTCGTCTAGGCATCCTCATATGCGCATGAAGCGTTAGCACCCATTGAACCACGAGGCGTTTTGGTTCCTTCGGTGGTAACCCTTAGTTGCAAATGAACAACCACTTAGCGCGTACCCCTTTGATGCAGTGTTTCTACAGTTGACCACTTGACCACTGCATGCAAACATTGGTTGGTAGGTCACATCAGCTTCAATCTTGAGCTGGAGCAGACAGTAATCAGGGTGAGGACCTGCTTAGATCTGAGGTAATGACGTTGGCGCTTTCTAGTAGTGGGAGTCCTCCTGTGATGTAATGCAACAGTCCTCTTGCCGTACAATTGCAAGCGCAGCATAACTACCGCTCACTTACTGCCAAGGCATCTTATTCATACAAACCCGATTTCCTGCTTTCATTCGAAACAATCTTTGGCAGCCTCCTCAACCATTTAACAGGACAATCTGAAACAATCTCACGCGAATGGACGTCTTAGACTTAAGCGGCGATCCCGTAGACAGGCTCGTGGCTGGAAGACGAGAGTTCGGCGAGTTCGGTGGCGTCAACGCATCCGTGGAGATAAGCACAACGTTCACAGGTGGGGAACTGGGGATTGACGAATGGCCTGGCCCGGCGGCCTGCTTGGCCTGCAAGCGAATGCTAAGCCGGCGTGCCTGACTGCAGTTCTGGAAGCTGAGAAGTTGCCGGCCATTTTTAATGGAGACTTTGGTCCCGAGAAAGGTATGGCGCCAGGCGATATGGAAGTGGGACCGTCGCTGGATGCATCTGCCGAGAGATACTGACAAATGCACATGTCCAGTTAGATATGTCTGAAATCCAAAAGCTCTTATTTAAGAGCCTGCCTCGCGTACGCTTCGGCGGACGTGGCAGGTGGTGGCATCCAATGGCGGCAAGTTTAACGCCAAGCACTCATCCTCGTAAAGCCGAAGCCCTTTAGATAGGAGTGGTTCAATGAATAACTTTGTGCTGAATTGGCGCGAGTATCTTCGTCGGGCATGCTGACTCGGCCTAGTAGCGGATGGCTCCATCCCATCTCTTTTCCTCAAGGCTTGTCCAAGCCATTTCCACCATTTTTCATGTTCTGATCATGCTTATGTGCTTTGATAAAATAGTTAAACGGCCTATACCAACCTCCAACGCTTTTTCTTCTGACGCAGGCGGATGCTATGTGTACGGCAGGGCTTTCAACCCAACAGTACGGCACCTGGGTCGGCTTCTTGCCGCGCTCGAGGGATGCGAGGCAGCCTACCCTTGCAGCTCAGGTGTGTGGCTCCTCCAATCGGCTGGGTGTTTAGCTGCCTCTGTCTTTTCAACAGCCAAACAACCGGCAATGCACGACCTTTCCTACTTGGTCACTTGCTGTGACCTAGCACTTGAGCCGACATTTTGGCAGCTTGAGTCCTGTCCTGTTGCTGCTGACTGCAAGGCAGGCAATGGCCCTGCCGCCATTTTGGTCCTAGCGTTCTCTTATCTGCCCGCCCCAATTTGTACGTTCAACGGTACCGTAAGTCACTTTTACCCGTGACGTACCGGTACACGCCTCACCCTGCCCCCCTGCCCCCCTGCCACCCCAGGCATGGCCGCCATCTCCTCCACCCTGCTGGCCCTGTGCAACAGCGGAGACCACATCGTCGCATCCAACACAGTGTACGGTAAGAGGCTTGGTTTGACCGCAAGCTCTGGTTTGACCGCCATCTCACCAACCCTCCCTCCTCCCTCCTCCTCCCCCCCCCAAAGGCGGCACCCATGCACTGCTCAAGACCTTCCTTCCCGCCAAGGCCGCCATCACCACCTCCTTCGTGGACATAACGGACCTGGCAGCCGTGCGGGCGGCACTGCAGGAGCACCCGGGCAGAGTCAAGGTACGACAGGAGGACAACACAACACCCTTTCGTGATCCAGCTCAACCAGCTGCTTTATAGAGCGTATTAGATTACATAGCTCTCCTGCGTGTGCCTTGCCAGACGCTGACCTAGTTGAGAGTACCTGCTGATACCAGGTCTGTCGTACCTGCTGCGCCCCTTACACCTCACTTAAACCCTAACTCTAAGCCTCTCCCTCACTTCCCACCCTTAACGCCTTCCCCAGGTGCTATACACGGAGGTGGTGTCCAACCCCACGCTAGCGGTGGCTGACCTGCGCGCCCTAGCCGACCTGGCTCACAGTGCGGGTGCGGCGCTGGTGGTTGACAACACCTTCACTCCCTTCGTCGTCACCCCGCGACGCTTCGGGGCGGATGTGGTGATCCACAGGTGAGTTGTGGCAGGTGATACATGTGAGGCATGTGATACATGTGGTACATGTGATATAACACACCACTGGGAAGGGAAGGGTACCGAAGGTTCCCTTAAAGTACACTAGCGATTACGGCTCCTGGGAGGCAGTGAGTCACAGGCCACAACAGCGATAAACCGTGCGTGCCGTCTACACTGTGTTTTACCCCTCCTCAAGCCTTTACCCCCGCACCCCCCGGCCGTCATTCATCAGATCATCACCCGTTCACCCCCCCCCCCCCCCCGCAGCCTCACCAAGTTCGTGTCCGGCGCGTCCGACATCATCGCGGGCGCCGTGTGCGGGTCCGCCGCCTTCATCCGCTCGCTCATGGACTTCCACGCGGGCCCCTGCATGCTGCTGGGACCCACCATGGACCCACGGGTCGCTTCGGAGCTGACGCTGCGCCTGCCGCACCTGGCGCTGCGCATGCAGGTGCGTTTGGGGCTAGGCTACTGGTCAGCAACGACCTTGAAGCACAGCACAGAGGGTGTCGAGGGTGATGTTGCCTTTCCTTGCGTCATCCAAACCAACTCCCCTCACCTTAACGCACTTACAGCATGTCTCGCTCTCCTTACCTCTCTTGACCTCATCCATCCATCCACCCACCCACCCCTACAATCGCCACAACGCCCTAACCTGTCGCTCGGCGCAGGAGCACGGCCGTCGCGCCGCCGCCTTCGCCTCCCGTCTGGCTGCTCTGGGCGCCGCGGTGCGCTACCCGGGGCTGCCGCAGCACCCGCAGCACGCACTCATGGCGGCGCAGGCCAACCCAGGGTACGGTTTCGGAGGAGTGATGGGACTGGATCTGGGCACCCCCGCCCGGGCTAATGCGGTGAGCGAGGAGGGCAGATGCGGGGCGGGGCGGGTGGGGTTGCGGCGGTGTGACGTGTGAGGTGCCGCAGATGATGAAGCTCCGGCTAGGGTTGTTTATACTAACGCTCAGTAAGGCTGAATGGTACCCGGGGTTGCTTGCCGTACTCCCAGGGTACGGCAGCCGCATGTGCCGCATGTCCTTAGCCCTGGTTGCCTAACCCCAGCCCGTCCAGCCCCGGGCCGCTCCCCGCCTGTTCCTTCTCTCCTTGGCACACCTACACCTGTTTCACCCCTGCCACCAACCTTCCGCACCGCACGCCCATCTCCTCGTACCTACCTCCCCGCCGTACCTCCCGCCGAACAGTTCATGGAGCGGCTCCAGAACCGTCACGGTTTTGGTTTCATGGCGGTCAGCCTGGGCTACTTTGACACGCTGATGTCGCTGTCCGCCGCCTCCACCTCCTCCGAGCTGAGCGAGGCGGACATGGCGGCGTCGGGCATCGCGCGGGGCTACGTGCGCATGTCCGTAGGCATCACAGGTGGGGCTGTGGGGTGGGGATTGGGGTGGGGTGGGGGAAGAAATTTCAATGTGTGGTGTGATATTGATACGGGGGGAAGGGAAAGATGAGATGGGCTGGTTGAGTTGGGTTAGGGATGCTAGGTCCGGCTGTGAAGAGTGTGCAGGTGTGGCGGCGAATGGGCCTTCCAGAGGTGCTTTGAGGGCTGCCAGCGTTGCTAGCCTGGTAGCTTTGTTACCTGCCAATGCATCGCCTGCATGCCTCTCTTGCATCAGTTGTTACTCACGCATGGGGCCGCCCCGAAACCTCTCCCACCAGCCACCCTGGAGGAGCGCTGGCGGCAGCTGGAGGAGGCCTACCGCTTCACCATGAAGCTGGGCCCGGCGGCGGAGGTGCCGTACCGGGCCGTCAAGCTGCGCCGTACACCTTCCGGCGCTGTGGAGCAGCTGATCAGCTGGCCGTCAATGGGCTGCGGCGACGGAGAGTCGTTGGGCGGCGGCGGTGCAGCCGCGGCGGCGAATGGTGGCGGCTATAACACTGTTACGACGGCGGCGGTGCCGCCGACGTCAATCGCCTCGGTGGTGGAGGTGTTGGCTGAGGCGGCAACTGCGGCGGCGGCTGAAGCTGCGGCGGCGTCAGGGGCGGCAGCGGAGGTGAAGGGAGCTGGCAAGGCGGCTGCTGGGGGTGATAGGGTTGGCGAGCCGCACGTGCCAGCCGTCAATTCACGTCCGCTGTCCACTCCTGTAACCGCATCGCCGTTCACGGCGGGGCCCGCGGCACACCCTGCAAGCGGCGGCGGCGGCGGAGGCAGCAGCAGCACCGCTAGCGCCGGTCTGCTGGGACCGCAGCAGCCCCCACCCGCCGCTCAGGTGCTCCCACCCGCCGCTCAGGTGCTTCCATCCGGCGCCCAGCCGCATGCGCTGGTGAGCGGCGGGGGCTGCCTGGGAGCATGCGGCGAGGGTAAGGGCCTGCCTTGCAGCAGCTGCCTCCACAGGGGCGCCGCGGCCCAGCTGCCCCCACCCCATGCACACGGAGAGGATGGCCCCTCGAAGCGCCGCCAGCTGGACGCGGTGGTTTCGGAGGCCAGGGGCAGCGGAGGTGCCGGCGGCGGCGGTGTCGTTTGGCCGGCGGTCAAGATCCGGCGCACGGGATCCAGTGAGATTCATTACGTGGTGTCGGCGCAGAGGGTGCCAGCCTAGGATGGAGCGCGAGCGAAAGTGTTGGACTGGCAGGCCCGTCTAGGGAGGGGTCCGAGGGGATGAGGGTTTGAGCTTTGATGCGCCCGTTTGTAGCAAGTGTTGGTGAGATGCGTGTGAGCCGGTGTTGGTGGAGGCTTTGGGTTTACTTGCCGAGGGTGTAAAGTACTTGGCTGTAGATAGAAGTTGTACGTTCTGTTACATAGCTCCCCAAGGCGGATGCTGGGTGACGTTGCGCAAGATTCATTATTACGTCGTTTGATTGCCTGTAGGGCGGTGCACGTGTGTCCTTACTAGGCGGTTGCTGCCTGTTTTTAGCATTAGTAACCTCCTTTCTAGTGGTTCATTGTTCTAGACGAGCCAAGGCATGTGATGCCGCATGGCAAGCCAGTCGGTCTCATTTGTACTGATGCTTTCAGCGGTATTACTTTGACCCATGGGTCAGGAAGGCTTTCGCTGCAAGATACACACAGCTGCATGTTGCCCTCCAACCCCGTCGTCGTGTTTGCTGCCCAGGCCATTCGGACGAGCAACTTTTACTGTCTAACCCTGTACGATCTATTGTAGTATGTATCCTTATGCAGTGTTTTCGCCGGGTGGCAAGGTGTATGGCCATGGGGTAATACTATGTACTAGTAGGAAGTTGAGCACATTGCACCATCGTTATAGTAATGTCCGCAGCAGTTGTTTGTATATATTGTATTCTGTGTTGTACCATAGCTCTGTATAACCTGCTGTACCAGTACTATGCCTTGTGCGAGTAGGGCTTTGCCGTACCCCGATGCCGTCATACTAGGGCTCGGTCTGTTCCTAGACTAGGAAGTTGGAAATGCTGTTCCCGGGCACGGGACAATATGCATGTGTGGCTCCCGCCGAGCCCTGTTACGCGAAGCACCTGCCAAGCCTACATGTATGCTGTTTGAGCCTTACCTGGAAGGTGTGCATGAATACACATGCATGTGGCGCCGCATAGGCAGGTCAGCCCCAAGAGAAGGCCTGTGGGGGGCTTTTGCCATTGTAATGCCATTGGTCCCTCTGGCCCGTCCCCGCACATTGGACACGCGGACAGGTGCTAAGCGTAAGTGTGGCAGTGAATATTTAAGGAGAACGGGTAAGCATGTGCCAGTAATGGGAGCAGTGCTTATACTGGTATGTACCAGGCAATGCAGGTGTTAAGTTTCAGCAGCGGATTTGGAGGCCTTGTCAACAGCAGCGTAATCGGCCTCTTCAGGGGCTACGGGTACATGTCACATACAGGTTGGATTTACCGGGAGATTGAGAACTCCAGCACTTCAGCTGCGTACTGCACCAACATCCTCAAAAGGCCATTATATTATAGGTCGAGCCATGGTTTGAAAAAGACCCATTTCGGGGGGTTGTGATGGCAGCGTGAATAGCGCACGGCGCAAGTTCCCACGCGTCTATTACATTTGTCGTACGATACACATTCATGCCGGGATTACGCTTGGATTGGCACCAGGGGCTACACGTCCCGCAACGCTTCGTGGAACTTTGTAATCCATTTTTTAGAGCATGGAAGAGTACATACAGTACCGGTAGTGCAAGTTGGCTGCAAGTGACCGGGTCGTAAGTCAACTTTATTAGGTGGAACAGCGCCCTTGGAGAGACTAAGCAGCATGTCAAAGTATCCCTGCGTGCATACGTAGCCTAAGAAAGGAGGTAGGCGAACCCTACAATGCTCCCTCGACTCAGGCTGTGGTGCTTCGCGCGATCCTTGCGCGCCCAGACCGCTGGTATAAATCAATCCACATCCAATTGTAGCGACGTAGACAACCATGGCGTTTCGGATTGCAAGCTTGAACGGGAAGTCCTCCCGATCCTCTGGACCTTTACTGCACGAACAAATGTTTGGGCATGGATTGGAGGTGGCCTTTTACATCAAGCTTTCAACTATGTACCTGCGAGGGGTTTGGCGGGAGTGGCCAGCAGCCCTAGCCGAACTTTACAGAGCAGCATCCGGACCCGGGCTGACACAACGTTTGCTGAGTTCAGCAGAGCTGTCAAGGTGGGTAACTGCAGACAGGTGTAAATATCATAGCCTGGATTTGACGATGCCATTTGTTTGTCCTACATTGTCAAGCATGATTCTCGCCCCATGGTACCCACTTTTACCGTCTCTGCCCACGACCCAGAAACCTACAGCACGCCAAATTAAGACTACTTCCACTCCTTACTACACCTCCCCTCACTTCGATGCACTTGGTCCTGTCCTCCTGCCCCCCTCAGCTGCCCACCCGTAATGCTGACGACCTCCACCGCACCCTAGACAAGCTCTCAGCCGCCTACCTGCCGCTTGTGCCCCGCCTGACGGAAGCCCACCACTGCACCATTCCGCTGTGGGCGTGCGCCAAGGCGGGCTATTGGGAGGGGCCCCTAGTGACGGCGTTGCTAGAGCGGCTGGGGCAGGATGGTGGAAAGCTGCTGGGACAGGCTACAGGGCAAAACCATGCCAACCTATGGTGGTCAATATCCAAGGCGCCGCGGAATGTAGTGATGGCTGCGGACGGGCCGCTACATGCAAGTGCTGCTTCCATCCTTCGGATGTCAGCCTACCAGTTCAGCTCCCAGGACTGCTCAAACATCCTGCTGGCGTGTGCGCGGTTGCAGCGCTGCCACACACCCCTGCTGCACCACCTGACCGCCTGCCTGGTCGTCAACCAGTCTGAAGCCGCTTGCCAGGCCCTGGCCAATTCGTTCTACGCGCTGGGTGAGCTGGCTGAGGACTGCGGCCACAAACCCCAGGAGCAGGACCTGCAGAATCTGGCTGGTGCCATGCTAGCACGGCTGCAAAGCACGCCTGGGCAACGGCCGCAAGGGCAGGACAAGGCACTGAAGCAGGATCAGGTTTTTAATCCACAACAGCTCGCCAACGTGCTCTTGGGGTGCGTCAAGCTTGGTTCCAAGGACACCAGTTTGTTGCGGCCTCTGGCGGCTGCTGCGGGCCAGGCTGCAGGGTCCATGACGGAGCAAAGCCTCTCCATCTCCCTGTACGCTCTGGCAGTGCTGGGGTGCTCGGGAGGGGAGTACAGCATTGCAGTGCGGCAGCTGTGTTCAGAGGTGCATAGACGCTTGCGGTGCCGGTTTGCTCGGTTGTTCGTTCCTCAGAGTCTGTCCAACATCCTGTGGGCCCTGGAGCGGCTGCGGCCAGATGACAAGGAGGCGCTAATGGAGGCCCTGGCAGCCGAGTGCAGGCGCCGCCAGTTCGCTGGCTTCAAACCTCAGGAGCTCAGCAACGCCGCATGGGCCCTAGCCAAGATGGGTTACAGTGTAGGTCCTACACGCAATAGGCGCGAGCACGACTGGTACAAGGCTGCAGCAGAGGCCGCGAGTAAGCCGGCTGTGATGAAAGGCGCCAGGGCCCAGTCTTGGTCCAATCTTTGGTACGCACTTGCACTGGTGCGGCATCACCCGGGACCTGGTCTGCTGCTGGCCATGCAAGCCGACATGCACCAGAATGCCCTCCGTAGCAGCGCAGGCTTCCAGGAGTGCGCCAACCTGCTGTGGTCCCTGGCCTCTTTGGGCCTGTACGATCAGCGACTGGTGGATGCGCTGGGAGAACGGATGGGGGAGCTGCTGGGGCGGCAGCAGGGGGACAAGGGAGGGAAGGGGCCCACCAACCAGGAGCTTGCCAACAGCCTGTGGGCGCTTGCAGTGATGGGTCCTGACGTGCTGTCCCGCCACAGCGGGCTGGTGGAGGGGCTGCTGAGGGAGGTGGTGCGGAGGTGGGAGCAGCAGGGGAGCGTTGGCTTTGAAAGGGAGGAACTGGCCCAGTTGTGGCAGGTGCAGCAGGAGCTGGAGCACTTGCAAAGAATCAACAAGAGCCAGTTGCATGCAGTTCTTGCAGCCGGTGTTCAGGGGGCGGGTTCATTGCTTCGTGCCATGGAGCAGGCCGTTAAGGCTGCACGCACAGCACACGCCTTAGCTACTACACAATTAGAGGCGCAAGTGGTGCAGGCCGTTGCACGTCTCAAACAGCTGTTGGCAAGCGGCCTGGGGCTGTTGGGACCTAATGCTAACCCTGTGAGCGGCAGCAGCTGCCCTGCTGGCCCCGCTATCCTGGCTATGCTGCCGGAGCATCGTGTGGATGGAGTCTGCGGAACTGTAGACATCGTGCTGGAGTTGGCGGGAGGGAGGCGGGTGGCGGTGGAGGTGGACGGGCCTTGGCACTTCCTGGCCAACCACCCGCACACGCGCACCAAGGATGGCTCCACCCAGCTGCGGGACAGGCATTTGGAGCGGGTGTTTGGGGCGGGGAACGTGGTGAGCGTGCCGTACTGGGAGTGGAACGAGCTGAAAGGGGCAGAGGCCCGAGAGCAGTACTTGTGCAACCTGCTGGGCCTTGCGCTGTCGGGGAACGGCAGTCTTGCGGTAGACCCAGGTCACAAGGAGCTGCCATAAGTAACGCATCAAGCCGAGGGAGGTCGTTGCTATTTGCACCATGTACCGGTATACAATCATAAGTGTTAGTCACGCCGTGCCGTGCATGACATGTGCTACATGCTTCCATTGCATTTGGTACCAAACGTGCTCATTTGCATCATTTGGCTGCTATGAACTGTGGACGTGCACGGCATGAGTAGCTGCTGGTCGTTACGTTGTTGGTGTAGTTACGTGGAAGGGAGGCGGTAGGATCATAGGCACAAACAAGATGTTAGTGTTCGAAATTGCTGCACCCTAGTTGTCGTCATACTAGAACCTGCCTAAATGCCCCCTCTATCGTTAACGTGGGCGAGGTCAGCTGGGATCATGTGTTTTATAGAGGTAATAATGATGTACGAGCAATCTACTGGACACGTCACACGAGAAAGGTTGTTTCCTTTAAGCTGCGTGCACACTTTAGGTCGCGGCCTGTCTTCTTAACACTTCAGGTCTGAGATGTACAAGACGAGTAAGCGATGCTAGTGCTGGTCATTTACTCATGTAAATGTGCGTGTATGGCACAAAGTGACACATACACTGTTAAGACTCTAGGTCAACACTTCAGGTCTGAGATGTACAAGACGAGTAAGCGATGCTAGTGCTGGTCATTTACTCATGTAAATGTGCGTGTATGGCACAAAGTGACACATACACTGTTAAGACTCTAGGTCAGTTCAGTACACCAAGACCCAACCCCCCTGCCAGTGCGTTGTAGATTCAGCCTCCTCAGTGCTTCAGTTCCTGGCGATCGTGTGCACCTCTCTCGACGGTATTTGCAGCAGCCCCGTAGCAGCCTAATCCAAAAATGCACAACACTCACTGCGCGACGGTAGTTGGGGAGCCCCAGCCGAACGCCCTGATAAATGTTCTAACTAGCTCTTACTCCCTGCCTGCATGCAGCAGCCCAGTACATAGCTAACACACTGCCAATACGTACTACAGCCGTGCCATCATTGCATTGAGCAATACAGTACCTAGACGCCCTGCTTCACAGCAGAAGAGAGCTTTAGGGTCTTAGACACCTTCCGAACCGCCCGCTGCAGCAAGGTCTTACTCGACCTTCCCCCCCCGCAGCCCACACTCACGCGCTCTGTACCCTCGACCGCCGTGCTTTTGACTCGCTGCCAAGTGCCTAACCCGTTTGCTGCAACTCCTGCGTCGTCCCTCGCTACGCTATGCACCGTAGTGCAGCTCATGCCTGCTTTACTAGCCTTACCAGGCCGCGCCTGCGCTTGGTGCCCTGAACGGGCTCCAACTTCGGCGTCGTGCCTTGCAGGGACCGTCCGGTCCTCGTTTGAAACATCCATACGCCTGAACCGCGTTGCTCCAGCAACGCAGCCAACTCCCAGCCGGCCCTGATCTGCCAGCAGGCATGCATCCGCTGCCGACCGCGTGCTGCTGACCCCAACGCCAAGCTTTTCCGTCAACTCTGCCTCAACCTTGATGTGCGCTGCAGCGCCAGCTTCCGTCAACTGTGCCGCTGCCAACTGCCCACCGCCATAGCGTTGGCAGTCGTGGCCCGCCTCATCGATGTAGGCAGAAGACCAGACCTGAGCGCCCGCGGGTGCCGACGTAGCGGAGCTGCATGCTGCAGAGATGCGACGTAGGCCATAAACTGGCGAGGTGACGGTAGGAAGCGTCCCGCCCGAAGCCGCCTCACACCCTGCGCCGTGGCCAGCAGCGCTATCGCCGCTGTCACTGCCTCGTGGCGCATCCGCCTTCTGAACACTTTCGGCCGCTACAGCACCATTCGGTGTAGCGGTCACGAGGTGGCGGTCGCTGTAGCGGTCGTATAGCAGCCCAGTTGGCGTGTCATGGACCTGGGACCAGCCGGAGTTATTACAACGGGAGCGCCTGAAGGGGCTGTCACGCGCAACGAAGGGCATCTTGCGGGCAATGGCTGCGGCGATGCTTGCAGCGCCACCGCCAGCACGCAGGATGCTGCGACCTTCGGTGGCGCTGCTGCGGCAGCTGCTGGTACCGCCGGCAAAGCTGGATGCCCAGGTCGCGCTTGACTCATTGCGGCCAGTGACGGTAACGGAAAGACCGCTGTCTCGCCGCTCCAGGTCGCGGTCGGAATCAGGAATGCGGATGGCCAGCTGACGGCTACGCACGCTGCCAAGGGTGGGAGTTGCAGCGACTGCGTTTTCAGAAGGGCTGCGTGAACTGATGAAGGCGTCGGAATGGCCGTGACTGGTAGGGCTACCTGTGCTGCAGCTGCCGCTGCCTGATGATGTGCTATAGGAGCACTTGGCGTTAGTTGACGCGGGTGGCCCTCCACTGCTGCTATAATTGGGGGCCTGCGTTACAGCTTTAGAGCAGCCCATGCCGTTGGCAGAACCAAGAGATGGTGGGCGGATGGGCGGTACCAGCGACACGAATCCGCCGGCCGCGGGCGGGCTGCAGTTGCTGCTGGCTGGGGTCTCAGCACCTGCAAAGAGCGCCATCCTGCAGGGTGGAGGTGGCGTCACCAAGGAGTCAGGACGCTCTATCGAAGCCACCGTCGTCGCAGCCAAAAATGGTGTCGGGTGTCCGTCACCACCTGAGATGCCGAGACCTGGGAAGAGCCGGATGGGCGATTGCTCCGTGGTTGGCGGGAGCGCCAAGAACACCGTGTTGAAAGGTGAACAGGGCCCGAGGTACTCCCCCGGCACGTCGCCCTTGGTGCAGGACGCAGCGGGTTCTGCTTGCGGTCCCGGGGTATGCACCCTTGTTGCCTCATGAATGCCTATCGCAGGGCTGCCCTTGAAGGCGTTCAAACTGAGCGAGGCGACAGCATCGCAAGAGCAAGATGGAGGGCTGGAAAGTGGCTGCGTGGCAGCCCCCATGCCCTCGGCCGAGCATACAGACTCCTCCAGGCCCAGCCCTTGCTCACTACCGCCGTGAAGGATGCCGGCTGACCCATGGGTCGCCAGCAGGCGCCTGCTCCGTGCGGCGCGCTCCAGCTTTGACGTCACGGCCGCAGCTTTTGCCGTCATGATTGCCGCAAACGAGTGCCTTCTCAGCAGCAACGATGGCGACGCGGCAGGGCCAGGGACGGCATTCCACCCGGTAGAACGTGCTGACGCCGTCTCTCCATCTTCTACGCGCCCGACTTCCCGGTACGCCACCGCAGGCATCGCCTGAAGGCGAGGTCCCACCACCTGCGCGCTAGCACCCCTCTGCTGCAAGTCCTGCACGACCTCCCGCAGATCCAGAGGACTCATGTGCGCAGCACGGTTTGGCTTATCTGTGGCGTCTTTCCCAGGCCTATCCGCGTAGACGCCGCCACTGCCTTCAGAGTCAACTCGCAATGCCATTGCTGCCAAAGGTGTTGGCAGCATCTGTGGCACAGGCAGCAGCAGGTCGCAGTCCAGTGGATCACCGCAGACCGGCGGAGTCACCGAGGTGCAGAGCTTTGAAGGCCTGCGCTGCTGTTGGAGCGGGCTTCTAGCCGCGGGGACTGCGCCACCCTTCGCCACGTTACCTGAAATTGCCGCTGGCTGCTTGGGTTGCGTGCGGCCAGCGGCGCGCATGTGCTCAGCTGGCGGTGCCTTGCGAGCAAGGGCAGTGCGAGGCACTGGCGGAGTCTTGGCCTTGTGGTCGCGAGACGCTCCTGCGGTGCCAGAGCAGCATGCCATCTGCCGCCCAGGAGGTGCCGCCGGGCTAGCCGTGGAAATGTTAGCGGAGGAACTCGAATTAAGAGTCAGTGCGCTCCGGCTGCAAAGTGGCTTTTGACTGTTTGCTGCACTGAAGGCCCTGGATGATTGTGTAGAGACAGCTGCTTGTGACGTGCTTGTGGCAGGACGAGCGGAGCTGGGCCGAGCACCCGTGCCGCTGCCGGGTAGCTTGCGCCCAAACGCGATCTGTGCACCAGCTTTGCTAGCGTTTGTGGTGACGCCCGCCCTGACTGCAAGTGGGGAAAAAAGCGCAGTTGCAAAAAAAGGATGTAAGGTGATTGCAATGTTTCGGTTACTAGGTTGAAAGCGACACGTTACTATGCCTGCATGGGGATGTCCAATGATCTCAATGTTCCATACAACGGAAGGCCGTATGAGGCCCGCGAATACATCGAATAAGCGCATCCTTTATAGCCCTACCCACAGTCACATCATTCGCTCCAAGCACGGGTTCATATGGATGCAACATGAGGTATCCTACGCCCACGCCCGCCAGTACGCCAACCGCTGGGTGCCTACCTCCGCTTGAAGCAAGACTCCTTGCCGCCTGCACTCCCTCCCGCAGCAGCTTGGACTCAACCGTGGGCACTGGGCGGCCCGACGACGATAAAGACGGTGCGCCCGGGGCGCAAAGCCCTCTGCTGCTACGGCCAGTGGCGTCGGAGGGCACGGCGGTCGACTTGGGCGCCCTTTTCACAGGTCCGAGACCGTTGGCTGCAGGAGGAACCGTTCGTAGTATCTTGGGAGGCTTTAGGAAGCTCAACACAGCCGGCTCCGTAGCACTAGGCCAACCATTCGGCAATCCGCCCTTCACATACTCATAAGTAGGGCTACTGTCTTCGAAGGTGGAATGCACGGCGGAGTCACGGGCGGAAGAGGCGACCACCGAGGAAGCCAGGCTGCGGACGCCCAAGCTCTCATACCCGGCCTCGAGCGCACTAGCAGCAGTGCAGGCGTCACGGGCTGTAGAGGCGGCCACCGAGGAAGCCAGGCTGCGGACGCCGAAGCTCTCATACCCGGCCTCGAGCGCACAAGCAGCAGAACAGGCGTCACGGGCTGTAGAGGCGGCCACCGAGGAAGCCAGGCTGCGGACGCCGAAGCTCTCATACCCGGCCTCGAGCGCACTAGCAGCAGAACAGGCGTCACGTGCCGTAGAGGCGGCCGCCGAGGAAGCCAGGCTGCGGACGCCGAAGCTCTCATACCCGGCCTCGAGCGCACTAGCAGCAGAACAGGCGTCACGTGCCGTAGAGGCGGCCGCCGAGGAAGCCAGGCTGCGGACGCCCAAGCTCTCATACCCGGCCTCGAGCGCACTAGCAGCCGAACAGGCGTCACGGGCTGTAGAGGCGGCCACCGAGGAAGCCAGGCTGCGGACGCCCAAGCTCTCATACCCGGCCCCGAGCGCACAAGCAGCAGAACAGGCGTCACGGGCTGTAGAGGCGGCCACCGAGGAAGCCAGGCTGCGGACGCCCAAGCTCTCGTACCCGACCTCGAGAGCACTAGCAGTAGCGCAGGCATCACGAGCAGTAGAGGCGGTCCTCGAGGAAGCCAGGCTGCGGACGCCCAAGCTCTCATACCCGGCCTCGAGCGCACTAGCAGCCGAACAGGAGTCACGGGCTGTAGAGGCGGCCAACGAGGAAGCCAGGCTGCGGACGCCCAAGCTCTCATACCCGGCCTCGAGCGCACAAGCAGCAGAACAGGCGTCACGTGCCGTAGAGGCGGCCATCGAGGAAGCCAGGCTGCAGACGCCCAAGCTCTCATACCCGGCCTTAAGCGCACTAGCAGCAGCGCAGGCGTCACGGGCTGTAGAGGCGGCCACCGAGGAAGCCAGGCTGCGGACGCCCAAGCTCTCATACCCGGCCCCGAGCGCACAAGCAGCCGAATAGGCGTCACGGGCTGTAGAGGCGGCCACCGAGGAAGCCAGGCTGCGGACGCCCAAGCTCTCATACCCGACCTCGAGCGCACTAGCAGTAGCGCAGGCATCACGAGCTGTAGAGGCGGCCACCGAGGAAGCCAGGCTGCGGACGCCCAAGCTCTCATACCCGGCCT